GCATTGCTTACCTGGCATGTTGTCCACGGCCTCGCTGATGTCTGTTCCAACTCGTGAAGCGACGGGACAGAAAACCAGAATAAAGGAACTTTGTTGAGGAGAGTCCACCTGCATGTATCCAAGGCCTTTAAGCTTTGCAACAAGGCTTAGATGAGCCCCATTGGTTGTTCCCGCCAAGTGGACATAGAACTTTTTCCCCACCACTAATGACAGAGAAAAATGTTTAAAGTTATATTTAAGCTGCAGTGTGGATCACCAGAACCAGATGAACGTGAATCTTGTCAAAAAATATCTGGAGCTACATTTAGCTTAAAGGTAAAAGGTATTTACATATTCCCAAACTTAACTACTTTTGTAAACAACTTAACCATAGGAGAATTTTCTTATGATTTTAGCATCTTAAAAAATAACTCTGATGGCAAAAGTGTTGTTTTTTGTTTCTCATTGTAAGAATGAATAAATCCTCAGTGTGTTACTTCCTGGTTAGAAACAACTGTACCTCCACAAAAGCCATAGAAACAATGATGAAGCACAGACTTTGTTGCAGAAAGGCATCTAATTCCTTGTCATTACTAAATGTCGTTTATTCTCTTTATTATTGAAATACTGCAGTCTTGACAGAGTAACTAGCAGCATCTTGTCAATTAACAAAAAAACGAGTAAATTAAGCTTGTTTTCTCACCAGCTGCCTGGCCCATGCCTATGTCGCTGAGGAAGAGGAACAGAGGAGGAACCTTTAGTCGTCATTTAACAAAATGAAATAAAGCTAAACAAGGAGCAGGTGTATGTGCGTCACTTTTTGCTTTGTCAAAGCTGCTCTGTAGAAGCTTGTGCCCAGCCCAGAAGAGAAAGTTAAGAAAAAATACCTTTTACTCCGATGCATTGTAGAGATTCAGCAGTTCACAGCCTTGCAGAGATCACTTAATAAAATATTTCTGCATGCCTACTTACGAAATAGATCTTTTTTGTAATTTCTCTAGCATATTCGTCCCACACTCCCTGTAGTGTAGCCTGGCACTTTCACTTTTGTTTTGCCAAGCAACGTGTTCTTTAGTTGACGACTAAAGAGGAAGTGCAGACAAGAGAGGAGACACAAACTGTGTTTACAAGACAAAAGATATGAACGCTGCAGGAGAAACGAGTAACTACAGAGCAAATATGTTCAACACTGCTGTGCTATAGCCTATATGGGCAGATTACAACAATAGCTTAATGTAGAGTCCCCTCACATGGGGGGTGAAGGGAGTCGAAGCACTGGGGAGGAAATCTGTTTTAAAGTGCCAACTTACTCCAACTGTTTTTTTTGTTTTTTTTAAGTTGTCGTCAATACACTATATGTTTCTCAGCTTGTTGTGGCGCTCTTCTGCTCCCAAGTGGCCAAATCAATCAATCATTGCAACTTTAAATATTTGCAGTGTTAAATGCACGCCATCTATCCACGACTTTCACCAAATAGCCTATCCTATCCTGCTCCCCTGACGCAGCCTCCCCTCACAGGCAGGCTGCTGAAATGAGGACCCGCCTCCCAGGTCCCCGTGCTGCTGGCTGCTGCTGCCTTCAGGGTCTGCTCGTAGTCTTTTATGACTGAGTGCTGAAGACTGAAACACACACTGGTTGATGCATTCACACATTTTGGTAGAAAAAAAAGAACAACATAGACAAATATAGCAACATCAGCAGCAGTGATGTTTTTAGGATTGTGTGACGGCTGAAAGTCAAAAATATGTAGTATGAATTGGTTTTTTTTGTCACTCAATGAGTTCCTTCTGTGTTTGGTTGGAATTAAATGCTATGCGTTCATGGTTCATAATGACACAACTGAGAAGTGATAAGAGAAAGTCATACTTCCCATGTTGCAGTCACCACATTGTTCGGCCCAGTTCGTCTGAGCTAAAGCCGTCTCTGCTTGGTATTTTCCACAGTGACTAGGGCTAGTTAAAGCACAAAGGATATTAACCCTTGTCCTCCTTTATTACCTGATGTTTGGGGAAAATGGTCCCTTTTGTCAAATCTAGTTTTGAGGCAGATACTGATACCGAAATGAATTTGTGTTTAATCAAATTGCAGCTATATAATTTTCCAGCACAGACACACAAATTAGAATGAACATGTATACTGTAACAATTTAAATGCAACCCACATAGCGTAATCCTACATAAACTATGTTGTAGTGTAAATATTGTTCAGTCATTTTGCAGTGTCTCCACTGCCTCACTTGAGTGACAAGCTAACAGGTGATTTCAGATTTGTTGTCATGGTAGGTGTGAGGCAGTATCTATGGTGTCAAATCTTAATACTTCTTCTCAGGTGGTTTGGTGTCATAATTATCCACTGAGCACAGATAGTAGAGGTTTTCTGGGTTGGGACTGGCCTCACTCATTTAGTCTTTTTAGCTACAATTTTATAGAAAGTTTATGCACATTTTGTGACAAGTGAGTGGCAACAATCCCATTTAGTAGGCAACCACTCTCTAATTAGATATCTTCCTTAAAGGCTTTATAAATCACAAGTAATGGCTTTATAAATGGTGACATGATAAATAAGTTACTAAAGCTTTACAGATCAGTTAAAAGGTATCAATAAGAACGACTTCAGACTTCGCAACACTGTGAAATAAAAACCTTGACTGATTGGATCATTTGACCACTTAACCTCTGAAAAGCCTAAGGAATTTTTCACAACCTGGAAATTTGGACTTTTTTTTAATGGCTTCTTTTTAACTTATCTCTAAACAGTGGTGGAATAAGTACTTGGCTCATTTACTTGCGTAAAAGTAGAAATACAACGATATAAAAATACTCATTACAAGTAGAAGTCCTGCATTTAAAATGTTACGTGTAAACATGTTTTATCAAGAAATATAGACTACATGAAGTACCAATGGTAAAAGTACTCAAGCAGAATGTCATATTATGTGTAAAGATACAACTTTATTGATCCCCAGAGGGCACTTTAGTATGATATATTATATTATTGGATTATTATTAGTGATGTATAAAATGGGAAGAAGCATGTTACTACTGCAGCTGGTTAAGGTGGAGCAACTTGTAAGTACTTTCTAAACTGTTGGGCAGTTTAATCTGTAACAATGCATCATATTTTAGAAGGTGATCAAATGTTTTGTTTGTAACCTATTGATCTATACTATAGCTGTAAGATAAATGTAGTAGAATAAAAAGTAAATTTTCTTCCTCAAATGCAGGCCCTCCTTAGAAGACAAAAGTAGTTTATTTGATCAATCATTAACAATACAGGTGATTTAAATAAACAAGATTCAGGTTAGCAAAATAACATTGTTAGCATCAGAGCACTTTTGTTTATGTCACCACATTAATGATATTCATGCAACTTCAGCTCTGCTCAACATCCATGACTCCTTTGAAGTGGTGTTTCGCCCCTCTCACTTTGAGAACGACTGCTGGAACATGTAGAGGAGTGGAAGTATAAAATAGAAATTCTCAAGTAAAGTACGAGTAGGGCTGGGCAATATGATCAAAAATGTTATCACGATAAAGAATTTCATATCATTCAATATCTATAATAATCAAAATAAATGTCAAACTCAATTTTTTTCAAGTTTAAAGGCTGATTTTTGCTCCTGAGTGAAGAAACCATATGGTTTATTATGGTTTTAAACTATTCTTTATGGTCAGAACATGACAAACACTTGATGCCAAACAGTGGCTCACTTAACAAATCCGAGGTAGAACATTTAAAACAATTATGACGAAAAGAAAATTCTCAACAAATATGCATGAGTCAGTCCCTTTCCCTCAACAAATTAAACATCTTAATAGAAAAATGAAGTGCTAATTAGTTAAATGAATTGAATCAAACATTTATTAAACATTTGTTATATTGTTATTGAGGAAAATGAAATCACAACATTTATAATTAGTGTTTTATTGCCCAGCCCTATACAAATAGGGGAGACCGGGTTTGGTTGTAACACTTTTTGCTTCAGCAACTATAACTCACTCAAGTTTTTAGCTAGAGTTCTCAAACTTTTATACAAAGTACCCACATTAGTTCACTGCAAATGGGACCAATTCAATCACCTACAAGAATTTCACAGACCTCGTGAGTTGATGTCAGACTCATTGAGTTCCCCTGTTACAATTTACCCCAATACTGGGGTAAGTTGTAACAATGAGACAAAAGAAGAAAAAAAATAGATGCTACACTATAGGATATGCTTCAAAAACAGGTATAAAAGAACAATGTTTCTCTCTCACTGTAACTATAGAATAAACTTACTTAAAAGTACACTTAAGAAATACTACTAAAATGTACTTAATTAAAGAACATCTCTGTACATCCTTAGGTCTAAGAAGTGTGTGTCTGTGTGTGTCAGTGTGTGTATATTCTTAATCAGATGCACAGTCAGTGCTTGAAGTGGGCTGATACTCACCGATATGCAGCAAAGGGCAATATTAAAATCATGAAAGTCCCTAGTTTTATGTATCGTGGATGGTTGTAACACTTTTTAAAGACCCCACCCCTGTAAGCCAATGTTTAGCTAGCTGTATTAGCATAGTGGTTTGACATTAGAAAGGAAAAAATGCATCACATGTTGCCTAAGAAACTACATTTCAATTTAATATAGGTCAAACAATATTATGTGTAATAGTATAGATGCTAAAAAAAAATAGTATTGGTCAAAAAATTTACTTTTTTTCTTCAAAATCTGTTTTTTTTTCTATATATTGTGAATGTACCTATTTCCAGACTTGATAACCTCCATGCCTGATCGGAGAGGAAGTAGGTGAATACTGAAATGATCACCTAAATCGTATCTTATCTCTAATTGGTGGGATTGGTGTTGTTCCACCCCTCCCTGAAGTTGCAAAGGCATTAGTGAATAATTTTATCATCTAGAAAAAGTTTATTTTAAACAACTGTACTTCCCAAAACGTTTGCACTGGACTAGGTCAAATCACACTGTATATAAATGACTGAGCTGCGGTATTTCCGACAGCACGGGAAGGCAGCGGCAGATGCGGGTCTTATTTGTTCTCCAGCAGGAGGGCGTTCCGCTGACGACGATACAGATACAGTGTGGTCAATTATGCCGGTGTACGTGTGTGTACTGGTTCATATTTAGACGCTGTCAGAGGTAAAGGTTTTGTCCCAGAGTTTTTAACACCCGGATCGGGCCTTCCTCGATGTTAGCCTTCCTGGCGGTATCACTGCCGGGGGAAAGGCGACAGAGGAGGCCAGGCTCGAAGACATGGAGGCTAAGCGTCCTTTGCAGAGGGAGTGAGCCGTAGGACGGTAGGCTCTTTTGCATTTCTTCCTCCGTTAAGAAACAATGAAAGGTAGATGGGACAGGTTAACGGTGCATCCGCCAAGAGGAGGAAAAACGGCTTGTTTGCTCGCCAACACTTGCTCTGCCTTTGCTGCAGTTTTCGTGTTTTCTTGCACGTCGTCGTCAAAAGCACAATTTTATTTTTTTTTTTATCCACACACACACACACACACTCACAATGATGGTGGTTTCAGGTCTCTTTGCCTCAGTCTTGGTATGGCTGGTTTTTATGGGTGGTTTACTGGACCGAGAGAAAAACAGACAGCACACACTTTACCTGTATTTTAATAGTTTTATGTCGTCATTTAAAAGCTCTGGCCAGGTTTTTTCGACCGTGAAACCAGCAGACAGTAGTGGCCTTCAACGTGACATGCGAGGGGGGCAAATCCACACTGAAACAAACACACACACACGAGCATGATGGAAATACAACACCACATACTGTAAACATAACGGGACAGCGGGAAACAGTGAAGCGCACGCTACATGTTAGCAGAACTCATTTTTGTTGCTTAGTACTTTAAAGAACCTTGTTGCAGCCAAATGTTCTACCAAGACCTTCATGATGCTACAGAGAAATCTTGTTTTTCAGTCTTTTGCCAAGTGGTGGACAGTAACTAACGTTAAGTATGTTTACTCAAGTACTTTGAGGTATTTGTACTTTACTTGAATATTTTCATTTTTTTTAGATCTCAGATGAGAGAAATTGTCCTTTTTACTTAAGTACATATATAACAGCATAGGTGTCATTTACACTGAGGACGCTGGGGACAAGTCCCCACCACTTTTTTAAAGCATAATTTGTTTAAAAAAATGTTCTGAAATATAACTTGTTGCGGTTAAATAACAAATGAAAATTCCTATAGAAAGGTTTATTTAACCATTAAGAAAACATGCAATGCAATTAAAATATAGAAGAAACAAATGTGCATTGTCCAAAAAAAGTAACTTGAGCTGAAAACAAACAAGCTACTGATTATGAAATGACTCCAAAACATGCATGCACCAATCAGTAACTTTAACAACTTCTTGATACAGTTTCTTTTTGGCCAAGTTTTCTGTTCTCTCCCTGTGAACATGACACTAGAGGAGGGACAACTAAATCATGCCTGCATATGTGTTGCCTCAGCAGGGATGATATTACATGAGAAAAGATCTGCAGGAGAAACAGATCTGAAAGCAACACAGAATGCCTGATAGCTGCACTGACTTATATTTTATTATATTTATATATATTATATATTTATATTTATATATTTTGTAATGTCGGAATTTGGTGTTTCCTTTTACATAAATGAAAACATTTCCACCTTAAATTGGTGCAGAAAGTTTCACCAGAATGGATGAAATTAAGTATTTAAAGATCAAAATTTACTGGGGGTGGTCCCCTCAGACTCATAGATCTCGGCATTGAGGATATCTTTAAAACACTGATTAAAGATATTTTCGTCTCCTTCTCATGAACCTAATCTTGCACATTGTGATGTCTCGTGAGCTAAGTGTCTCTTCATACCCCCGATTGGAGCCTCTATGTCCCCACCACTTTTTAACACAAAGTGACGCTCTTGTAGTTACTTAACAAAATAAGATATTCACACACACACACACAAACATTTTTGATGTTTTGTTATTAACTACCCAACAGTTTATGCAATTACAGTACATTTGTTGACTGACAGAAATTTAATTGTTCACAATTTTATTAGTTTGTCTTTTTTTGTAAGTAAAAACATTTCATGGTTCCACCTTCACAAATATGAGGATTGGCTGCTTTTCCTTTTGTTTATTTTAATATATTTTTAACATCATTTTGAGGCTTTGGCCTGTCAAAACAAGCATTTGTGTGTAAACAATCTTACTTTGTAAAGTAACTAGTAACTTAAGCTGTCAGATAAGTGATGAAGTAAAAAGGACAACATTTCCCTCTGAGATGTAGTGGAAGTAGAAAGTGTCATGAAAAGAAAATACTCAAATATTAATACTAATAATTTGAACAGTACTTGAGTAAATGTACTTACTGTCCACCACTGGCTTGTATGCTGATGACAAAACAAGAAATGAAATTAGTTAAGGTATGCAAATGAGATACAGTAGTTTGGGGGAGATATCTAAATAAATAGCATAAAATAAAGTAATGAAAAACTAATAACTGCAAGTAGGCCCACATTTTATCTTAGAATAAAGAATTACTGGCAAGACAAAACTTTTATCTGTTGTCTATATGGTGGACTGAAATGGAAAATTCAGAATTATTAACACTGAGTTAAAGAAATACAGACAAGTAATCAATACTTGTTGATTATTTGTATCACTTGATAGAAAACATTCTTCTCTGACTGGCTTTGTAGTAAAATCTGCCTCTGCTCGGCCTCCACTTCAATTGTGTTGTTTGATAAATCAGAACACTATCATGAGTTTTATCACGCACCTGTCACAAACATAGAAATGTAAATTATTATGAATTATGTAAACTAGTGGAAGCATTTTTAAAAGAAATGATAAAAATGCGACCCAGAATGTGTCCTTCATGTTTTTCCACCACACATCTTTTGATGTTCTCTCTTCTTTGTTTTCAGTGGTGATTTCTACAGGGTGTTGGCACTCCTAGAATGGACCCTGCACACATTGGAGGGGATATGTCACCTTTGTATATGCCAAGAAAGAGAAAGTCTGTCCAGTCACAACCTAAAAGTGGAGTGCCATGTCCAGGTAAAGAAAAACTATTTATTCAAGTCATTATGAGAAGGATACAGCTGACTTTGTGGGCATTTTAGCTGTGAAAATTAGGTGCTTTCACCTCTGATTTTGAACCAAGTTAAATTTCACCTCTTCAACAGTTGTTCAGCGAATGCCAGAAAGAACCTGTGAATTAAATCCATCTGGATATCCCAAGGTGAGAATGAACTCGTACGGTATGCACAGAACACGCATCCTGTTGTTTTTGTGATGATGTTGTATTTAAGCAAACTATCAAGAAGTTAAAGGGGAAAATGCTGCTAATTAGAAGTGTCTGAATGTGGTTGTCCATTTCCGTCTGCTAATACTCAGAATCTGTTAACTTTATGCACGCTGTTGGATCTCATCTTCACATTTCTGTACTTAAATGTTTTAGAATGACGAGTCTGAAGCCCAAGATGCTCTAAAGATGAAAAGAACGTATGGTAGAAAAAGGTAAGAGATCTGTTGCTTTATAGATTGTAGATCTGCATGACAAATTGCACAACAGGCACTGCATATTCACTCAGTACGATAATGAATGAATCTCTTGACATTAATAAACACAAAAGTGCGCGTTATTATATTTTTCAAAATGTCAGGTACCTTGGAAACTGAAGTCACTAGCTGTGACATCTTTAACCCTTTTAGCACCTTTTGTATCTCTGCAGCAGGTTGTGTCAGCTACTTTTTATAACAATCTTAAGTTGTATCACCAAATTAAACCAGGTTACATCTTATAGTCTATATTGTAAGTGGACTCTTAAACCTGGCATGTAGCAGATGTAACTGTTGTGTAGCTGCACAACTAACGCAATACTGTTAATGGAACCAAAAATACGCAGTCTGCCCTTGAATATTAAATGTCAGCATTTATTACACAGCTGCCTGCTTCATTCGACGTTCATGAGGATGTAAACAGAATGTGTATGCTGTGGCTAGTATGATTTGGTTCAGGTGTAAGAAGCTTAAAATGTAACATAAATTATACATTTTTGGATTGACAACATCTAATCCAACAAGTTAACATAGAAACAACATGTGATGATGAATAAAAGTCAATAATTTGACTTCAATTGTAAGATATCAAGGGTACACAAACAGAAAGAGGTAAAAGAGGCACAATGAGTAGTACATTTTTATTACAATGCAACACACAGAGCTCCTTTTAGGAAATGACCATTTCATGGACTGTTTTAACATAGTTACAACGTGTGGTCAAAGTTGAGCTATGTTCAGTGTCAGTCAGTCAGTGTGAAGCTGCCAGTTCAGCTCACAGAGCTCATTGCATGATACAACCCTTCCTTTGTTATTCGTTAAACTTCACTTTACTACATAATGCATATGACGGTACAGATGACGTTACCTGTTTGGGCAAAGCCAAACCATATTTTGTTCCAGTGGCTGACAGTAAATTATTTTGTACTTAATATAAGTTAATATGAGCATCAATTGAGATGGGATATTTCGAGTTAGTTTTTCCTATTTTGATTTATGGAATAAGACGAAATTTGTTTTCTTTGTTTTACGGTCCTACTCCTCCTGGATTCTGCGTCACTAGGGCGCTCATGGGTGGCCCTTAAGTAGGTGTGCGATATGGCCTTTGAAAAGTTAGATGGCGGAGAGTAAACAGTTTTCCGACTGCAGCCCTTCAAAGAAGTAATTGAAATCATGTGTTGATCCACTTTGATTTATTTTTGTTGGAAAGTCAACCGGGGTGTAGATAAATAAACTAATTTTCAGTTAAATTGAACAGACTATCTCCATGGGTGGCTTCTTTGAAAATTTTTTCAGCCCCTTCACATGTAGATCCTGTTGTGGCATTAAGTGAAATCAGTTCACCTGAACAAGATAGATCACTGCTTAATGAAATTAAAAATACAACAGCATCCTTCAGTTGGACCATGATCATACACTACCCACGTTGTCAGCCATTCATCTCCAAGCTTTGACTCAGCCAGTCAAGCTGTCATTGGTTGTCTGATGCTTGTGGAATCATGTTTGTTCCTCTGATGTCCTAAAACAGACATTTGCTGCACACATTATTCGCCAAGTGGTTTTCAAACTGGTAGTAATAATGCTAGTAATAAACATGTCTCTCTGAAGACACCACCTCTAGATCAGTTGCACAATAAATATTTTTGGGACTGCATCCCATCCACAACCCTGACCACGCAAGACTGTTATTTAGAAAGGGCAACAATAGTTCACAACAAAGCTCACTGTTAAATCATAAGTTATCCAGTTAAATAACTTTTATTTGTGAAATAAAGTAAAGGATGTTGTTTTTTATCAGGTATGAGGACCTGCAGAGTGTTTCCATAGGAACAGTAGATTACCCAACCACCAGCTGCTCTGTGATGTCATCAGTTGGCCTTGCGAATGGGGCAGATCCAGCGTCCATGGCTCCACCCACTGCAAGGCTGCCTCCGAGACTGGTGGGGAAGGATGTGTGGCCTCAAGGCCCCGAGGTCAGCAGGGAACAGCCCCAGCCTCAGGACCAGAGCTGGAGCTCCAGCAGGGACAGAGGCCCCGACGCCTGGGCGCCGGGTAGAGAACGGCCGCAGGAGCAGGTCTGGAACTCTGGCAGAGACCGAGCGGGACACTCTAGTCAAGACCAGACTTGGATTCCAGGCAGGGACAGGGCCCATACCGGTCCAGACCAGGCCTGGATGACGGGCAGAGACAGAGGTCCTGAGCAGGGCTGGGCAGCTGGCAGAGACCGAGGCCAGGATCAGGTCTGGAACGCAGGCAGGGATTCAGTCAGAGACAGGGCCTCCTCAGGGCCAGAGCAGGCGTGGGGAACTGGCCGAGGTCAAGACCAAGGCTGGAGCAACACGAGCAGAGACAGAGGCCATGTCTGGAGACCTGGTACGTTCTCATACACATTATCCTGACAGTTGACAATTGTGGCTTCAACATAGAGTAATGGTGCTTTCCGACCAAACGCGAATTTAATCCTCACGACGCTTGCCTCGCGTGAGTACATTTGCTGCAAGTGTTCACACACAACACAAGAAGGCGATCAGAACCCGTGAAAATTTGCCCGAGTTGGAAATTTTCAACTTACGCGAAGGCCTTTGCGTCACCTTTGCGTCGCCCGTCAGGAAATAGCGGCTCTACGCGTCTTTGCATTGACTTTGTATGTAAACTCACCGCCACCGCTTTTGGTCTGCCTCCCCTTTTTTTGCAATATTGTTGTAAAATACATTAAGGAATTATATTTTACATGACATTTTGCAAGATAACACTGAATTATAAAATTAAATGAATACAAAAGTCCTCATAAAACTGGACCCTGATTCGCTGACTGCAACAGCTCCTCTACTTTAAAATATTACAAAGTGGCCTGTTCTGATACCTTATGTATGTATATCAATAGTATGTAATAGTATTTAAATATTTAAATTCCCTAATATATGTGTGAGTGTTTTGGGTTGTTCTTGCATGCAATCATTTGTGTACTGTAAAAGAGAAAACTGTGTTTGTACAGAATGTAGAGTGAAGATATTTTTTGTTTTTGTGGTTTTGGATTGACTTTGTTCTGCGCTTGTTACTTTGAAGACTTGAACATGAAGAAAGTCCAGAGAGTGGAGATGGAGCGCAGCCCACCTGTTAGTAACTTCCCACAGCCACCAGAGGGCAGAGACTCTTGTAAGTTACCACCTCCTCTGATTTTAATAGGTTGTCCTGTCTTCAGATTCTTTTCTTTCCACAATAAAAATGTTATGTTGAAATTGATGCAAAGTAAAAGGAAAAAATACAAAGTGGGTTGACTTGTTTCTGTGTTTGGCAGCAGCATTAGAAGGCACATAAATGTTTGGATAGAGCTTCTGATAGGCCATATGTATATTATAGATTATTGTGGTCTGTAGAGGACATTTTTTAATAATATTTCAGTTATAGCACCATTATTTTGTCAATTTAACTGATCATATTATGAACCCGCAAACATGAATCATATTTCGTACTATTGAGATGAAATTAACTTCGTATTAGCAGTTAGTTTAGCAGTAATGTTTTAGTAGCATTCTGTGAAGACTAACATATGACTATTTGTACAGGAGGAACATAATTGGAGTGTAGTAATCTCTTGATGTACTGTATAATGAGCACAATCCCTTTGAAGGGGTTTGATCGTTTGGATGCTACCAGAGACGCAACAGTTGTTTTTTCTATTCCAGTCCAAACACATTGCTCAGGGTTTTTCTTACATGAAGATAGGGAATTTTAAGAAATGACAAAACAGCAACAGAAAAAGCAGTAAAATATAGGTATGATCTAAATCTTAGTAAATATTTTCATCTAATGTAAATATTTCAGGTTCAGATGCAGCCAGTGTTGGTGAGGCCTCGACTGCCCAACCCAGCGAGGAGCAGAAACCCCTCGTCCCCTCCACCAAGAAGGAGCCTCCTACCTACCCTCCAGGTGAGACAGGCTGACCTGAGGAGCAGCTGCCAACCACTGTATGTTATGTTTGAGTAGGAAAACCTGTTCACTTTCTGTTACCCATCCCCACAACTGTCAACTAAAATTACTCCTCTCAGGTACAAAAAAAATGAATAAATCTGGTTTTAGTTTTCTCTAATCAATCCTGCATAGAAAAGTGAAGAAAACAGATTCAGAAATATTTATTAGTAATATAAGGACATCATGTCAGAAAACAAAAGGGCTGCAGATGGACTGCACCTCAGTATTAAACATTTCCACTTTGTAAAATAAAATACAATCTTTATTTGTTTACATCCACCAGGAAGTCAAGAGGAGCGTTGGCAACTCCAGATTGTGGCCAAAGGCAGAGTCACCTGTCCGAAGTGTAAAAGTGTGAGCAGGAAGACCGTGGATGGCCTGAAGAAACACATGGAGAACTGCAGACTGGTGAGCACTCAGTGTTTGAACACTAAGTTAGTCTAATTTAAAAAGCCTTTATACTATATTGTCTGACAAAGCTCTTACTCATACAGTATAGTAGTAAAGTATAGTAATCACCAGAAACACAATCTGGTGTTATCTAGAGAGGACAAACACCTCTGAAAGGCAAGTAGCTTATACAGAGATTCATTTCTAACCATCATGTTACCATCATATTACCTCCATGTGATGTGGTATTTAAAGTCCTTGGTTTATAAACTACACTGTACAAATCAGCACGTATGACTTAACTTTATTACATTTTGTGCAGCAACCCTTTACCTGTCAACACTGTGGGAAACAGCTGAAGTCTTCAACGGGGATGAAGTATCACATCATGGCTGACCACAGCCATCTGGTAAGACATTTCAGCACTGTTGTGCCTACCTTCGTCCATTTTTAATCCATTTAACTATTTAGATCTAACTCAGACGCACAGTTTGCAGCAGTTCTTTTGCTGTGTAATTGTGAGGAATTGTGCAGGTAAACAAAGCTTTCATTGAAGTACAGGTGTTTCTTTGCCGTTTATCTTATTCATTTGTATAATAGTGTCTTCAAAAAGTGGACACTGACAATCAAAACACACTAAGTGGAGTTTGAGCGTTAGGTTGACACAGATTTAAGCTGCCTCTTTTCATCTGGTTTTAGCCCTCAGCTGATGATGCCAAGGACCTGGATGATCGAGTAATCAAAGACAAACTGCGTAAAATCCTGAAGAGACTGGGCAAATTAAAATGCTCTAAAGAGGTAAACTGAAAAATCTTACTCATTTAGGATAGGCGATTATTTAAAATAATACATGAAAAGATCTCTGATGATCCCATGGTAAACAGTTTTATTTTTTCTCTTTTCAGGGCTGTAATGCCGCCTTCACTAGCATCATGGGCTACGTGTACCACATGAAGAAGTGTGGGAAGGAGGAGTCTGAGCTGGAGAAGATGCTGCTGAATTGCTCTCACTGTGGGAAAACATACAAGTCCAAGGCCGGTCTGGAGTACCACCTGAAATCAGAGCATGCTCCTGTGAGTCAAGTGTTTTATTCCATGTGCTAATTCAGATGATTCAGACCAAAAAAGTTTAGTTAGCGTATTAAATACACAAATAAAGTCAACATGTTTCACATTCAAGGGCATCATAATGAATTTATGTTGACTGGGTTGCACTGGATTAAATCATAATATATTTAAATCTGTTGCATCCAAACCTAGTTTTAAACTTGATGGTATGAAGCTGTATAACACACAGGGCTTGACATTAACTTTTTTGGTTTTCCAGAGTTACTAGCCACGCAGCATTTTCACTAGCCACATTTTTGTTGTCGGAAAAATTATGTTTTATATGATTAAAGTTGACAATGGCATGCTTAAATTGGCGTGCTAAAATGTACAAATATTATCATTAGCTCTGATAAGGTTGTGTGTAAAGCGCATTTGTTTTTAAATACATGTAATAGTGAAATGTGACGTGAAACAGTGAACTTAGAATATTATTGCCCTATTAAGATAAACACATAAAAGAGTAGCTTCTCATTGTATATACTAAAGGTGCTGCATGGGTGTCAAAGATTAATTGAAAAGATAAATACTAAACTGAAAAAAAGTCATTAGAAACACTATTTTAACAGCAGTAAATCCTGTAATACAGAGTAGAACAATTTTCTACATTAGAAACAAAGAGCAAAGAATAAATTAAGGCAACAGGATTATAATTTTATATAGGCCTATATCATTTTTGGGCACTTTGGATTGTTTTGCATCTGCATTTCCTCAGAGGTCTGACTGGATTTATGTTTATCATCATGAAGCTGTGGTAGCTCTGAGTAACTGGAGATATGTCCACCTGAAACAAGTATACAGGTCTTTATTTACCAGATTATTCTCATACAAACTCATCTCCTGCTTTCCTACAGGACTACTTTTATTAAAAAATAAAATTGACTCTGGAAAGGTGGCTGTGATATGAGGGCAGCCCTGCTAGTAGTAACACCATGTCCCTAAATCATGAAGTTATCTGTAATTTGACCCCATTTACCAGCACTTGGCCCTTGCCTTTCTCCCTCCCAGCTCTGCCTTTTCTCTTTGTCTTGTTCTCCTGTGCATTGTTTCTCCACACTGCTTGGCCACGCACACTCACGCCCTGACTGAACGCTGTGTTGATCTGTGTGTGTGCGTGCGACCAGTCGCGTGTGATGACAGAGATCACAACATCAGGTTAAAAGCAGGCGGGAGGCTGACGGTCTACAGGTCTGAGGGACTGTGGCTACCCTGTGACACATTCAACTTTTACATTCTCGTTCGACAAAATTCTGGATGTCTTATTTGACACGCGCACCCTGGTGCGGCGGCACTGCAAGAGAGAGTGAGACGCGATTCTCCTGCTATTAAAAAAGATTGCTATATCATTGCTGCCGCTGGTTAAGTTGATAATTAACCACAGCCTAGTTTAGTTTAGTTGGCGGGTGTGATAACACCCTCTTAAAATATTTCCCCTCCTGTTACCCAGACGCCCCAGAAGAGTGAGGAAGACGAGGCCCAGAAGGCTCAGAGGGAGGCCAACCCAGAGCGGACGGCCAGCGGCAGGGTGCAGCGAGCATCGGCCCAGGTGGCAAACTTCCACCTGGCTGAGATTGCCAACAATGAGCTGCCCAAAGACTGGCCCAAGAGGAAGTTTCAGTCAGACCTGGTGCCAGATGACAAAAAGGCAAGAGAAGATTCAGTTTGTCTGAAAATGTATTTATCACTTTGCATGATATGAGGGGTTTTTTTTGTGTGTATATTATTTATTCTTAAATTTCTTTTTTTTTTTTCACAAACTGGTACGAATGTGGGTTGATTGAGGAGCTGAAAGAAGTTGGTAAACGTATTTAATACAGTTTCGAAGGCAGAAGAGACACATGAAGTAGTTCCCCTTTATGCTAGTATATAATGAAAATGTAAGTGTTCCTAAGTTGGCTTTCACACATTCATTGATCTCCTCTTGTTCATGCTGGCCTTCTCAGTTGAAATACGCACGGCCAGGCCTGCCTGCCTTCAGCCAAGAGGTGCTGAGGAAGTGGAAGAATGAGGTGAAGCTGCAGAGGAAAGTCCAGTGTCCCAACCAGGTAGGAAACACTGCACTAATAGTTATAGCTAGGGTTATGCTTTAAGTAAGAATTGGCACAGTTTTATTTATTTGTTTATGCATTTATTTATTTCCTGTCTGGTTATGATCACTGCTGTGTGTGCAGCCTTGATGAAACAGGGTGACTAGTGTGATGGAAATGCCTTCATCTCAGGATAGTTGGTTCTACTCCCTGCCTCCCTAAGACAGCTGCGTAACACACTTACAGTATAAAGTCACCTGTTTCTTCACTGGCTCTTGGTCTTACCTTCTGCAGACTGTTTGCACTCTGTATGTTTATCTGACCCTTTGCAAAGAATAACACCCTTAAAAGCGGTCTGGATTGAACTCACTAAAGGATAAATTTCCATTACTCTAGACTGAATGTATAATAAGGTATAAAATTAGTTAAGGTGAGGAATATAATCTTGTAATAAGTGGAATTGATAAATTTGCTCTATTTATTTATAAATGTATGCATCTTTATAAATTTATTTCAGGTTTGGTCCTTCATATATGGTTTTTGTAAAGTTTCTTTTATGATTGGATGTTTTCCTTTTGTCAATCCATTTTTAAACCGCCGAATCTGTCAGTGTGATGGATTATTAACCTGACTTTTTCAGTTGTGATGATTCATAGACAAGTTGAATCCCTGTAACTCAACAATTCCATGATTTAATTTGGCCCTCGGCTGAAGAAAGCAACGTTGCACTACTAGAGCCACTTGATTTTCAAAAGAAAGGTGGGTGTCAAGTGTTACACCCACATAATGAGCACTTTGCTTTTCATAAGTGGTCAAACAACCAGGGTGGGTTTGGTACTTTATATTTGGTATTGGTAAAATTTGTATTTCCTTAATCGTTAGACATTTTTAAACCACAGAATCTGATTAAGTGTTTTAATAAAATACATATTTTTTTCTCTGAAGTGCAGGACCTATAATGTGACCTCATTTGTGTCTTCCTCAGGGTTGTGGCTGCACCTACACCAGTGTGTCTGGACTGAAAGCTCACCTGGGACTCTGCACAAGAGTATGTCAACTTTTTTCTCCATCTCTGAAATAAAATATGCTATTGTCTATTGAACGTACAAAAAAATCGTGCTTATTGGGATTAGGGGCAGAATACCGTGCTACCTGCTGTTTTCCCTAATAAAGCACGGAGAATTCCTTTTGTAAATGTAAAAGGTTTTTTTCACTATGGTATAGATACAAGATTGAATACATGATTTTAAAGACTTAATTTAATTCATCAAATCAAATAACATTCTGGTCCTTCATACAAAAAAATTGATTGTTGCAAAATAACTGATGATAATTTCATGGATCTTTTGTTTCCTTTGATCTAATTTCAGGGTGACTTTGAGGCTGGAAAATACCGATGTCTGATTTGCAATAAAGAGTTTAACTCTGAAAGTGGAGTGAAGTACCACATCAACTCTGTCCATTCACAGGTACTGACATAGTTCACAAGTATCTTTTCACCTTTTTTTTATTACAATGAATGGCTGCTCTGTCTGCATTATTGTATGCAGATGCCATTTAATTAAACGCTCAAAACCTCTTTGAAGAGTTCGCCTCCTAACTTGTGTTGAACCTGTCTTGTGTTTTCGCTCCTCCTCTGTCAACAGGACTGGTTTGTGACAAACAAAAAGGCCTCCAAGAAGTTTGAGAAGTTCCTGAAAAACCAGCCCAAGGAGTTTGTCCACGATGTAGAGAAACAGACCGTGGATCAGTACCACCATAATCACCTCCAGCATCATCAGCAGCATCAGCACCACCACCACCACCACCACCACCACAACCATCAACAGCAGCATCAGCTCCAGCACCAGCCCCTGCAGCACCCTCTGCAACCACTGCACCACCTCCAGCACCAAACCCAGTTCCTCCACCCAGAGCACCAGAACCTCCCTCCACAGGTGGACACCCAGCTCCAGCAGCCGATGCTCCAGTACACCCCTCTAGAGCCTCCTCCCGGACCGCTGTGGGTGGACATGGACCGGAGAGAAGCTGTGCCGGGACCGGAGCAGGCCCCGATCGGGATGGAAATGGCTGATGTTGACAAACCTGAAGAGGACAACAGCGGGATGACGGAGGAGAAAAGGAGAGAGAAGGCGGAGAAAGGAGGGGAGAGGGGAAAGGCCGATGGGAAGCGGAAGGATTGCTTTGCTTTCGGTAGCGGTGGCGGTAGCAGCAGTAGCAGCAGTAATACTGGCAGCTCATCCAGCGAATCAGAGGTGGAGCAGCAGGACAGGCAAAGACAGATTGACCAGTGGAATCTGAAACGGCCGGGAATAATGGAGCCCCACCCTGATGCTGTAAAGCGACAGAGGAGCACTTAAAAAGACCCTAAATACGCTACTAAACATGACACTTTCCTTAACGCTTGTCATGCATCAGAGCTCAACTTAACAGAGGTAGAAAAAGACACCGTCGAGTGTCCGTCTCTGCTTTATTAGAGGAAAACAAACAGGAGAGAAGGCAGCTTATGGCAGAGCTACAACCTGTAATTTTTTGGAAGTTGTGAAAGTATTTAGACGACGACAGTGTCAGCGTGGATACGAGACTGTATACTTCTGGTTTAGAGGCTGTTTCTTGAGATGGTTGTCATTGTATAGCTTTCAGAAATGTAGTATACTGTTTATCTGTGTGTTTATCTGTAACAGATTCTTTTAACCAACTTTAAATGTGTCTTATTCTTTTAAAAAGTTTGATAAACCTTCTTGTTTTTCATGTTTACCTTGAAGGGAAGAAGTTACTGTAACCTTTAGAGAAGATGCTACAGTATAATATTTTGTTAGACTTGTCTAGTCGTGTTCTCTCTCTCTCTCTTTCTTTCTTTCTTTCTCTCTCTTTGAAAAGATTTTGTGCCTCTTAAGTATGATATGAATTTCATACTTACCATCTCTTTTGCTACAACTGATTGGCCTTTTCTGAGGCTAAATAATGTCGGATGTGTCAGTCTTCTGGTAAAATCTCCCTGGCCTGGATTTCCCTCACCGTGTCTCTTCCTGTACCATATTTCCATCAGTGAAGTTTTGACTAGATCAAATTTTTTGAACATTACAGCGAATGCAACTTCGTTCATGGCTGGCATCAAGTTGCCATACTAGAGCCAAGTCTGCTGGCAGTAGTAAAATGAGAGGATCTGTTTGCGTGTGTGCAGTGACCCAGCGCAGTTACAAGGGTAGCAGATCAATACCACTCTTGTTAAGTACAGAACAGGTCATCCATCCACCTAGTACTTCTGCGCATAGCATCCATGACGTATAGCACATTTGCTTGGCAGCCTCAATGCACCTGGCTGTTTTTTCTCTCCCCTTAAAACCATAAATTGTTGTTTTTACATTCTATATGTGTAGAATTAAACAAACAAGATACAGTTTGTGAGCTTTAGAGACGTTGGTAGGTGTATTTTTGAGCTTTTAAAATAGCCAGGCTAGCTGTTTTTCCCTTCTTCCTGTCTTTATGCTAAGCTAAGGTATTTACCTCCTGGGGCCATCTCCATACTTAACACACAAACCAGGAGACTGGAAAACAGCATCAGCCAGCTGGCCTACCGCACGATGTACGTCTTTTAATGCTCTCAGCACCCAGTTTCCAAGAAACACAAAACAAAGAAATCTAAATACTTAATTTGATTACATGCAGTTAAAATGTTACTCCAGCAGTGTGTGAAGCCAATCTATGTAGTTTTTCAGATGTATTCCTGTAGTCTTAGAAATGCAGTAATACATTTTTATTGTAGTTGGACAAAAAAAATAGACCTACTCGATCCGCTTACTAGCTTTTCATGAAGACGTCTGTTTTTTTTTATCAGTTTTAGGCATTTCATGCAGGATCATAGTTCCCCGAACAAAGAAAGCAGAGAAATGGCCGATCAAAAACAACAGTAAATGTGACCGTCAACATATTGGTGAGGAAATTAATGGATTGCAGGTGACTTATCACTTATGTTACAATAATAGATAATCTGAGAGGTTTAATATTGATGGCCAAGACACGAGTGACAGCCAACTCTGTTGAAGAAAAGCTAACATACAAAAGCATTTAACATGGAGGGTGGGTGCTTTTCTTTTCTGTTCTTCAAAGACAGACCTGTTTTTGTCTAGCAGAATATTTAACCGATAGCATGTAGCCTAATGTTTATGTACTCGGCATTTTGTATCTACTATTGTGGTGTATGGTTATGGATGGTTTTCAGTCATTTGTTTGTGATGTTATAACACCATTTTTGTGTAATTTTTACAACTTTTTATGCATTTATGAATGTATTTTGGTTTCCCATCTGTTGTGCATGTTACAGTTCACTAAAAGACGACCATTAATTCATCTTTTGTCTTGATTTGAAACTTTCAATGCGGAGTACCCTTTAATCTGTTAATCTGACAAAGAAAAAAAATTTACTGTAGTGTGCTTTACCCTTCATGGCCCTCCATCAGATGCCTTTTGAAAGAACAATCTGTGTTGTTTAAGTTTTAAAAATAAAAACCCTCCTAGTACATGGGAAGTATTTCAGAAAGCATTGTTCATTTTAAATAATTTTCTTTGGGTGCGTGGACCCCTGTACACTTGCTTGCAAGTCTAGTTTTTATTTTATTTTTACTTTTCATTTAGGATGGACTTTTTAAGAGTCCAAGCCATGTTACTGTTACTCTACTTTTTCTCTTTGGTGCTAACCTGTTGTTGCATTGTTTAAAAAGACTTTGCTGCGATAAAGTTTGAATGGGACTGCAGATTTTTTTTCTTTGTTCAGCCACTGTGGATATTGTTGTTCATGCTAAATATCCTGTACTTCTTAATAATAATTATAACAAGAGAGTTCTTGTGATCATTATTCATCACCTAATGTTATGTAACAATTTTGTTTTCATGTTGTTTATTGTCTCAAAATGCCTTCTATTCAAAATGTAAACGTTTTCAGGAAGTGGCTTGAAGTTCCTTTACTGTTGAAATACTTCCCATGCTTGTGACCAAATCTTTATCACCATGCATGCACTTTGAACAGTTTGATGGCACAAAGGACAGCATTGCTCAGCTTTAAGAGACTTTATCCCTGACTAAATATTTTAATCCCCTCCAAACCTGCGTTATCATTGGAAAGGTTTATGAATATTTCAATGGAATTTTGTTCAAAAACATGAATTGTTTATATTTTTTGTGTTTTAGTGCCAAAAACAGATACATTATGTAACTTGAGTTTTGAAAGCCACAAATCCAAGTTATCTTTGACTAATTGGTTTTCCCATCAACCACTGCAGATCCTGTATGTCAGGGTCCTTAGTGAACATGTAAAATCTTTGAGTTGGAACTGACCTCCTGAATTAATTATTTCTTTTGGAAAATGTTTCATCCAGTGGCCGTACTAGATGCGATGCTGGAAATGGATGTAATGTTATTAACCATACAGTTAATGATATAAGAATAGAATGAGATGAAAATAATGAATTTTGTTCTCATGTCTTGTGCCCCAGCCACCACCATCCATACAGAAAATATTCAGTATATATAATCTAGGCCAGCTTTGAATAAAGGTTCAGTTAGTAGTAATGTATCATTTGTAAACACATAAAGAAAGCACTTATTTTTTCCATTTTGTGGGACATCATTTCTATTAAAGTGAAAATACTTATTGTCTCAGCCAACCCTTCAGTGATCTGTACATTTAATATGTTATTACTTGTTTGTTTTTTTTAGAAGTTATGTGCTGCTATTTCATAGTACCAGCAGTGTTATAACCACAGATAATTAAAAGTTTAATTCATGGTGACTTTGGGCTCTGTTTCTTTAGTAACAGCGATGTGGGAACTGTAAGCTGTCACAAAGAGAAGCACCGTATCTAGTCCCTTATACAAGTTTGTTGTTTTCTATTTTCTACATTTTGACATTTTCTCCATTTTGCTCATTCACAGGTTCATCCAGTGGGGTCAAACCTATTGTTTGACCTGTCTTGTTCGCTCGACATAAGAGCTCTAGATGAGCTCCTGCACACCTTTGAGCCTAGTCCCACATATTCCTGCACCTCATGACTGGCCCCTCCTACATCACTCCATTATAGTGGTAAAAGAGTTCTCAACATTGGCCACATGTATCCCTTTAAACCAGCCTCACAAATACAAGTCATGTTACAGCAGGTTTGTACATTATGTATATTACAAGACTTAAACAATAAAGCAAATCAAAGTGCTAGAGTTAATTAAGACATAAAAATTGTTATAAAACAAGAAGTTGCATGCATAGCAACAACAGTCAGGTGCTGATAGGTCACAGGATTTGGCAATGAAAATCAAATACACAGCATATTGAAATGACTTTACTGTATTTATCATGAACAGCGTGTTTCGCCTATTTTATAGCCTCCCCAATCATGATGTCCTCCTAGCTGAATATATTATATATTAAAGATAATTTGAACAGTTAAAAAGATTTATATTATATTTAAAATCAACTGATAACAACAAACAGTGACAGCTACAGTTTTCTTTGCTGTGTGACATGGTTGGGTACATAATAAATATTAATTCACAACAAAAGTTATCTCATTGCCCTTTTCATATGACCAAAGTCTTTCATCACACCCCTAATCTCAGACCTTTTGTCCCCACCCCGCCCTTGACACAGCTCCAGAGCCAGAAACACCTGCAGGAAGCGAGTTAGTTAACATGCATTAATGGGATAAAGTTGCATACAGATTTAAGTTTTCACCTTGTTATAAGAAAAAATTGTAATCAAATAAAAACAGTAGTCGAAATACAATTTTTTTCCCTTTAAGTCCTTTAATGATGCATGTTGCACCCCCACTATTAAACTACTGTTAATGTACTCGAGACTTCCATCTGATACTCAGTGAGAGCGAGGATTGAACTCGTGGCTGCTCCGGTATTTAATCGGTGTAATTCCACTTTCTGCTAATAGGGGGCGATGTGGGACACCACCATGCCAGTACAGTAACATGGCGGTCTGATGTAAGAGGAGTGTGAGTTTCAGCAACCTGAATCAGTGGAGAGACCGCGGGTGGTGTTTATATTTTATCATTAGAAAAAGAATAACGGCTGGATGTAAATGTCGGGCCTGTTCACACGGTCCCGGTGATCATCCAGAGAGTCTTTCCCGGTAGCAGAGTTTGGGACTCGATCTCGAGTGACCAGACGGTAACGTCAAGCATCCCGGGTTCGGAACGAGGATATTCAGCCTTCGCCACGGAAGAGGAAGCCTGTGTTTCTCGCTGGGTGAGTTTTTAATGGTGCTAGCAGTATTCCCGTTAAAGTCTGTGAGCCACAAGCTGATTTTAAGAGTATTACAGTTGCTTAACGTTAGTATAAGAAGCCCTACACTCCACAGACACTTTGGCCATTTAGCGTTAGCTGTGTGGTGTTAGCTCGGAGGCTAGGAGGAGAAGACTGGGAAAACAAACGAGTAACAAAAGTATGTTACTTAAATAACTTGGTACTTGGTATGTGTTATATTTAAAAGACGTGCCGAATTGATGAGTGGTTCAAAACTATTATATCTGCTAAGTATCCGTATATTTATTACTCATGTACTTGTGCCAGAATGGAAGAGAGCATAAAACTGTCTCTTTCCTGAATGGGGTTTGGTTTGACAGACGAGATATCGAGGTGATATCGGTATTATGCTCGACTCTATGACTCCACGTTTCCAGAATAATTATTTAGCAACGTGTCAGGCTATGTAAAATACAGTGAAGACGTCTGTGATAACTTATTGTTTTTATTTACTGTCATTACAGGCTGCTGAATTGTGACTGAAAACTTCAAGTCAATCAGTCAAAACCAAAGTAGGAACCACAAGGTATTGTTGTAAAATATTACTGCACAGTGTACATGACTGTAAGCCTATATGTTGTTGTTGTTGTTTTTAGAAATTTATCTTGTTTGTACCATATTTTCAGAAGTAATGTTTTACAGATGTTGTGATGTGGTCCCTAAAAAAGGTTGATGGTTGCTGTGTCTTAATTTCTGTTTCTGAGCAGCAGAAAGGTCAGCGTGAGCAGGAACTTGCTCCACATATGAGGAGGCATCTGACAAGACAGCCACAGCACCAGAAACCCAGGGCATATGGATCCCAATGACTCTGGAGAAGGTTTCCAGTGCATTATGTTACTGTCTATTACTGAGGTGTCATTTGGGGAAAAATATTAGTGAGCACACATTACTAATTTGTACTCTCCAGTTAATGTCAAGATACTGTAGCTATAGGAAATTTAGTTACAGGTTCCTGACTACTCTGGTCAATTGTGGAGGAGCACGCTGAGTGGCAGGCTAGCAGCTGTGTGGTGGTGTGGAGGTGCCTACAAATTTAGAATGATTTCATTTAAATTTATATTGATAGGTTATCGATCTTATTATATTTGATCTTGTGCCATTGGCATTTAGTGATGGTACATCGGATGTTTTTTCAGCAATACTGGCCAGCTTTGGCGGTTAGGAGTTACTGTAGGTGGACAAAAACCACTGTGTATCCTAATGCGGTGCAAATTAAACAGCCTAAGTTATCAGGCCTTCGATAATATTGATCTTGGAGCTGCTTGGATTTAATGTAGTGTTGTATTGATTTTGCACAAAACAACATTGTGTTATCTTTGACATTCATTAAATGTAATTTAACAATATTGTTTAACATTATGAACTGTTTATTTGTGTGCTCAAAGTAAGTAAATCAAGAGTGTGAATTAATTTGTGCTCATTATCTTTCATTCCCCAATGACACCTGCCGTATGATATATTAGTTTATTTAAAAGTGTTGTTTCTTTTTATAAGAGTAACATTTGGTGAGATTTAACCACAGAATAGATGGAAAGGTAGCTCTTGTGGTGAAGCAATTCTCATTTCAGTAGGTTTTTGATTTTAATTTACTACTTTTATTTTATTATTTATAGTTTATACTATATAAATGGTACATCTGTGGAGTAATAACTTCAGTCTCCTCACAGGGCAAGAGGAGCAGCATTACGATTTAACACCCAGCTCCAGAGGACGACAGCGGAAGAAAAATCCAAAATATTTTGATTATGAAACAGATGTATTTGATGTGGAAAGTGTCCAGCAAAAAACACCTACAGAGAAGTCAAGAGGAGAGGGAGCGACTTCTAAACAGACTCCGGCAAAGAGTGGAAAAGCTAAGAATGCCACTCAACAGACTGCAGATGGGGAAAACGAAGCAACTGACAAAACACCTCAACAGTCAGATGGGAAAACCTCAGAGGACACACCTAAAAAGGTAATTAGAGCAAAGAAGACTCCAGCCAAAAAGACTCCAGCCAAAAAGACTCCAGCCAAAAGGACTCCGGCCAAAAAGACTCCGGCCAAAAAAACTCCCAACACTGATGGGGACCTCTCGACTGGGAAGGGTGAAGTTCTAGATACTGAACATCAAGAAAATAGGACACCAAAGCCAAAGAGAAAGTATGTGAAGAAGGAGCCTACAAAGGAACCGGAACCAGTTACAGAACCACCATGTAAGGAGGCTGAAGGGGAACTTCCGATTGAACCTGAGGGGGAGACCCAGCCAGGAGGCCGTCGTAGGAGAGGTGCTGCTAAAGCGTAAGTTACATGTATTGTATTCAGCAACAACTAATAAGATTAATAATAATAATAATAGCTGGATTTTCACCTCTATCGGTCATATGCTTTGTACATTGCACTGCAGTGAGAGAAAATTTACTCTCATGAGATGTTTGTTCTGTCTAGGGGTAAATAAAGTGTGCATACCTACCTATGAAATAAAAAATGTGTTTAAATGTAGAGGTATTGGATCAGAAGTATAATAATGTAGTTGTTTTAAGAACAATCTTCCAACTGCCAGCAGCTTCAGACTTTTCAGGACTGTTCTGCATGCACGCAAGGGCAATGTAGTCATTCTATATTAAAAATGTTGTAAAAATTTCTCTAGGGCATTGAAATACCTCCATAATTTGGCAAAAGAAGTGCTCGGTCATTCCAATGATGAGTCAGGCCCACAGCCAGAGGCCAACAGCGATATTACAGAGGGGAAAAGTCTCAAAGGAAAGAAAGGTACAGTGCAAATCTTTCACCACTCACAACCATGTAACACAGTGATGGAAGTAACCAACAACAATGACAACACCTGACTGATGCTAAGAGCTGCCTCTTGCTCTCAAATTACCAATAACCGCTCAGCACAAACTAAAATAAGCCTGTTCATCTTGATGCCCTAATGCTTTGGCTGCCTAGTGTCTAGTTTTATGATATGTGTCACAAATCACAAAGAATTGCTGGGTAGATGTGTGAGAGTGACATCCTGATTGTGTGGATGTTGTTGTTTTCATTCCATTTCCAAAGCCTAAAACAAATGTACTCAAATGTAAACAGTGGGAAATTGTGCAGAACCACACAGTCAGCTGAACAGTAGTATCACAAAGGACACCTTTGTTCAGATGTATTAACTAGCATTGTGTAACTTTTACTGTAGTTTATATCCTGCCTGCGGCTACTAATTTTAAACTGCCGTGACTATATTGTTGGCTGTAAGTTGCCCTACAGTAACTGGAGATGTTAGTAGGTGGCTTTTTAATTTCGGAGCAAGCCAAGCTAGTTTGTCCCTTCTTCCAGTCTTTTTGCTAAGCTAAGCTAAACACCTCCTGGCTGTAGCTCAATACTTAGCTTGCAGAACGGAGACTGATGACTAACTCTTGGAAAGAGAGAAAATGGGTGCATTTCCAGAAACGCAGAACAATTCATTGTGCCTTTAGTCATTGATTCATTAAAAAGCAACAATCCTGCGTTGTCTGCTTTTGAAGAAAACATGTACTACGTGACAGGCCCCATCGGATACATAATACATTCAATATCTATTTAATCTTATCCAGTCAGGAGAGTGTATGTTCCCACTGAGGCAATAATGTAGGGTTTTTTTCCAGCTTATCCCAGTATTTCCTTTTCTCTTTCAAATTGTGATTCCTGAGTGAAGCGGTGTCAGTGTACCCATGACAGTGTGGCTATAGACAAGATAAGAGGCTAATGTACACATGAATTTCTAGCTGCATTTCCCGTCATGGTGAATGTGGATCAGGGATCAGGGGCAGGCAAGAGGCGAGGAGATCACATACAGCAGGATAGTAAGCTTTTATGTTTAGCGTCCCAGTGTGGCTTTCTACTTGCTTGGGCCATTGGTAACTCATTACCATTGACCTATGCCATAATACCTGTTCTTATTGCCAGACATTTATTTATTTTTATATATATATATATATATATATAAAACAAAGTAACTTTCCATTGATTGTCTACGTAAGGCCAATTGTGAACATTATTACAAATCAATGAGCAGAATGCATGTGATGAATTGCTTTGTTTTTCTATGTATTTTTTTCACTGAATTAGCCAATAACTGATATTGCATCTGCTTTTTTTCAAATCTTGAAATAGTTTGGCAATTTTATTTGAAGATTAATGACGATAGCATGATATATATCAAAATCACATGCCATATAGAAATACCAGACCCCCTTTAGCAATGAAGATCCCTACGTACTCTGACATTAATTGTTCTTTACATTCCTGCAGGGCGGAAAGGCCGCAAGAGAAAACTGGCCGACTGTGACAGTGGTGCAGAAGATGAGGACTTTGTTCCAGATGTTGAAGATGAGGATTTTGAGGAAGTGGAAGACGAAGAAGAAGGAGAGGACTCAGACACAGACTTTAGGACAGTTGGAAGAAGTCCAGCAACTTTTCACTGCAACAAGGCCTTTGTTAGTAGTTTTTTTATCTCTGTTGTATCTCTTTACCTGACATTGAAAAAAAAATGTATTCCCATATTAGGTGAATCTTATGCTTTTGGTTTCCCCAAGTTATGAGAGATGGAGGCTCTGTGACCAGTATTATATTTAGATCTCTGTAGAACTTTGCCACGTTGTTTCACCTTTGGTGCATGTCATTCCCCTCTCTCGCCTTTCCTGTCTCTGTCTACTGTACTGTCACAAATCAAAGCAAAATGCCAAATAATAAATGCACAAAATAGTGATAGTTAAACTCAACCAATCTCCTTTTCTCCTACAGACGGGCCCAGGCGCCAGAATCCCCAACGGTCTCACCACTAACTACATGAGAACTGTTTGGGAGTTCACTGAGACGACTAAGAAATTGTAAGTTGTTTCACTCTTGCAGTTTGGTTGTGGTTGTTTCGTCCCACCTTGTTCTACCAATGTAAGAGCAGAACGTAAATCTGCTTTATTTTTTAGAAACATGTGCACGCCAATATTTAAGCATTTGTCACTAGGCAACCTCAAAGTCATACAGTCAGTGATAGTGAGTGGCATTGCACAGATGTTATAAAAAAACTCCACCTGACAGAAATCTGTTTAAAGTTATGTCTTTTTTTTCTAACTGCATACATAATGTCTAACTCAGCTATGAGATGATCTCACACATTTAAGGAAACTGATGTGCAAAACAACACCAGAAATAAAGAGAAACAAGTACTGTGTGTGCGTGTGTGTGTGTGTGTGTGTTTTCCAGCCGGGAGGAGCACTACAGCAGCTGGGTGTTCCCAGAGTGGGTCCCCTCCACCAGTGACTGGCACCTTGTACCACAAAGGTAGTTAACCTTTTAACCTTTGTTTATTATTACTGAGATAATTCGGTTTTCTACAAAAAAGGGGACTTGTATAAAGTGATCAAAATAAAGTCAAAGTTTCACCACATTTTAATGCATTATTTATAATTGTGGAACACATGAGCTTCTGGTTTTGTATTATGGCCTCCAACCTATTTGTCATAACAAACTTGAATAGATAGGGTTAGTTTTTGTGCTGTTTGTATACTGATACATGATCATTTCATCAGTCACTGAAATGTCAGATTTTTAGCAATGTAACTTGATTGGACTATTAGAAGCACAGTTGTATTATTTATGCCGCGTTCCAGACTGCTCGGAACTGGGAAATGTCCGAGTTGCAATATCTGACTTTCAGCCTCAAAGCGTTCCAGGTGCATGGTGGTGCCTGACGCCGAAAGTGAACGAAATACATGGCTGACCATGACAAAGTCTTTGTCAAGTGTATGTATTATGGCCATTTTAATGAAAACAATGGACTGAAGTTGTAATCCTCAAAAGACGGTAAATGTTGTAGATTATACTTCCTAATGTTTTCAAATGTTTTGGCGTTTTCCTGAACAACTTTTGGGTAGAGAAGATGACTTTCAGAGATTCTTTACTGTAATCAGCTACCTAATAACATTGGCAAAACATTTCTACATCTATTTACATGCAGAACAGGTTTTACTATATGAAAGCATGAGTTATTTTAATTTGAATACATGGAAATATACTTTATGTTGCCTTTTAGTTTATGTTGTATGTGTGCTTCCATGGGAGCTGACATTGGGGTAGATATTTTTTCACAAGTAGGAAATCCGATGTCAAGTGGCGTTCCAGGATAGTTTTTCTAGAGAGAAGTTAGAGGTCGGAAATTTCCGAGTTCCCAGTTACTGGAACGCAGCATAACATATCTGATGGACTCGTTAATGCACCTAGTAGACATTATGCTCTGGTCACAGAGCCTCCATCTCTCAGATATTGCATGTGTTGAGTGTGTTGGGAATTCTGATCTAGCATTGAACTTCTGTTATGCAAGTTAGTTATCAGAGGTGTGTGTGTCTTATGTGTTATTCAGTGATTTGGAGAAATACCTGCCTCAGGAGCTTCAGTCGGCTGCTTTCAAAGTGTCCAGAGAAGGCCACCGTAAGGAGGAGACACCTCTTCAAAGACTCAAAAGGTTCGACTCAGCGTCATACAATCATTACATTATCCACAGGATACAAAGCAAAATGTAATTCAGCATTTAAAATTAGATCCTTTCATCGCTTTACTAGACAAATGTGTGACTCTGGCTGAAGATGCTTCAGGAAGATTTAGTTTTGAACACTTAATGACTCCTCAGTATCATATATTTAAGTAATATGTCATCATTTATTACTTTTCCAAGAAGGTCTGGAATTCAAACCTTGGTCGTCCCAGTCCTTTCTGTTTGGAGTTTATATGTTCTCCCTGTGTCCACATGGGTTCTCTCCGGTGCTCCGCCTTCCTCCCACAGTCCAAAGATTATTTGGTGACTCTAAATTGCCCTTAGGTGTGGATGTATGTGTGTGAATGGTTGTTTGTCTCTATGCGTCAGCCCTGTGATGAACTGGCATCCTGTCCATGGTGTACCCTGCCTCTTGCTCAATGTCAGCTGCTCCAGCCCCCCCACAACCCTGCATGGATAAGCGGTTATAGATAATGGATGGATGGATTACTTTTCCTTTTCCTGTCTAAAATATCAACATTGTAGTCTGTCTTTTCAGACGTTCTGTTACGCCAGCCAGTGTCAAATAGCATTGATTAAAAATATAACTCGGATCACTATTTTCTTTTTTTTGTTGCTAATCTGAAATAAAGTAAATATATATTTTGGTGTTAGTTAAGTAACTAATTTGTACCTGTTATTAGAGCCTTTCTGTTTATGTAACTGACCAGGTTCGCAGCAGTGCCTGCCCACCCGGATTGCTGGGACATGTTCCTGTATGCAGGTGGACCGGTCTGGGCCCTGGAGTGGTGTCCTACACCTGATGGTGCTCCAGCATCCCAGTACATAGCTCTGGCCTGTCACCGAGGGATGGACGACTGGCACTATGTCAACAAGATGTACACCGGACCTGGACTCGTTCAGCTGTGGGACGTGGGCAAGCTGGATTACAACAGCAGGTACAGCTGAAGTGGGCAGTAATGTAATATAAGTAATGGTTTTTTTGATTTAAGATCTATTTTGCTGCAGTCAACTGATGTGATTGTGCTGAATGGGCTGCATCATTTCCGGAGTTTATTATGAGGTTTCCAGATCTTTTTTTTCTTAATTTGGAAATCAAAACCTCAATCAACCCACCATTTTTGTATTTTCTCACCATTATTATTTACAAGAAATGGTTATTTCTATTGTTTATGCTACATCTACATGCTGTCTCTTTAAACTCTCTCTGTCTGTCTGCAGACCAGACTCACAGCCAGCCTTGGCCTATGGCTTGGCCCAGAACAAAGGCTTCATCTGGAATCTAAAGTGGTGTCCTGCAGGAGGCTGGGAGCCTCCCAGTTGTGACAGAAAGGTAAGGTGTTATTAAAAAGGGTCTCCACCAACATGAGTTGTTGGCATATTTGGTCTGGAGTTTTATATAGCTAATACTTACAATATTAAATCTACCTTCAAAGGCACCTTTTCTGCCCAGACTGGGTCTTCTGGCAGTTGCCACCTCCTCCAGTGTGGTCACCATTTACAGTCTGCCCCACCCTGATGCTCTAAACTCCAACAAGAAGCTTGCTAACTCTGGTAAGACTGTGAATATTAAACACAGAACTGTCTACAATTTTCCCTTCAGATCTGTTGTTAGTATTTTTGTAAATGTTCCAATACAATTGTTGTAACAGTGATTTACTTCAGTGGTATTATTGTTTCACATAACTGTAAAAATGATACACAAAGTTCCTGGCCAATGCACGACCTGGACTTTACCAGATTCAGACAAACAAAATGAAGTGTGTCCTGTGTTCAGCAGAGGGCAGTCTTGCCTTTCTAAAGCCTGAGGTCAGTATGTTGGATACCTGATTCATGTGAGGACCCAGGACTGCAGTAAAGCAGCACTGTGAAAATAAGCTAGTCTATAGATTTGTTCACACCCAACTGCTAATTTTGACATTATCTTTTTTGCAGTACTTCCTTACTCCATTTCTTGACACACCACAACAAAGACAAAGTACATAAAAAAAGAAGAAATCCACTCCTCATGTATCCACTCACAGACTCACATCCTTCTATCCTTCCTTAGAGTGTCACGCACAGCTCCCATCCATATTCTGACCACTAAAAGGCGAGAATAGAGGTTTGCGTATAGGTGCTTTTAGCAGGCGCCATAGTGACTTTGAAGCACCATGCACCTCCAGCGAGTGCTTTGGTGAAATGTGGATCCATTTGTTGACTCAGACATTTGGAGTTACCATGATACTGTTATCAAACACATTTGATGTCCAGTGACTCGTACCCTCCAAAATTCCCTGTGAGAGGTGGAAAACACAGGTAACAACCGTCAAAGCCAGCAGGAACTAATAACTTTTAAGATGCCTAAGGCTGTAAAATACAATATCAGTAATACTTGAAAATGTTTGTTTATAGACAAATTTGGAGGCTATGCGGTGGAATTTTAGAGGTAGGAATTAAGAGATTATCACAACCACATTGTATATTGTATATTTGTGGAAAGGCTGCAGCAACAGCAAATCCTCACAACAAAGAGGATGGAATAAATTAATATTTGGCATTAAAGAGAGACAAAATGACAAAATATTTATTAATTATCAAAATAGCTGCTAATTCATTATCTTTTAATCAACTAATCGCTAGTTTTCTTTTAGCTCTAGTCTCATTAGAATGATTTCAGGTTGCAGGATATACATACTTTACCCGATTAAGTCAACATTAGGTGTGCAATATGTCAAACAGAAACATATCCATCATATGAGACATGGAAATCGTTAAGTGGTCTGGATCTCATGTAGGCTGTCAGTCTCCCAGTGTGTTTGTATATTTTGTGCTTAGGGGTCTATCAAACTGTTTAATGCAGCTTTACCAGTGGCAGCAGTTATCAGCTCACCCGAAAGATTTAAACAAACACACACACACACACACACACACACACACACACACACACACACACAGAATGCTCTCCAGGAGTGCAACATAGACGCTGGAGCCTGCAGTCTAGTCTATTCAGATCATCACATCAGCTGCCTCTGGGGCTCTGCTGATAGAAGACTGTATGAATGAGATTAATGGCCACATCCATCATACACAGAAACCCGGTTATGTCTGTACATGTGTGTCTTTATCTGCCTGTGTCTGCCCAGGGTTACAGGCTTATCTGATTAAACATCTTAGCAAGATCGTAGCATTTCAGTACAACACACACCTCAAAAATAAACGCTTACACACTTTGCAATATACACAACCTTCTCACACTCCATTGCACCTTGTGTTATTGAGCATATCTTCTCTGTAGCACAGTGTAACATCAGCATTGGCTGATATTTGTGCTTGTAAGTGAGAATGCTGATACTCAGCATTTAGTGTGGTTGTGTAGTACCTTTTAAAATGTTTGTTAAGAAAAACTACTAATAACTAGGGCGTCAGGCTAAAGTTTATTCCTCTCACAGTCTTAAACTACCACTACACTAAATGCCATCAAATGCATTTATTCTATATCAACTTGTCCAAATTTGTGTTTATTTTATTTAGTGGTTACATTAGCTTCAATATTCTCCTATAATTATATGTGTCATACTAGCAAGAGTTGGAATAGCAACACACCATTATAGAGGAGCTCATGCACAGTCATGTATGTGTTAATATTTAAATAAAATACAGTATATCAGGTGACAAAAAACTCCACTGGCTACTACACACTTTCACTTGGCTTGGTATTACAATTTCTGGCACAGTTTGGACATAAAATGCCATATAAACCTGACATATCCATTCTTTTTTTCTTTCCCCATTGCTTTATGGCCCCTGGTTTCCATTTTATTTTGTAGTCATGGGTCATTGAGTCCAGTTTCAAAAGAGCTACTGCATCAGCCCCCTGCTTCCAAACATAGGTTATAGTTATTGAATCGAAAGGTTGCAGAGCATTCACATTTGGAGATACCTCCTAAACACAGATGATTGCAAAGAGAGACTTGGGCTTATACATGGACTAAGACTGGGCTTTAACAGGGTCACAGTCAGCATTATCAAAATACAGAGGTCTTGAGTCTAACTCTGACCAATGCACCAAAAGAAAAGGCTAGATTGCAGACGTAAAAGGACTCTCTTAATGGTTTACTTGTGGCACCAAGGACAACAGGACATTTTCTCTTCTCTAGCGAAATATCTCTACATCTAGATGATGACAGGATGTGGGCATTTCTGTATGCTTTCAACAAATAACTTGCAAAAAGACTCTGCTGCCGCATGACCTGGAGTATAAGAATACCTTACATCAGCTGAACTGTTCTCCAAGTGTAGGTGGAACAATGTACTTTGCACTGACCATAAAGAGGCGGGGGAGGGATAGAAATGGCAGAGGTACAAGAGAAAAATGACCGATGAATTGTTTCAAAGCTTCTCATTTCTTTTAGCCTGACATGATCAATAATCGATAGTAGATTAGCTATCTTACGTGACCATGAGTGGAAATAATTCCCATGAGATTCAGTATCAAGGGTTAAAGGTGAAATTGGCTTGGAAAGAGTTAAACAGGGTGTGTCTGTGTGTGTCTCTCCCGGTCTGTCTGCACCAGCCCAGCGCTGTTTGCGACAGATAATTATAAATGGCTTTTGGCCGTCCAGTCACCAGAATGAATAAGTGAGTGAGAAGAGGAGGCTGTTAAAGCTGCAGAATTGGAGGGCGGGGGGGGGGGGGGTTGCAGGTGTAGAGGCGGAGCATGGAGGGGGGAAAAAAGGACAAAAGGGAGAATGTGGAATGGCGTAGTGAACGCACCTAATTTACAGCGCCGTTGTCCATCAGACAAAGATCTATAATTGAAATGACAAAGAAGATGCATCACCGAACCAGTTGTTAGTGTTGGAAGCTCTGAATTTTAGGTCTAGTAGCTGACACCTCTTGTATTCCTGCTCTGTCAGTCATCAAGGAAGTACTTTTGATTTAGCAGGGAACCACTCTGTTATCAATCTTCAGTTTAGGGTAAATCATTTTAATACTAAGATTATTTCCAGATTAGGGTTTAAAATGTAATGGCTCATTGGTAAAGTTTGTTCATGGTAAAAAAAATATATATCTTCAGAGGAGTGTTATATTAGCTGTATTAATGTTAATTTATTGCCACTAACACAAAAACCCTGTGTATGATGTAGGCTAATTTCCATCATCAGTTATACCAGACTGTTGGTAATGAGCAAATACTCATTAATACAGTTCATACAGGGCTCAGCTCTGCAGCTATAGTAATGTACACATATTTGCTAAACCACTGAATTATATTAGTGGTTTAAATCTATAGACTTCTACATTTTTAGTTCAGGAAAATATGGTTGCAGGATGTTAAACATGGAGAATAATAGAAAACCAGGTTTTCAAAACAGTTTAATTTGGCAGAATGTATATATCTTGTCATTTTATGTAAAGAAATTTGTGTATGTGAAGGCAAGAGGTTGTGTTTACTCGTATCAAAGCCAAGAACTCAGCTTTGGGTTGTAAAGCCATGTTGGATAATTTGAGTTGACTTATTCTTATTGAGGAAAAGCTTGGGTTCTCCCAGTGCGTGAAAATTGGTCTGGACTTGATTTAGGACATAAGAGGCTTATATAAAACTATAAATGTGTGTTTTTCTGAAGCCGAGGTAAGTTGATGGAAAGCCTGGAAGTGTGAGGAGGACACAGTATTGATCTGAACTCAAAAAAATCTAAACTGGAGGAGGAGAGAAAACTAATGATGGGGAACACTCAGTTCTTTTTTCGTTATTGGATTTTACATCTATAAAACTCAACAGTGATTGTCAAGGCAGACACGGCAGAATTACTTCTAAAGTGGTGCTTAACATCCATTCATTTTGAACCACAAAAGGGGAGGGGCTCTAGAGAAAGCAGTTGGTCCAATGGTCTGTCTGTCCGACACTTTGGTCTTTGTCATTGTCATCTCAACAACTATTGGATTTATTGCTGTAAAACTTGGTATAGGCATTAATGTTCTCCATAAGATGAATTGTACCTTTGCCTAAGTCTGAGTCTAGCGTCTTCAACAGGTCAAAGTTTCCACACTTTAGCTTGAAAGGTTTATGAATTAATCATTGAATGACCTTCAACCTCAGCTTGAGCTTGGTGCTAACATGAATCACATGACATCAGAATGGTAACTTGCTATAAATTAGCATGTTACCATTGTTAAAGAGTAACTACACCCAGATTAATAATCCTACATCATAGCTGGTGTGTCACAAGTGGTAAAGTGTAGAGCCAAGTCTGTGATCCTCACTGCGTAAGGCACAGATATACACAGGCACAGGCAAGTATGTGAACAATGCTGTTTGCGTCGCCGACGCCTGTCTATGCCTACGCGTTGTTAAAAAGCAAGTATATCGAGGGCTTAATGCGCTACCCTTGAGTTTACATTACATAACACAGATTTTTAGGTTGTTGCACCAATGAGAGATAAAACAAAAGTTATTCAAATGACTCAGCTACACAAGTGTCTTTTTGTTCTCTGAAAATGCTCGTTGTTATGCTCATTAAATAGATTCCAATTTAAAATTGTGATTACCAATAGTGAAATATTTACCAAGGTTGAGTTATGTTTTTTTTTTCTGCAGGAAAAGCCAGCGAACAGTTGCCAATATTCCAGGTATGCTCATTTTAATCTCATGCTGTCAAAATCCTCTCTGTTTACCCCGCAAAATTCTGCCCACCTACACATTATGTTATGAAATACCTAATGTACAGTATATGACAGTGGGCAACAGGAAAATATAATGTCCAGCCCTGCTGTTTACCTTGTTGTTTCAGTGACATTTCTTTGTTCCTTCTTTTTGCAGGCAGAAGGAGTGTTAACACTGAAGCTGGGCTCCTTCAAAGCCCCTCGCCATGAAAGGAGTGGACAAGTTCTGTCTATGGACTGGCTGCCTAAAAAACCACACAATATAATGGCTGTTGGATTCTATGACGGTCTGAATTGATTTGTTGGAGATGTTCTTGATTAATTGGTTCTGAATGTCCTCAGGTTCCTCTGTGCATTTTAACTGTTGTCACTGATGAACACACTTTCTTAAAAATAGCACTTGCCTACTTCTTTTTTGATCCGTGTCTTCATGAACTAGTTGCTTTAAATTATTTTCCAGATGTTTCATCTTTATTTGAGTGTGTACAGTGTAGCAAGTTAAAGGAGTCCTGTGTCATATAGTCCTGTGTGTTACATTCTTGTTCTATGTCTCGTTCTTCAGGTGTAGTAGGTCTGTGGGATCTGTCCACAAAGTCTGCGCTGTTGCGAGTGCGACAGTCAGACGGGTCATTCAACCTGATGCCCTATCGATGCTTCCTGGCTCACGACCACGCTGTCCGGGCCTTGGCCTTCTGTCCTGCCTCCAGGTAAACTCTTTCACCCTGATCGCACCTGTATGCTAATGCTGCATTCACATTATGTCACATTTGTCAATGTGTGATGAAAGACAACTTTTCAGATTTTCAACTTGATCTCTATGCGTTTATCATAATTTAAGATTCCTAAACAGACTGGTATGTTTTCTTTTACTCCATGTTACATACATACATACTACATACTAGCTTTAATCATCAGATAAACTATTGTGACTTCAGAGAATAATTTATCTTGAAACTACTCAGCTTGTCACTGAATCATTTGTCATTTGGATTGATGGATAGTGCATACTTACTGAGAGTAATGACAAGTGCACATGTTGACAATGTCACTCTACTGCAAGTACACAGGGATAATGTTGTGAAGTGGATCAAGAGCATCCATGGTTTGCAAAAATGTCTAGCATTGCACCAGCCTCAAATGGATTTGAATTCACAAACACATCCTAGTGGTTTTGGTATTTACACATGTATAACCTCTAATTAGAAAAACAGTTTCATAGCAAAACAATGAAAACCCCCGTGCAGAGTTTTTATGTTTTTATGGGAAAAATCGTGGAAAACCTTGGGAAGGATCACAGAAGAGAGAATGGAGTGTAAGGATGTTCTGTTGGTTGTTTATCTTTTTCAGTTTTTTCTCCCTCTACTTTAGTTTGGCAGTTTTATTCACTACCAATTAAAGTGGGTTAAAGCCAGCTCTGGCACACTATACATCTTGGAAGCAGAAATTTGTGCTGAAGTTAAGCAGAAAAACCCTTGCTCCAGTGTGTTCAGGCACTTAGTCAAAATGTAGACTACAGGGCCGTCAATTTCTTTTTGGTGTGATAAATTTTTTTTACGTATTTATTTTCTTTAATATTTAAAGAATAAATAGCTAAAAATAATGGCCAACCCCATATCTGGTTGCTGTTCGGAAAGACTTGCAAAGACACCTTTGAAAATGTGGTCTTAGTCCATGACTGAACCACAGACCTTGCCTTTTACTTTTTAGAGAAAGGCATTCAAGGTAGGGATGTCCCAGCCTGAGTTCCTTAATAGTGATATGAATATATATTAATACTCCAGTCCAATCAAAAATGTATATTAATCTAAATGTCTGTCTCGTTGAAATAATTGGTATTTTCTTCTAAGTCTGACACACCTTATTTTTAAGTAGCTGCTTGTTCCAGATACATTGGTTCCTTGCCCTGGTTCAAAATTATACAGTCGATCATCTTAAATTAATGATATGATATTGAAGAAAGTTCACCTGGAAGAATGCGACTCCCAAAATTGACGTGAAGCCATCAGCTAGACAGAGGACGTGTCAATCTGTTGCCTGTGTTGTCTAAAAATGAGAAGCTGCTTCTTGAATGTTTTGTACACTTTGTATCCTAGTAAGGAACAGGGAGGAGAGAAAACCGATTTGTTACCATCGCAGCTTAGCGAATTTTGCCAGCCCAGGTATAAGAGCAGAGTCAACCACTCGTATACTAGTAGCTGAAGTGGACACAGTAGAGTACACTAAAGAAAGATGTGGATTTTGATCAGCTTTAAGGCCAATACCGATGCTTGTAAAATATGCCTAGATCGACCCTCTTTTGGATCAGCTCTGGACATCTCTAACTCAGGCGGGATACTGGCTTTGGCACCAAACTACTATTTATAAGAATTTTTTGCCTTTTGTCCAGTGCACTTGTTTAGTTGGTTAGTAGTTGGTGTGGTTTGCATTGTTGTGTCCTAAAATCTGAGCTAGTAGAAGTATGTATAGATTGAACAGAATGGACCCATGTGGAACTCCACATACATTATTTCCATTTTGTGGACGTAATTTTGACGGGCACAATTGCCCTGAAGGAAAACGTTGCATCCCCTGCAGCAGGTTTGAAGCTGCTGGCTGAAGCCATGTACTGCATGGATTCAAAAACCCAGGTTTAAAAATGCCAAAATGACCCTTTAAAGTGTCTCCATGCAGTTATTTGGTGACCCATAAATTACATTGTCCTTAATAGCCAAATACCAAACCAAACTACAGGGGGAAATACTTTACTTTAATTCAGATAAACTGCTTGTAACTTTCTCTAACTTTTGTACATCCCAAACTCTAATGCATACTATGAGTAAGCCCAGAGGTGAACACTGACTGGTCTATATGTGAATAAAGGTCATAGAGACAGTTTCATGCCTCTTAAATTTTTCTCTGCTCCACTACGCAGCTGATGCATGTGCAGATGAGGCGAAAGATGGAGAGGTCCTTTACATCACTAATGTCTTCTACAAGGAGCCATTGATACGCTGTGCAAGTCAGCACAAGGGCTTAAGCAATATCCTCGGCCAAAATTGGCTTCTTATTATAAATCATATTGGCCAGTCAGTGTCACCCCCCCCCCCCCCCCCCCCCCCCCCCCCAACTGCTCTAGTAGTGGTAGTCATCATTTCTAAGGTGCTGATAACCCAACTAAAAAAATGATAAATATGGCTTTTGGTGACACATGATGTAAATGTTTTCACAAAGGCTTTTCTGCCTTGACATGAATACAGTTTTTTGAGAAATGGCTGAGATTACATTTCTAGGAGAAATGCTGAAAAGCGGTTTTGGAGAACGTATTTATATGCGTATTGACCATTGTGTCAAAATCTGTGATATCAGCATTTAGACTCTGCCGATGCTCCCCAGCATTGACTTTAGTCTTGAGTATAAATTCAACAGGGTTTGAACCAGAATTGAGCCGCAGTTTTCAAGCCCTGTACGTTGTAGCAATTTCGCCATCGAGTACAGACTAACAGCTAATGCTAACAGATTTAAATCAGGAAAATTATACCATTAGGTAACAATAGCTTAGCACCCAAGACTAAGAGTTGCCGGTAAACTTATTTTACCTTGCTATAGTTATACTACCTAGTTATAGTTTTTCTACATACATAGTGTGAGTGTATTGACTTAAATTACAATTCTGATTAAAATATACATGAGTGGCAGTCCTGGTAAAAAGGGAAGATTTCTCTGTTTCTTATTCAGATTATTTCGTAAATTTCTATTGAAAAAATCAAATATCTAATATCAGTCCTTGTATTATTTTGATATAATTTTGTATCACTCACCGTGTGTACAGCTTTTACACTATTGTTTATTGTCCCTCTTGGATGGAGCAGTGACCTCCTAAAGAAGAACTAATGGATTCATTTCACCCCCGCTTATACAATCTTGACTCAAACACTTGCAGATATAATGTAGCTTTGTATTCACATTACATGCCTGAAGCTTATACACTGTATAGTCATTTCTCAAGGTAATTAAGGTTTCCATTAACATCACTGCAGCATCGTTCATCAAATTTGTATCAGATCTCACCAGAGATGAACAGCCATGTTATTTTCTCCCTTATTTATCATTTACTGTGTTTGTGCTTTACACATTTGAGTTGCTTTTCTGTAAAGACAGACGTAAAAGGGATGAACTTAAAGTTGAACGTGAATAACGAGATTAATCCTCCAAAGAGAGTCACTTATCTTGTCTGGATCACTGATTTTTAATTACACGGCCATGTTGAAAGAGATAAAACTACCTGTCTCTCTGTTCCACCTCTGCCTTTCTTTTATTTTTTCTTACCTGAACAGTTTGTCGTCTTTACTCTCTACTCTCCACATCCAACACCACTCTTTTGTTGTACTGACCAATGAAATCTATTGGCAATTGAATGCACGTAGCCTCCCTCCGTCCTTCCTTTATAGTTTGTTTATTTGTTTTGTTTATTCTTCGTCTCAATTTTAGGGTGCCGTTGCTATGAGTCCTGCCCAGGCTTGATCTTATGGATGAATTGCAGATGTATGTGCATGTTTGGATGTAGAGGGAAAAGGATAAACGGCCATTAGTAACGAATCACAGTAACAGAAAATGAGAATAATATGAATAAAGCAAAGCAAAAATGGAAGAAAACAACCTTGACCACTACAAAAAACAAGAGAAACAAAAATGACTATTGACAATGACAATTAAAAACAATTTCCAGTTGTGACCACCATTCAGTTATTAGTTTGCTTCCTATCATCAACATGTCTTTGATCAAAAATGGACACAAGCCACTTTTATTCGGTCGAGTTGTCAAAGCTGCTTCTCTTTTCTCTCAGATACCTGTTGGCGACAGCAGGAGATGACCGCTATGTGAAGACTTGGGACCTGAGGAGGCTTTATGATCCCATCAATGTTCTGAAACGCTGTCTGACCACTGATGTCCACTGGCCATTGAATGCACCTGGCATCCTGTTGGCCCAGGAGAACGCATTTGCGGCGTAAGACAGCTTCTCTGTTTTTCCCTTTCATAATGACCATAAATGTCCATGGAGGAACAGCTATCACGGGACATCTGTAATGTGAATTTGCAGATTACATAGGAGGAGGTACCTTCGCAACTTGTCTGCAAGATTAGAGAGATAAGAGATGTGTGAAGGTTTTATTATGCAAAAAAGAATTTTGTTAAACTTTATCGAAGTAGAGGAGGCTGAGATATCCAGACTTTATGATTCCACTTCTTTAGTTTCTTCTGTAAGACGGCAGCATGATTCAAACTCCACATCCCCACTTTGTAACACAGGCTTTCTGTGATTCTTCAGACCAAGATGAGATAACCTCATGTGACATCCTCTGCAGTTTCTCAGACTTGATAAATCACATCCAGAAAACATTAAACAGCTGTTTTCACATTAGCACTCCCTGTGGCTACTAAATTGATGTTGACATTCTCCTTAAAGTGCACTAAAGACACGTGAGGGTCATTCTGAGATTTTCACATGTTTCATTATTTCTTTTGTCATTCCTGTCATTTTTAATAATGGTCTGTTTTTATTTTGTATTCAGGAATGGTTCACATGGAGTCCATTACTTTGACCATTTCATGCGCTCCAACTTCCCAGTTCCTAGGACAGGCACAGTGTGGGTAAGTGGGACTGCTCTGTAATCTTCCATCCTTCAGTCACTGGTATCCCCTAAATAAGCCACGGGGCACAAGATTAGCTTTGTTCTTTAGGGAGTCCTTGAATTGTGGACATCATGTTAGCAAGGATGACGAAACATTCAGGGTGGTGGAGGCCTGATCTAAACCCAAGTGGTGCTTTGTTTTTGGACTTGTGGATTTGTGTGCCAGTCATGGAGTGTTCATAATACTTTTCACCATAAAGTACTTTGTAAATATAACTGGTACCTACAATTTCCTTTTTTAAAAAGGCAAACAATTCTCAAACAGCTGGGTATTGTAGTTTTTAGCATACATTACTCAAAAAGGAGTAGATGGTGAATTTGTTGTCAGTCGCGGATTAATAAACATTGGGAGCTTTAGTAAGCGTTTACGGGCAGCAGGATGGTGTATGTGGGATTGACTCCAAATAAACTACAGTGTGTGCTTTCATGGTAATGTAGGAACATGTCGCTCAGTGAAACAGTGTGGCCCAGTGACAGGAATGGAGCCCTATGGCACAAAGGAAAAAGATCAGTTTTGGATACACACAGAAAACTTGTTAATAGAATTCATTATAGGTTTTGGTGTTTTCATGGTATTTGTTGACAATAAGAAAAAATCACCAATCTTATCGTTGAGCCCTTGAAAATTTTCTTTAGCTGAACCTTTTTTGTTGTTAGTTGTGTAGTGACAAAACAACACCTGCTTGAAGTGATAAATTCTTGGCATTTTGATGACACATACTCGGCCGCCGCCAAGCAAAAGTACTTCTTAAACGACGCATCGATGAAATAATCTATAGAAGCTTCGAGGAATAAAATCATCATTAGATCCAGCCCTAAATATTACAAATGTTCAATATATCGTCGAAAGAAATAATGATTTGACATTTATCGTGATAATTATCCATATCGAATGGTATAAAATGTTGTGATTAACATTTTTGGCCATATCGCCCATCCTATCAAAATGTGAATAATTACATTGTAAAATAAAATATATAATAAAATATCAGGATGCCCAAACAAGACATTAATTTGAGAGGGAAAATAGTTAATATCTTAATGCTCCTAATGTCTTTTTCTGTTTCATTGCAGTCCATGTCTTATACTGATTGGTTGAACAGTGTGGTGACGTCAGACAGCCTCGGTGATGTGATCCTTGCCATCTTACCTCACATAAGTTCCACTCCCCAACACGTCAAACGCACGATAGAAAGACGCTTTGTAAGTTTATTATTCTTTTTGTTTATTTAATTCTCTTTTATACAATGCTTTTTCCTTCCATCTAGATAAATCACATTTAGTCACCTTTTAAGATAATAATTTCATGTTATATTAAATACATTTTACAAGTTAAACAGTGGATTGAATAAAGTATTTTCAAGGAAGTTGTAATAATAGAAGCAAATATTTTTTTTACCCGGTTTCTAAAAGGATCTAAACACAGTAAAATAGTCACTTACATAAATTTGTTTCCTTGACTCTGTCTTCAGCCCATCTACTTAACATCCCTGGTGCCTCATGATGCAGCTAAAGAAAAAAATCAAGAGATGGGAGGAGTGGAGGAGGAGGGAGACGCTGTTGAAGAGCAAGGAGGAGACTCAGAAGGACCGGACGCTGGATCTGAAGGAGGAAATGAGAACGATAAAGAAAACAGAGGAGATGGAGGAAGACATGGAAAGGATAAATGTCCCCCTCTGCGGTTCCAGAAGTACAAAGACGCTGCAAAGAAATACTACCTCCACCATACAGACGGCAATATGGTGGGTAGAGAAACCAGGTCACAAAGTGATTCACACAAGCAGACCAATGAAAATGTTATTATTCAAGAAATTATTGGATTGATGGTTGCTAAATGGGGAAAAAAGCATTGTGAAAGCAAGGTTTTTGTTATCGATACAAAAACATGGGTATCCTCAGCTCTATTATTAAAATATTTTAAACATTACCTGGCCCTATGTTTAGGAAAGTGTTCCATTAGTATCTGTTTTATTGACCACTACTACTATTTTTAGAAAAAGCTGCTAACAATTGACATTTTGTACCATTTATTCTAGATATTTATATTTTTTATCCGGGTGAAAAAGAGGATCTGTTGACAGAAATGCAATAGAATATACATAACTATGTTTCAGTGGTGTATAAAGACCTTAAATAATGAGCCGATATGTTTTTATTACCTTAGAATTAGACATTTCTATCTACATACACCGCGGGTCCTCTTACATGGACGTCACCATGTTGCCCTCCCATGTTTCTATAGTAGCCCAAAACAGACAATGTGTTCTACGAGAGTGTTTTGTACGAAGAAGAAGAAGAAGAAGAAACTTTAGTAGTCAACAGGTTTATTAGAAGTAAGAAAAGAAAAGAAATTTGGACAAATGAAGGCGTATTACACGTGTTATTTAGCATGAGAGCCAAAATTATCAGCAGTCGCGGTTGCAAGTTGGGAAGATGCAAGTTTAATGGATTAAAAAATTAACTGTAACTACGGACTATAATAGCTTTCCAAAGTGTCTCTTCTCACCATAATTTGTTTTCCTTCATGGATTATCCATGTTAACCTCTCAACGGTGCGCCTATAATAGCTTGGCTGAAACTTAAGTCCCGTCTGGCATCGATTCCTTGCTACTTTTCTTTATAATGTGGATTCCTTTCTGTTATTTTAGTAGTTTATATGGAGTAATGTATGAGTTCACGTTTACAAATGGACACGATCAGTTCACCAAAAACATGAGCATGTTCAATGATCGGTGCTGTTTGAGCACATTTATATTTGGACACACTACATGCCTCCACTATCAGAGCGTTAGATTTTATTTGCAGAAGACTGCAGTACGTTTTTCCGTCCACGTAGTTGTTGTATGTGGATGTGTAAACAGCCTCAAAATGCAAAGTTATTCACCTGTGGTGAAAAAAAATCCACCTATGGTGCCAAATATGGCATTGCCTTGTTCTTTCAAAGAGATCTATTGCCAGTCTCTTTTTTTTTTGTTATAATAATTTTGCTGTAGAATGCAGGTAAAAAAGAAAACAACACATAAGGCTAATAACAGAGACAATCAAACTAATCAATAGTGCAATAGGGTCAATGGGTCGTGTTAGTATAATTTGTACAGTTAAAGAGCCACATCTGTAGCTAGGACAGGCAATTTGTTTCAGAAGTACTTTTGATATATTTGTTGAAACATTCATAAAATAAACAAAAACGAGAATGAATGAATGATGCCAAAACCCCACCATGCAAGCTCACATAAAACAATAAAAGTAATAACAATAGTATAATTATTGTTTTAATAACACTGTTAAATTACTAACCTAAGCAAATCAATATATAAATAATTTGATAATGTATTCCATCTGTAGTAGACCAGAAGATTTTAAATAGCTTTTACTACCGATGATTAATTCACCAGTTATTAGTGATTATTAAAAAATGTTGACATTGCATTTTTAAACTCACACATAATGCACATGTAATAACATAATAATAACTTCCTCCGACTTCCAGCTGACCTTTATAGCAAGCGAGAAGCAACCTCTGTGGAAACGCATGAAAGAAACAGAGTTGAAGGCAAAGATTAACATGGATGAGATGCCATTGGCTGCATTACACAAGGTATCTACACACACACACACACACACACACACACACACACACACACAGTGCAGGTAGAGTAAGATAAACACTAGAATCAAAACAGAGGTAAGAGATGGGAGAGGAGCCTCTTCCTCCTCCTCCTCCTTCCTCCTCCTTCTTTCTCCTCCTGATGGGCAGCTATAAAGACGAGCTGAATGTAATGATGTGTAAAATGAGAAAAATGTCACCCTCTGTGGAAGAAGGGAGGGGGAAATGGAAAGCAGCCACTTGAGGATTTGATGTGTTTAATTTTAAGAGAGGCAGAGTGGAGGGTGTCGCTGTGCCCTCTGGAATGAGATGATGGACTGGTACTTCATGGGATGATCTCAAAAAACAAAACGCCACAAGGTCTGACTGGCTTTCTGTCTGAAGGGGATAAATGGATTAGAAAGTGGAAGAGAGAAAATAAAATAAAAGGCACACCAGGAGGATTTATAGTGATGAAGAGAGGGATAGATGAGTGTCAGTAAAGAAAAGGAGGCAGCAGTGATATTGATTCGCTGAGAGCTACAGCTCAGTAATTCACAGAGGAGGGAAGAGGGGACATAAACTACTTAAATGGAATTATTATTAGTTTATAAAAACAATAACTCTAGTGGATGTAAAATTAGTCATCAAGATAAATACTGAAATAAGTCTAGAAAGGTTGACATGATGAAGTCCCTCAGGGATCAATACTTGATCCACGTATCATCACGCTGATGACACAGTTGTCCTTGAGACTAAAGATTAGTATTGTGTGCCATGAATTCCAGGTATTTAGTGTTTACTTTAGAATTAAAATGTTGGTTTGGTTTCCGTTGAAACTGCACTTACTATTGTGGCCAAGAGAGCTTAAGTGGTTAGCTGGCACGTTGACCTCGAAAGAACTATGCAGTTAGCAACAATTGCTAATCCAGGGGGCTGTGTTTTTCATTCAAGACAGGAGTTTATATAAAATCTACTTTTGTTCAGAAAGCTTTAGGATGCTCACTCCTGTCCAGAAACTTACATGTATACTAGATTTCATATCACTAAGGTGGCGAGTGCATAGTTAGTCTGACTCATAGTGAAATAGCCACAATTATTATTATAACAACCAGTTTGAAAAATATTGGAAGATCCTTTTAAGTCACTGGGTGAATCAGAGACATAAATAACTGGATTTCCCCGCAACATCCTGCAGCTTGACAATGACAAAACAAAAATTTGTGAGCTGGTGTGTAGCAAGTAATTTGTTGTGTTGTGCTTAAGCTTCTCATGTAACAACTCCTCACTGTGTTTTGTTTCTCCACTGACTGTGTTCAAACTGTGAAAACCTTGACTGATTGAAGAGGTCTGCAGCTACACGTACTGGCTGTAAAGATTTTATTTTGCGTTCTGGAAATGGGAATGACCCCCAGTGAATGACCAGTTGCAGATATTATGAGAAACCTCAAATAATCTTCCTCCTCTCCTCAGGTGTGTTTCAATCCGAACATGTGCTGCCATACGTGGGTGGCGTCGGCGGGCCAGACGGGGCTGGTCAGACTGAACTGTGTGAGGGGTTTGATCACCTCCGAGGCCAAGCAGATGATAAGCGAGAACCAGGCCCAGTTCAACGCACTGTACTCTCAGAAAGACTCACAGAAGGAGGCCGTCCAAACTGTAACAGACGAGCTATAGCAGCATCAGTTGAACTTCACCACAGGTGGATGACACTGTGCAAAAAACACACACCTGCAAAAAAGTATTTTTTAGAATGATGAAGACGATATTAATATTTAATTTGCACATAACTGTATACATTTGCTGGGTTTAATCCTGTTTCAATAATCCAAAGACCAGCAAATAAATGATCAACCAATTCAACTTTATATTTAAGTAGGAAAAACTAAATGATTTGCAGGTTTTGTGGCATTTCTTCAACATCAAACTGCTTTACTTCCCACGAAATGTCTCATTGACATAATTTCTCCATCTTTTTCCACTGTTCACCAAACTTTGAAAAGTGTCAATGGTCACAGTTTATATGCCTCCAAGAAGTTTAAGCAGCTGGCGATTAAGTGTCTTGCTTTGCAGTTTCCACCTAATAGTTATTGATTTCAAGTAGGGGTTTCGGTTGCTTCAGTATCTATCTTGGCAAACAAATTGCAAATATGGCAGTGAATCCATTGTTGACAGTAGTCCAAGGTATTAGAAAAGGAGATTATCAGCTACATTCGCTGTTAGAAAATCAGCCACACTCAGGAAAAAAAATTGAAATTGATAACAAGTTTAAAAAAAAGTTTTTGCTGACTTAGTTAATTAGTAAAGAGTGATGTGGCTTTATGGTTCACTGTTGGGCGTGGTTACAGGTGCAACAGACTTGGGAATCAGAATAGTGTTAGTTATTCTAAAAAAAATGAACACATTCAAAATAACAAAACATACATCCTGTTCTGTCAATTTAATGTAAACATCACTCATTAAATGTCTCTAGTTGGTGCGTAAAGTCAAACAAAAGTGTTTCTGGTTACAAAATGGAAGCTGTGAGAAATTGGACTAAAGGATTTCTTTCTTGTACATTATTTTGGCAAACCTTTTGTAATCAGCAACACATTCCACTGCAGTTTATGTGAATGTCTGTCTTCAGATGTGTTGGCATTGCTAACCAGAGGGTGCAGCACCAAGAAAAGCAGCATCGCTCTCTAACTCGTTTGGCTGATCAGAGGATCGGAAACATTGGGGGTCACATTTGCAGCACACCGTGTGCTAGTGTTGGTTTCTTGACAACATGCTATTTAATTTATTTTACAGTACCTTACAGATACGCCCCCAAAATCTCCTCCCACCTCACTGTTGATATTCTCAAACTGTGAAATGTGCTGAGTTTCAAAACCTCAACAGCAAGCTGGGGGGAAATTGGGAGCATATCTTTAAGTTCATTTTTGCTGCTGTATTTTTGTAATCAAACATTTTTTTTCTCTTTTACGATGTCAAGAACATCTCAGGCTTTAACTGGGAGGAAATACTTGAAATTTTTTTATTGTATGTAATGCTGGATGTAATGTTTGTATATGACACATTCTAGGTATTTTTTAAATGTTAATTTCTTCACCTGTTAACTTAAACCTGCTGTTGTTATTCTGATGATTCAAACATTTTGATTCCTTTTTTTATAACAGTTGCGGTGATATTACCTCCAGTTATTTTTCAGTGTCTACAAAACAAATTGGATAATGTTATTATTTACAGGCGCCGCTGTCTTTTTTTTAGAGGCTATCTAACACATGTTTTCCTCCTAAGTTAAATTAGGGGTTTGAAAATGTGCTCATCAGTTTTGTTTTATTCCAATTATTTACAACTCTTATCGACAGTTTAAAAATGATGTTTAGTACACCACGATAATATTGTCAGTCACATAAAACCAATAATCACAAAATTATCGTTAACTTGTAAATCATAAGTTATTGAACTTTATTTGAACTTGCTCTTCTATTCTGCTCTGTTGCTATTTTTGAAATGTTACATGTAATAAATGTTTCTGGGTAAATTAAATAAAGTTGACATTGAACATTCACTCTTGACCTTGGAAATAGTTGGCAAAACAACTTTATCGCGCCATAGATCCTTAAGTAGTTGTTCTGGAGCTTTTGATCGTATAACATGATCTTCATCAGCAGATGAAGTTTGACCACTTGTTGTAATATTAGATTTTAAAATGTTGTAATTGTCGATATAATAATATTAATAGTATAAAGAGTATCGACCTGACCCACTCTACAGCCCTGAGATGACTTCTGTTATGATTTGGTGTTATATTGAGATTGATTATATTTATTTATTTCAAACATGTTAAAAACAAATAACAAACAATTTAAAATAAGCATACATTCAAAATAACACAAAAACCAAAACAATAATATTTAGCAAATAAACTTTTATTAATTTATGATTGCCAATAAAAGAAAACTTCTATTTACATGTTTGAAAAGGGATAGGAAGAAGTAAAACTTATATACTCGTTCGATCCCTGACTCCCCCACTCTGCATGTTGAAGTATTCTTGGGCAAGATACTGAACCCCAAATTGTTCCCAATGGCTGTTCCGTTGGTGTGTGAATGTTCTTTCCGTTCAGTGAATGAATGGGTGAATGTGACGTAGTGTAAAAGCCTTTTGAGAGGTCGGAAGACTAGAAAGGCGCTATACAAGTACAGATATTTTACCATTTGCAGAGTCTGTTCCTGCTTTCATCTCACTTCTTAAGACTCATTTATACAAAATAACTTTCAATGTGTGGTGTGTAATTTATTTATATTGTTTTATTTATATGTTTTATCTGTTGCACACCACTTTGTGTGATACTGTGCGTGTCTGTTTTACATTGATTGCTGTAAAGCACTTTGTTACCTGTGAATTGAAAAGTGGTATACAAATAAAACTATTATTCTTCTTATTATAGTTATACTGTATAAATAAAATTTAATTTTACTGAGAAAAATTCTTCTACCAGTCCATGACAACTGGACAAACGCCAACTGATGATTAAAATCTTGTTATACAGTCGAAAGTTGCAGAACATCAACTATTGGAACTTGTGGTTAGATTGTTTTACCAATAAATAAAGTATTTAATAGCCAGTTGGCCTGGATTAGTGATATAAGCTTCAACTATTTTATCAGTACAAAAATAGGGTTTAGGTCTGAAATGTTATCTTCTGCTTTAAAGTGAAATATTCGCAATGGACAATTATAAAATAAACCAGGCTCTTTTCATCATCTGCAGTCATTTATTTCACTTTACAAAAAAAAACTCTTGCCACACATAAAAATGAAATCTCAAACATCACAGTTGTGACGTGGGTTTACGCAACATCACCAGAACACTCAGACAAATGGGACGTTTTAAAGACTGATTGTACAAGGGAGATAAATGTATTTACACGTGTATACACAAAATCATACACAGAAAAGACACAATATTTGACATATTTACAACAGTCACACAAAGACAGCAACAGCACAATACAGAGCATTCTCAAACAGTAGACTTCCACAGTGAACAAACAAGAAAAGTGTTGGCTCCAGTTTAATGCCACAGCCTGTAGAGGAGAACATCAGTATGCATGTATATCAAAACTAGTAAAGTAAAATGCATTGGTCTTACATTCACTTTGTTTTAACTTAGTCTTCATAGCTGTTGGGTCCGTATATATTCTCATTTCAAAAGGAAAATCTATTTAAATATACAGAATCTCCTTAAAAATTGGTGAAAATATAGAATTTTAAAGATTTTTTTCTTTGATTAATCCTCTGCATGGTTTATCAACATATTCTGATTGGCAGTTGAACAAGAAACTTCTTACTGTACATGATATTGAATAACAGCTAACAACCATGCAAGTATTTGGATCATAATGGATGTCAACGAGGCGTTTACAACGTACAGTTGTCCTTTCTTTGAGAGCAACATAACGACATCAACACTTTAATAGTAGCTGTGAAACATTACAGGGACGTCAGCTGACTTGTTGGCTTTTATTATGGGTGCAAAGAAATATCTTTACACAAGTCCAAAGTATTAACGAAAAACTGACCAAAACTGTCTGAAGTTCCATGAAACATGCTGTGAATATCCGTGGTCCCGAGAAATTGTAATTAGGTTAATGACGCCATGATCATCCCTCTAGCACCAAGATTAAGCCCAACATTTCATTAAAATCCAATCTCAAGGGCACTATGCTGTTTACTAAACCCAGTCAAGCTCCTCAGAAGATGAACTTTTTTCTGTTTTGTTTTTTTACACAACCTTTCCTCTAGTGCCTACCTCAAGCCAATTGATCAGTTTTGCGCAAATAACATAGTTAACTAGAGAATGCAATTTCTGAAGAAACAGCAGTGGGATTTTTGGCTGTTGAAAAGCTGACGCTGAGCTGCACTGCTGGATGGACAGCCGGGGTTTCATGTATAGATAGGAGCTGCATAGCTTTGCTTAATAAATGGCTGGGAGCTAAATTGCATTGCTGGCTTAACTTTGTATCAAGGAGTATGAAGCGTTGGAATAAAGGGAAAGGTATAGTAGGTGCAAAATATAGTGTAAGCAATGAAATGAACTTAGTTATATTGTAAGGACTTATATGAGCTTAAGTGGATGTTGATGTGTCTTAGTTGCAATAAAGGTAAACCATCAGCTGATGTGTGAGCCATAGAAGGAGGAATGTGTTGTTTGAGTAAAGAAAAAAGTACTTCAGAGTTTTATTTTGAAAGTCTCCAGCGCTAGTGAAGCCTGGCATAAGTTCCTGTTACTTTTAGGTGCTTTTATTTTGAAAACCCAGCCTACTCCAGGGCCCTGTGATGGCAAAACATGGATGGATGGGAATGCAGCGAGATAGATAGATGAAAGCTCGGGGAACAGAGAGACATATAGTAGATGGATGGGTAACACTGCGGCTACAGGAGGAAGGAGCCATAGATGATAGATGGATGACAGCATGAAGCTGAAACTAATCGTCCAACTGCAGGACTAAATCATTTTTGCCCTCAGACCTAAATGTCTGCACAGAGTTGACAGAAGTTGCTGGATGCTTTTTCAGTCTGACGCTTATTAATTTTCCTTCTGCTCAATCAATACAGTGCTATCTAAAATCTAATTTTCCTGACCCTCTGTAATGGAGACAGAGGTGACTCCTCATCTTTGGCATTATGCGATAAAATTAAACAAAGTACAGTACTGTAGAGAGAGAGATCAAGTCCAGACTGAGCTTAATTATTAGATATAAGGCAGATATTTCTGTTTTAAGGGAGTACTAGAGCAGTTTAGGTCAGGATATTGTACGTTTTAGGATCAGTGTGAGGGAGTCAATAAGTTTAGAAATTTCTTCTTTTTTTGCTTCAAATAATAAAATTGTCTGAAATGCTGCAGTGACATCATGATGCCCAGTTATTGTTTCCACAAGTCTTATATTAATTTTAATAGCTGCTATTTCAGTTTCACAAATATTGCCTTGACTTGTAGATGACAAGGTGTCTTCACATGATTAATAATCACCATACTGTCTCATTTGTGTATCATGACATCAGGTCTTACACCTTCAGTCTGTGATCTTCCTAAGGCAGCAACCAACAAAATGTACAAAATGTATATTCTTAGAGGTATTATTGATGCTTTTCTTCCCTAAAAGACAACCTTTGTCAGTGTGGAACAAATGAACCTGATGTTTGCAATTAGTTTATGTCAAGAAAGAACTTTTCTGCAAATAAAACTCTTTAAAAATGTAATTTGTGACCAGCTAGCCTTGCAGATTTATGTCTGACCTTTAGTTGCTAAGCAGGTTCATGGAACAATGATGACAGTGAGCTGTAGAGCGAATGTGCAGTAGAAGAGCAGTTTGGTAAAGTTAGTGTCAAAACAACAGACATCACAGTCATCCATGTGTCCCTGGTAGAACATTACATCAGGTGCTCCATGCTAACAGTTTAGCACATATTCTGTTATCTGATTTTATGATAGAAGGATTTGCATTACTGTTTTGTGCAAGTAGCTTCAGGGAAGTTTCTGTTGAAAATAAGTAGCAGCCCCCATGCTTTATTGTAATCGTTAACAATAGGTGGTGCTATATCTGGCAGTTTCTCTTGAAATACTAAAAATCAGGCAGTGTTTCAACGAGCAGCAGCTACTTTCATAAAGCAGACTGAAATAGTTTCGTAAATATAAACTTTGCTGCAGTACTTAAATTGACTTTTAGTATTTAATTTTAAAAGTGTAGTTATCTAAACATCAAACAGAAAATTAACTGTTTTATAACTAATAGGATTCCTTGCGCTCATGGCCTACTGTCATCCAGTCACTCAGTATATGCTTACATGTATGTCCTTACACTTTTCAACACATCAATCAGCTTGTCCTATTTCTACTGTAGTCACAATGGTCCCCTGCTGCTCTTATTGGTTCTGGTCATATGAATGCAAACTTAATGGCAGCGTTTTTACAGATAACATCTCGCATGGACAAACATCAAGAACACATTGAAGCAAAGGTAAAATGCTTCTTCTCAATCAACTTTGTTTTGGAGCTGCAATAATTAGGTCTTCAAGCTATTTGAAACTACTGTAAACTAGCTGTGAGCTGGCTTGCAAGTATGGTGAACACATTTAGCAATTATAAATAATAATTTTTTCAATCTATTATTAAGTAGTCATTACATAAATAGATGATGATCAAAAAAGGAGGTGAGATAGAAAAAGTCTTATGGCTCTGTTGCATATTTTTTAAGACAGGATGAACATGCTCCACCTTCTTTCAGTCTTGCTAGATTTGTTTACAAGCCAACACCTTATCAACCCAAGGTGCAGTTTCACCCCAATTATTCATGTAAAAATTGGCCCAATTTTTGGTAAAAACTCCAAGCAACCTTGAGGGCTGGAGTATAAATACACCCCTTCTTCAGAGGCCCGTTACATGTTAGCATGGAGCTCCAGCGATAGCAGTCTTCTACCAACACATGGATGATTTCACCATCTAATTTCTTGTGACTTAATTAATGGCAAACACAACAATGTACCAAAAATTCCTTTAACTGGAAGCTGCATTGTGAACGCTCCTCTCATTGGTCCAGCTAACCAAGAGAGAATGAAAATGTGCATGAGCCGTTCCATGTCCTGTTGGGTCCAGTCCTGTCCGTTCCAGTATCAGCGTCAGTCACTGGGGTCCTGGCAGTGGGAGCAGTGGCTCATGTCTTCAGAGTAGAGCTCTACCTGGATGGTGATGCTGTAGAAACCAAACTTGGTGTGGAGCAGATCAGTGGCCTCCCGCAGCACAGACTGAGCATCTGCACCCTCCTCTGACATGAAATAAGAAAGAAAAAGCACAGTGAGTCTGTTTTACTAGATATTGTTATGCTACTTTCTCTGATCTCGAATGTTTCTCTTCTTAGCTGCACAGACATTTAAAGCACCAGAATAACTTAGTGCAGTTAGAGATTTTATTTGAAATGCAGAAGGCCATCTGCGTGAAATTAAAATATGATTCAGTTGATAGCTCTCAAGAGTCGCATGGTAATTTCACCCAAATGCACATTTTGAGACATTTTGGTTTCTATAGAGTGCAAGTTAGTTAAAGCAAATTCTTTTTATTATAAATCATTATCATATCCATCTGTATGCTGGTAGAAACTCTGCTCGTCATCTTGATCAGGTTTGTCAGGTTGCGCCTGTTCAGTTTACATTGCCAGTGTGGTCTAATTTTATCTCTTTGGTAAATAATATATTTGGTTACCCTGTAGGTTAGTAGCATTTTGAATGCATACCAGTAATAAGTTAAAACACCTTAACAATGTCACTAATAACTTTGTTGTTAAGTCAAGTTTATTTATATAGCATAACATCTGAAATTTGCTTTTGCAATATTTACAACAATCTGCACAATTTACAAAACCGTCTATTCTGAGACCCTTAACTGCTCGAGCACTTTCATCTGCTACTCTAGTTAGTGTAGGTTAATGGATCGGTATGTTACGTTACCTATGGCCAGGTGAACAGTGACCAGTGCCTGGCCCAGAGTCAGAGCCCAGAGGTGCAGACAGTGCATCGACTTCACAGCCTTCACAGACAGCAGCACCTCCTTCACAGAGTTAAACTCTATTCCTTTAGGAGACCCTTAAAAGCAACAGGCCATAAATTAATACTCAGTAGCTCCCATAATGTGTCTGTGAATGTGTGTCTCATACACAAAGCCCAGTCTGCGTCAGATGGTACTCTAAGAATAATAAAAGCCTGGTTGTCATGTTTGTATACTTATATACTACTATACTACATTTATTTTCAGGTAACCTGCAATATATTTTATTTAACTGATCATCTAAGTTCACATTCAAGTAGTCATATTTCGCCAGATCTCTTAAGTGTCACATGCTACTGCCGCTAATAATGTGAACAACGCCATGACTGAAGAATGTACACAGAATGAAAATTATATAAAATGAGTTCTTAATTTCATCGTGTTGCTCATTGACACCATAGGCCTGTTTCTGTCGTTACAAACTGTTTTAAAAGATGCCTCAAGGGCTTCTTTTAAGAGGGTAATCCTGAGGAAGTTCAGTGAAGAGAATTGTAAAATGTCCCAGGACTCTTATGACATCCCCAGGATGTTGACCATCTGTGCTCTTGTTCTTTGTTCTGTATAAACTTTAACCTTACTAAACTTTAACCAGCCATCTACAGACGTCTATGGAGATTTAGTCATGGCATAGTGGTTTGTTTTGAATCTATTCATGCATGGACAAAACACGACAGCTCTTAACATCATGTGATGCTGACCTTGTCAGATCAGGTCAAAACTTGACAGCTTGATCACGGCTGCAGGGGAGGAAAACAACTCTGTGTGCTGGTCATAAATCCCACTTCAAGTCACGAGCCACCGTAAATGAATAGTTTTCCATTTTGGAGTAATGTGTATTTTTGTTTTCTTGAAGAGAGTTACAATATCACTGCCACTCACATGTGTCTGTTACAGTCAATATGAAGCTACAGTAATAACTTTGTGCCAAAACCTTTTATCCCAGTCAGAATCACCGGAATCACATCAGAAGATAATGTTTTTACCATCCTCCTCTCCCAATTTCAGCATTTCAAGTATTAGATTTAAAAAAAAACATTCTAAAATATAGATTTACTGATTATTATTGAAGTTAAGTACCTTCCATGAGTATCCTAAAGACATCTCTGAGGATGGTGAAGGTGGTGCAGAGGACAAAGACAGAGAACAGAAATGTACAGATGGGATCTGCAACTTTATATTCAGGCTGAAAGGGAGAAAAGAGGGTAGGGAGACTTTAGAGAGTGAGTAAAAACATATCAGATGGTGTTTTCAACAGACATAAACCACTAAAGTGCTCAAGGCAAAGGGAACATCTTGCATGATGATGGAACTATTTAACCCTTTCATCCATAATAAACAGAATAAATAAAAGCATTTATCTCTCACTTCTGTACAAATTAACGTATTAAAATATTACCTTTAAATGCCACTTCTGATTACCATGATGCTTTTAATATAAGTGACTGTTTTGGGAATTAGGTATTTTACGATGTATTGAACGGAGAATATTAGAAGTTAAAATACAAATAAATCACTATTTTGATAGAAAAGCTTGTAGAAAAGTATTTAGACCATATTCTAGTCAAAATTTTGTTGAAAACCAGGATTGTAACAAGAAGACTAAAGAATACATACTTGTAATTCAAGTCAAACTGCATCATGATTGGATCATATTTGATTTTTGTTAAAGCATCAACATCAGCAAACTGACATTTCAGTCTCACCCTAACATGAATGTGATCTATATCTGACCCGAAAGTAGATGATGATCGCTGCCACCATGACTCCGACACTCTGCAGCAGGTCTCCGACCACGTGGATGAAGGCAGCACGGACGCTTGCATTGCCGTGGCCACCGAGGAGCGAGTGGGAATGACCGTGAGCGACGGGACTCTGACCGTCCTCGTCAATGTGGTGATAACCGCTGCCGTGGGCGTGAAAGGTGGTCGAATGATGGAGGATGTAGGCCATGCTGCAGAAATGAAGAGGTACTTTAGGTGTTGTGTATCTTAACAGCACAGGGAGAACAGCTGCATTCATGTTAATCCTTGTATTACACTTCCTGAAGAGGAAGTGTTACAAAGAAAGCTATGTTTCATCCACTAAGATTGGAAGAATTTAAACTTAACATGGTAATGTCACCATGTTAACCAAAAAGTAATTTTCGTTTTAATTACTGTCCCTGACAACAGATAGATTTTTATTGGCTACAAACACTGAGTTGTTGTATGGGCGGATTTAACCAATTTTATTGGAGCTGACCTGAAATTGTTAACAGACTTCATGATCCAAGATGGCTACTCCGTGTATCATCAGTGTATCAACAGTGAAAGCTATAGTTTATACTGTTTTCAGCACTTTTGTGTATTTGTAGGGCTGGACAATAAAACAATAACAATAATTATTGCAATATAACAAATGTTCAATAAATATTCAATGAATATTTGACTTTATTCACTTGAATCATACATATTAGGACTTTAGAATTTTTTTATTAAGATGTTTGTTTTGTTGAGGAAAAAGGACCTTTAATTTTTACTCTTGCATATTGTTAACAAATTTTTTATCATAATTGTTTTGAATGTTCTACCTCAGATTTGCTGAGTAATCCACTGTTTGGCATCAAGTGTTGATCATTAAGAAGAGTTTAAACTATAATTAACCATCAGGTTTCTTCAACTTTCACTCAGGAGCAAAAATCAGCCTTTAAACTCGAAAGAAATAATGCTTTGATACTTATCGTGATAATTATCGATATCGAAAGATTTTATCACAATAACATTTTTGGCCATATTGTCCAGCCCTAGCGTGACATCATTCCAAGGTAAATGGAACGCAGCATAAGCTAGCCTACTTGTTAAACCGCCTGAATTATTATTTATAGATTTTACAGAGTCTGCCATTCTAGCATGAAAAGATAATGACGATATAAAAGGCTGCAGTATAAGGGTTGCTCCACTTGTTATCTTTATGACAGCATTTCAAGGACGGACTTATATGCTAGTTGTGTTAATGAGGTTTGAAGAAGGCATTTTTGTTTGTATATACAATATTCTTCAGTGTGGACAAACAAGCATGCAACACAGACATACGTATAATCTTGTACATAGGAAAAAATCTTGTTCTGGAATAGTGGATTGATATTTGCGAGAATTTCTAGTTTTCCTTATTGAATTAGCGAGAAATAATTACCTGTTAAAACTGAGGTGAACGTAGTTTTTAAGTAGAATTTTTAGTAGTATTATGAAATATGTAGCTTTTTAATTAATTATTTTGCCTTTATCATACCTTAATGTACCATATTAACACCCATTATGCTGAGATCCACTCACATTATATTGACGATGACGGCACACCCGGAGGTGACTAACATTACATGTCCGTCAATCTCATAGTCGTTCTGTACAATCCTCTCGATGGCTAAATAGACCAGAGCCCCCGTAACAATCCAGATGGAAATGACCGAGATGAACGCCCCGAGGATCTCTGTGGAGAGAAGAGAAGCGAGGAATTAATCTTAATCACTCATATAGTCAAACAGTTCATCACACACAGTACAAAACAGCACACCTCTGTCTGAACACTGCAGCAGGACATGAAGTTACATAAAAGAGCACATCCCTCAGAGGCCGAGCTTCACCATTAAATCAGTTTCAGACACACAAGACACAATAGAGACCCAGAACACACATGTAGCATAAGTGTAAAGTTGTGTTAACACACACTCACAGCTTTGCAGCTTAATAGCAGCTTATTTTTATGAGTTACTGTGCATATACTTTAGAAATGCAGTAAGTTCATAAATCTTACTGCAAGTGCCTATTCTCCTAGGGGAAAACCACAAAACACTCCAAACTCCAGAGTTTAGTAAAGTAATGCCAGTGAGACTGTTTGTTGGAGAATGACAACATTGTCTTTGTAGATGAGACAGGACACAGGTCACATTAACCTCCACAAAAATACTCAATTGTCCACCTATCTAGAAATCATCTGTGTCAAATTCTCTTCTAGGTTCACTGAGAGACATTCGGGTGTCAGATACGCTGCGATAAATCAGTGCACAGTTTAGGCAAGTGTGAAATTAAAAGCCAGTTTTTATGCTCAGATGTTACTGCCTTGCTATAAAGAATTAAATGATCATTCACAAAGAAGACTGGTGAAAAATCAAAGCAAGCTGTGGTTACACGCAGATCCCAAATGGTGGCATGTCATAAATTTCTGTCACTCAAAAATAAATAAAATTGCAGATACGTTTTCGAGCCATGCAGGGCTTTCGCATGCTTGTACATAGTTTGCAAATATGGTGTTTGTCTCCTGGCTTATAATTAATAAATTCACGCTTAGCAGGTAGCTAAAAAATTCTAAACCTGTCATTAGTGTTGTAGTCAAGACCACCCAAACCGAGACCAAGTCAAGACCAAGACCAGAGTTTATCGAGACTGAGACAAGAACAAGGCTTTTAGGGGCTGAGACCAAGTCGAGACCAAGACCAGTTCCCCACATTACATGACATGCAATAAAATGTGGAATGAGATCATAGGTACTTCTCAAATTGATCTGAAAGATCCACATTCCCATTAAAACACCCACATACAAACACTAAGAGCTGAAATCAAATAAGCATATTTATTCAACACTCCTTTTCCATGCTTACCATCGCGTGGAGGAGGGACGGTTGTTACGGTAACATCCATCCATCCATCCAAAGTCAACCGCTTATCCTGTGTACAGGGTTGCGGGCTTTACGGTAACAACACATTTTTATTTAGGGTTATTGGCTGCATTTGAAGCAATACATTTTACATCCAATCAAAGTTAGGATGTTAACAAATAAATCTGATAATGCAAAAGCAATTTATTGATATTTCCAAAGTTATGGTCTTGACTGGTCTTGAAATAAAATCCTGAGTCCTCAATGTCCAAGACCGAGACAAGACCGAGTACAAATGCAGTCGAGTCCGAGACGAGACCGAGACCATTAAAAAGGTGTCTTAGGACCACTTTTTTACTACAACACTACCTGTCATCATGCACCATCTTAAAGAAAGGAAAGTAACAGCAGAGGCATTGTAGAGTTGCAGATGTAGACATGTTGATGCCACCACCGGCTGGAAAAGGTAAAACTACACTCATAAAACTCATCGCCTGATGCTTTATGTGATAATTCGACACTGAAAAGAACAGGTTCAAGATTTTATTCAGTGATTTGTACATTTATATATCAATAAATGAGTGTGCTAAATTTTTTGTCCATTCATCCTCCATCCCTCCAAGCATTCATTCATCTACCTGTCCTCTTTCATCAGTCTATCCATCTGCTCAGAGGCATCTGATCTCTGGTCCTCACCTGATCTGTGCCAACCAAAGTTCATGGTTTTGGTGGGCTTTCTGGAGGAGATCCACAGGGAGAACAGGCTCACCATCATACTGCCGAAATCTGTCAGGAGGTGGGCTGCATCAGTCATGATGGCCAGGCTGTGGGCCAGGTAGCCTCCTGTGATGGGTTGTGAGAAATATTACCATTGGCCTTGCAAATCATTCTGACGAATCCTGAGGCACGCTTAACATCTGTGAAGTGCTATCTAAACAGCTGTTTCATTTTTAGCTGAATCATTGCATGAAAGGTAAAAGTTATTAAAATAAAAAATGGAAGTTCCACTGTTTGGGTAAACCTCATCACAACCTCCAGATACACCAAAGATCAAATACATTCTTCAGTTTGGCCGGGTGCTATGTTAAATTTATTAGTTAGTGATCTATTAAATATGGTTAATGAAAAGAAAAATGGCTTTAAAAACTTGCTGAGAAGGAGTGTGTCACTGAGCGTGAAACACCCTCTGAGCAATAACATCCTCAGCCTTTAGTTACATCTATCTTTTAAAGGCTTATAAAAATCCATAATTTAATACAGTTACAAACCGTGATCTATTAATACTTAGATCCTTTTTTTTAACCTACATAATGCCTCGGGTAAAAGAGATGTGATATTCTTTTATATCATCATAAACATCTGGGCAATCAGCCAGTAAATGTGAGACACCATTTAATTCTCATGGCAATAAAAAGTTTCATGCTGTGTTCTTTGTAGTTTCCTTTTTATTTTAGAGAGAGTTGTGCAGTCACTCAAGACATCAGCATTGCAGTATGTCAATTATGATTATATCAATGTCTGCACTTCCTATTAGAAGTAGTAATTTTGTCTTTAATGGCAGCATGAAATGAGTTCTCACTGTTGTATGGTACGTTTTAAAACACATTCACCAGCATCTAACGGCACAATATATTCACCTTATACAAAGATGAGTAGCTGACCAAAACGGCTTTAAACAAACGTAACCCAAACAAAACAAGATCTACTGCACATATGCAATTGTTTGTGTCAGTTAAAAAATGTTTGTTGCCCCAATCTGCCCCAATGACACATGGCTTTATATTGCTTTAGAAAACACTTTTAGAAAAAACAAAAACATTATCAAAATGGTATTCAATTAAAGCGTCATCTTCAATTCTAAAAAAATCTAAATCTGAACTGTAATGTTGTTGCAGTCAAGCCACACATGTGAGTGATCGTCTGGGAAACAGTTAACTACTTTAATAACCAGACGTAAACATTTGTCTAAAACTTACCAGCCCTGTTAGTTTGCCATTTGAACACCCTGTTTATGGAAATTCATTTATAACAACAATATTAATGAGCACCAAACAAAAGTCCAACACTCATTTGTCCTTAAAGTACAGAATCTCATGTGTGTGTTTTTGTTATATTTGCTGAAATTAATTTTACATCCTGACAGCGATCAAAGACACAAATTTTAAAATACTCCTGTCGCCTGTCTGTGGCTGTAGCAGGACTGTAACAAGCACGGTCAATCCGGCCTGTCTTCCTCTGACATTGTTGATCATCTGCTATTGCTACAGTTGTTGTCCATGAGAGAAGGCTGTCCGTACTGCTAAAAATCTTTGGGCTATAAGAAGTCACTGTAGCTAAAATGCTTAAATCAGTATTGTCATCCTGATAATCACAAGTTTGTCCAGCTGCCAATCAAGTGTTGACACTACCTTAGTTTGCATTATAATTTTCTAAGTCATGTTGGTATGTCTATTTATTTATTTGTCTATATTTGGACTATATGGATAAACGTCCATCCATCCATCGTCAACCGTTCATCCTGCGTACAGGGTCGCGGGGATGGATAAACATAAACAACAAAAGTAGATGTACCTACAATTTTTGTTTGTTTAATACCTCATGGTATCCAATAGATAAACATTACATGAAGAGAGATTTTGTCATAAAATCTTTTGATATTAATTAGATCACTGGCTGTTTTGACGGTCTTTAAAAATGTACATCGCTGAGATTTTGATTATGGAACCAAAAATGGCCTTTCTATCATTTTAAGTTTTGAAATAAATAAATACAAAGTCTGACCTTCTGTTCTATTTCTGTCATGAGGTTTGAGCTTTTAAAATTTTACCTATGACCTCGCCAATCATGAAGACAAGGCAGACAACTGAAGCGATGTAGAGTTTCTTCTTGGCCAGCAGCTTGTCTACGCTGTCCTCACACACCAAGGCTTTGGCACCGTGGCAGTGGGCACCAACGGGTCGTTTCAGCTCGATGGCACCCGCCATGCCACCATTCTTGAAAGGAAACTCGGGATATTGCTCTTTGGAGTCTGGAAAGGAGCTGTAGGGACAGAGAAAGTGTGTATTCATGAAGACAAAGATGGTCCATCACTTCCATTTATATAGTTCTTAAAAGCACCTACTGTATATTTAGAATTTGACTATTTATGTGAATGGAGATTTTGAGAGGTAGTATCAAAAACAGACAATGTGGCTGACAACAATGCCCGCCACTCCTTCACCCCCTGTTCTTGTATTTGTACTTACACTAGTCAGGTAGTCAATTACATAACTTGTTAAGACATCAGTATTTTAACAAAATCCATATGAGTGCAACCAAAAGAAAGCAGAACAAACTGAGCTGATGGATGTTCCATGTGCTCATCGCAGATCCAGTTTAAGGTGGATTTGTTTTTTTGCAGTAGAAACATTTTATAATGGTAGAGAACAAGGTTTGGGAACTTTTGGGCATCGCTGGGCTGACATGACTGGTAATATACACGGTGATTCAAGCTTGGGCTCACTCACGTCAGACCAAATTCAACTTCAGCTTGGATCTACCGTATGGATTAGACATTAAGTGATGTTGTGAGTAAATGTTGCTGCAGAGCACAGTATTGTTTGGTAGAGCTATTTCAAATGGAAACAGATCTCTTCTTGACAAAGTGGATTACAATCAATTTCCACTAAAGTGGAAGAATGGTGAGGCGGGTCAACCACTAAAGAGCCAGGTGATATCGATTACTGTGGACAGTGAGGTGGGGTGTGTGTATGAATGTTAAATTTTCCTTTTTACTCAGGAGATTCATTTCAGTGCGTGTGCTGGTACCCAGCAAGCATAGATTTGGTGTTTTGCAGATCGACATTGAGGGTAATACTGGGCTATATTTGTTAGAAAAGTAAGTTTTAGACATGAAGGTTGCAGTTGACCTTTGTTTCAACTTCACTAATTGCTTTATTTTGGTGTCAAGCAGGCCCTAACTACACATTAAAATAGTGTCATAGAAATGCTGCTGAAAGAATAAAGGGTTAACTTCAGTTTATCAACAGAGTTTAGCCTAGTGCCTTTTTATCTAACACTCATCAGTTCAGTGCTTACCAGACCGTTCATAGACATTAAATTAAAATCTCCTTAATTGACAAAGAAAGTAAAACATGACTAATATTCCACAGCCATGCTAGTGGCTCTGTTAGATGAGCTGTGTTTTGATAACATCAGCATGCAAAACAGGCTCACAATGATAATGTTAGCATGATGTTAAGCAGGAGTTAAGTTTACCATGCTCACATCTTAATTTAGCATGCTAGCCTTTTCTGCATGGCACTAAGTAAGCTGAGGTGAAGATTGTTATTTCTGCAGTTATTTGGCTTTAAACCAAATTAGGACTGGACTTATAATTTTGATCTGATAATTGCGCTAGATGAAAAGTCAGGGGATCATCAACATCAGCAGGATACATTATTCATGGTGTTCCATCCAGTAGTTGTTTAGATATTTCAGTCTGTAGCAAAGTGGTGGACCAACAGACTGCCGTCCCTTGAGCCATTCAGATTAAAGTCTTCCCATTTACATTTACTGGGAAGTATTGATTGATTCTTCTGTATTCTTAATCAAATCATCATATTTGACTGAGGGATGTTTTTAATGTTGCTACCGACAGTGACTGTTAAAGCATTCTCAACATGGGAATTACACATGTGGATATACTTCACCTCTGACAATACAGCCTGCGTCGAGCTGGATTGTCATCACGAGAACAAAACAAAACGCTGACTTCTGCATTTTCTCCTCACACACACACACACACACACACACACACACCCAGGTTGCTATCCTTGGCATGTGCAGTGAGTGAGAGCTGCGATGATGTGGATAATGAGGTGGAAAAAAACTAATTTGGGCTCACTTGAGATAACCACGCACACACACTTTATTTCACACACTTGGGAGTAGGAGATTGCCAGTGTGTCATGATTAGCCTTTATCACACACACACACACACACACACACACACACACACACACACACACACCTTATGGGATGCCCAAGCTGAAAAGAAGCAGCCAAGCGGAAAAGAGATTCTGTTCAATTATACCACAGGGACATAAGAGCAAACACACGTACACACACACACACACACATAGCCTACAATGATATCCTATGCAACACATTTACACTAAAGCTCTGAAGCCTCAAGGCAACGTTTTTGTTCATATCTGAGGGTGTTGTTGTTATTATTAAGCAGATAAAACTGTCTTTAAAATATGAATACAAAATATCATAAACACAAAAAAGACGCACATTTTTAGACTCTTGTGGTTCAACAAATCAATTTCTGCATCAAGCAAGATGAATATGATAGTAAGTAGAGTTCTTCTAGCTAGCATAGGGTTAGTAAAGGGTTTCATTTACTAGTTTTTCTTAAAATCTCAAACATTTCTGAGATTTGTTGTTCATTAAGTATCCGGTGTAGTACTGGACGTGAACATTTAATCACCTTATTATTTAAACATATATTAAAGGATGATTATTTTGTTAGCATTGTTAGCATTTAGCAACAACTGCAGTTAACAGTAAAGAACAACCATATGTGGCTTAGCCTTTGGAATTTTAGACCATTGATAAATTGATAATTGTTTGTTTGTTCCTTGGGTTTTTTGGTGTGAACTTACTAGACAGCAGATGTTAACTATCACATATTAATTTCAACAGCAAAAAGGATTCATTTATATATTATGGTTAAAGTATAGTCTAAATTGAAATTAATTGGTCCTGGTTTGAAGCTAAAGCTTTCCTGACAAATATCTGCAATATTGTCAAACATCATAATGTTAAATATCTAATGGTGTTAATGTTTTATAGTTTCTGTGCTTGCAAAGATATTTACTCATTCCTATTTCCTCAAGACATTTCTCCTGAAGAGTTCTTTAATCTTATAATCTAATCAGCAAAATGTAAAAACAAAAAAAAAGGTCAAATGTGAAAATGTGAGTTCACTTGTACAATTGCATGTTATCTAATTTAAAGGTAATAATAAGTAAAGATTGTAGGCAACTGTCCAATAGCGCCGTGAGGTGGTTTGAGCATTTCTGCAGCAGTCACCCTGCCTACACCAACATATACAAAACTATACGAAACAATACAATTTAGTTTGTAAGAGCTGCTGCATTGTGTTCTTGTTTGGCAAAAAGACAACACTGATCACATGCTGGGTCTCCACAGTGTTAGAGTTCATCTGTTGGTCAATATCCCACAGGGCAGGTGTACAGTGTTTGTTCACTGACACTCAGCATCAGCCATGCAGGGACCTGAGGGAATATTCAGTGATCTGTGAAATTATATGATATGAAGAGACTTCAGAAGAGCTGTATACTGAAAAAAATAACCATCAAGGGTTTAATTACTGCTGCAGTCTGCTATATGAGAGCAGCGCACAATATTTTCTGTAACTGACATAACAATGCCTGCAGGGAGAAAGGATTGCTGCAGAGCAGAAATGAACAATGTTTGGTCTATAGACAATAGACAAGTCAAAGTGATGATGATTATTACTGTTGTCATTTCAGTGCTTGTGAGGACACGTTTTTGTGGCTTGAGAATCAGACTGAATTGCCATTTGTGTTGCATTTCATTGTTCAGTCTGATGGTGTTTTCATGTTAATACACAGATGGGAATCATAGGATGTTATCCATTCTGTCTATGTGTTTGTTAGTTGACATAATGTTGTTAGGAACAGTTAATATTTTTCATGTTGGTCTTCAAAATATTTTCTGTAAGTCGACTTGAATCCTATTTGCACAGTATGTGTTTGTTTATACTGTCTTGTGTTTTTTTCAGATCTTCTCTTGAAGGAATAGTTCAACATTTTGGGAAATTATTTTATTCGCATTCTTGCTGAGAGATTAGAAAATTAGAACTACTCTCATATCTGCACGGTACAGTGTGAAGCTTTAGCCAGCAGCTGGTTAGCTTAGTCTCTGCAGAACTGTAACAAAATCAACCAACGAGCTGCTTTAAAGCTCGCTAATTAACAAGTTATATCTCGTGTGTGGTTTTCCAGGGTGTCATGAGTGGGACTCTTTCTTGGCCAGGAACAGTAACTTCCAGGTGGCTTCTGGTGGCCTGGCGATCTAACAATGACGACAAGACTCCAGTAGGCCACTGTGCCTGACCAAGAATCAGTCCAGAACATAACCCCTATAAAGCCATGTGTCATTGGGGCAGAGCCAGTTATGTGATTGGCTGTTGCTTTGGTATTCACATAATATTGATCACTTTGGGTCTCTATGTACAACTGCCATCATCAATATCACCCATTTTCCCATGTTGTATTTCTGGCTCTTGCACAGGAAGATGTCGTCCCCGTTATTAATCCCGCCTACAAAGCTCTGATTGGTTCAGTTGCTTTTCCAACCAAGACACAGAAGCCGTCAATGAGAACAGCAGAATAAGATCGCTGAAAGAATCTGAGACGTGAGCAGCAACTCAAAGGTCTGGAACCAGGCTCAATGTCTGTCTGTCAGTCCAACACATTTGTCTGAAATGTCTCAACATCTATTAAATGGATTGAGATGATATTATGTACAGACATTTATGATCCCCAGGGGATAAATCCTACTAACTTTGGTGATCCCCTGACATTTTATCCAGTGCCACCATCAGGTCAATATATCAGGTGGTCTTCAAATACGTAGGTTAATGACCAAACGCCTGCTAAACTAATTACCTTCCCATCAGCCTCAGCTGTGTTTAGCATGCTAACTCTAAGATGGTGAACTTGCCATGTCAGTGCCTAGTGTCTCTGGAAAGCCTGCATTGAGCAGGCTAACATAATCTTAATAATGATTTAGTATTATAAATAGATAATTTTAGCTATGTTTCTTTGTAATAATCTATTTTGAGTTCATAAGGAACATTAAGTTGCACTTATATATATTAGGGTAGAAGTTATGAGACACCAGAGAGCAGGCTGGTGACTAAAGTCCATGAAAAGTCTCACTGGCTTCACTCGTTATTATCTGAGGAATTTTCTGGAAGCTGTAGTGCCAGACGCCCATTAACCCTCATCCAATGAGTAAATCATCCAACAAATAGGCTTTGGTAGATAGAGCTGAGTGATATCATGAAGACACTGTAATAATCAGTAATTATTATTTTGTGTTTATAATACCAGAAAAAAATTTGGCTGAATGAGGGATGTTTACAGTACATAACATCATGTTTTCATCTTAACTGTGTTTTGTATTTATAAAAATCCCAGATTTGGTGTTTTCTGTGTTTCTGTATTAATAGCTATTGTCAAAGTATAGCAGCTTTATTTTATTTTACTTAACTTTACATGGGATATTTATTTTTATGGGTATTAATGGGTATTGACAATTTTTAGCTTTAATTGGTGTAAGTTTTTATTCATGATTTCACTTTTTAATGTCCTGGTAAAATCCACAGGATTTTCTTTTGTGCAAAACCAAAATGTTTAATTTTTTCATATTCATAATTTTCCCATGGGACCTGGCAGATTTGTTTTTTCCCCAGATTACCTCACATAAAGTACACTAGAAGCTGAAATTAATGAAATGTAATCAGCTATATCAAACTTTTTTGTTAGTAATAGTGGTACCACATGCTTAAGTCTTTGCCTTTCTGTGTTTATATGGTTGTAAATTATCTTTGGGTTTTGGACCGTTGGTCGGACAGAATGAGCAATTTCAAGACCTGATCTTGGATTTTGTGAGACTATTTATTTGGGGGACATTTTCATCTCTAGTTGAAAGTTGACATAGATGACAGAAAATGAGGAGAGATGTGGGGAAGGAGATTTATTTCAGTTTGTTAAAAAAGTTGTTATTACTTTCTGATAAGACACCCTTTACAAAGGGTTTATGAGCTGCTAATGAATGTATTGATGGTATTGATACATATTTATATTATATATATATATATTCAATTAATCTATGAGTCAGTCAACAAAATGTAGAAATCTATTAATCTTGCCAACTTATAAACATTTGATGGCTTGACAATAAGAAACTGCTGCTAACATTATAATGTCATGTGACCTATGTGCTATTGAAAAATGCTTATAGTTGACCAGAGCCCAATGTGACATATGTGACATAATTATAGTTCTTTGTATTTTGTATTTCTTTGTATAAACAGAATATCTTGTCTTAATAATGTATCAAAATAGTTTGTGGTTGCCAGTTAATTTTCTGTTGATGGCCTGTTTGCTTGAATCGTTTTAGGTCTACACTTGACTATGAATAACTCAAAAGCCAAAGGGACTCTCTGGACACAACCTCACAACCTGTTAAAGGTGCATAACTGAATAAGGCATTAGTAAACGATTTATTAAACAACAATAAAGCCATTATACATGTTATCTGCCCTAGTGGTACCAAAAAAAATATGTCAATGTCTTTTTGAATTCTGAAAAAATATTACAGGCCTATACAAATTATCTTTGTATATATTTTGGTCTTAAATGTGAAAAAAGGAGTGATGTCACTTTGCTGCTGGCCGAGAAAAATGCTGAAGATGACATAAACACACACACACACACACACACAAACACACACACACACACACACACGCAGAAACTGTGCAAATGGTGCATGAAATCTCAGATGTGGTCTCATATCTCTCTCTCTCTCTCTCTCTCTCTCTCTCTCTCTCTCTCTCTCTCACGCACGCACGCACGCACGCGGGAATAAACACACCACTCACCTCTCTCAGAATCTTAATAACAATTTCTTTCATTTCTAGAAAATAAGTTTTATCTCTATGAGCGGGATTATTCAGAGGCCTAAATGTCTGCAGTAAAAACCTGGCGGTGTAAATGACCGTTTAAAGAGCACGACACCTCCTCTCGCTCTGAAGCGTAAAACTTCTGTCAGTTCACATATTTTTTACATTTCGGGTTGGCTCTAAAAAGTGACAACTGATGTAGCAGCGTTAAAGAGTTTATCAATCACGTCCAACAAGTCTGTAGCCTATAACAGTTATTAATTAGATGGATGAAAACTGACGCAGCGTGAAACCTATAGGCTACGATTCAGTTTGATAAAATGCGACCACTGAAAAATAATTCTCTCAATTGCATTTTTATTTTTTATGTAGGACTGTATTTTATATTATTTCCAGTTAAAATCAGTATTGAAATCAGAGGGGTGTGTTTCAGCAGCAGGTTGGGTTTTCTGTTGAACAAACAAAGATGAAGGGCATCTGTTGCAGACTTTAGCAGTTTCCTGTGTTATGCAGAAAAAAGTATTTATTTGTTCAAGATCACAAATTTAATCATTAGATTGTTTTTACTTTAATACGATTTTTTTATATTTTGTTTAATATTAATGCTCCAAATGTACACGTATTTTATATCAAAAGCCTTTAAGAGTTATATCTATAAGACGAATCAGACAAGCTGATTGAAGACTCATCTTCTCGAAATGGCACATTGTTTTTTTGATTATTTTATAGCCTAGGCTATGAGTTTTTATTTTATTTGTTCTCAATGTCTTTGCCGGATAATTTACTATTTAGATTAAAAATAATTAAACCTCTCTGGGTTTTTTGTGGTAGAACTACTTTAACCTGCAGGTACTCGAACTGTGTTATTAATCTCGATGATTCCAGTTTCTTTATGTCCCACGCAGACGGAACGTGCAGGGAGCTGCTTAGCATTGCTCAGTGAACTGGCCCCGGGGCCATTTGTCACAGGCTGTCCAAAAACAAGCCAAGCATGGAAATGAATTTGTTCATTCACATAAAACAGCCCGCAAGAGCGGCAGCCTGCACATGCACCACAGTAGCAACTGATCCCACAGCAGCCAAGGCGTGCAGTTTTCCCTGCAGAGATCAGGTGCTGATTGCAAAAATATTCACTTAGGAACTTCAAGCTGCTAATTTTACCTTACAAGAATCACCGAGAAACAGGCGTGCTGGCTTCTTACTGGCCACTTTCATTAAACTTGACATGATCCATCAGTCCAAAGTGTTTTAAATCGCATGCCGAATGTAACACTGGGCTACAGGTAACTTATCCCCACATATTATTCTGCATGCAGGTGCAATCATTTGAAACATGACATAGGCTATTCCCACCTTTGAAGTTTTAGGGAATACATTTTCGCATTCTTCTCGTGTATCAGTTGAGATTTTTCCGAATTTGCAGCGTTATTATCCATTTATTCAGCCCGCAGTCAGTCGGTGTCCCGTCTGAGAAAAAAAAAAAAGAAGTAAGGATGCTGCAGGAGTTGCTGGTGAGAATCGACAGGTCCGGTACCCTGATCTTCACTCGACGCGGGGAAAAGTCAGCCCGAACCTTATTACTGTGAGAACGAACAGATAAATTCCTTCATTGCGGTGTTGCAAAGGCAGGAGCAGGAAACCACATGCGGGGGTTTTCTGATGGAGGTTTTAATTAGGCTGGAGTTGTTGCCTCGAACATGGAGCTGCAGCAGCGTCTTCAACACTGCAGCTGCTCTTAGTGGACAGGGCAGATAGGCAAAGCCTGACTGATCACCCGGTACAAGCAGCACCTCTGGTTGGTGAACCCTAATGAGACAAGCATCAATAGAACGAAGACTAATTCATTTAACACATTAATGTATGTTTGAGCTTTGAAATATGTTTTACTTACATAAATTCCAACAAGCATTTAAACAATTTATTCAAATGTTGCATACCTTTTGTAAATTAACATATTTAGCAGAATATTGCTTGTAAGATTCACTTTCCTGCAGAATTTTATGCTCACATTGGCTATTTTAAAGATATATACGTTATTTCACAAAATGGGATGTATTGTAGAAATTCAGTTAAATCAGTGCAGACATCTAAATAAGATTCTGCATTATCTGTTCTTGCCTTCATACATTATTTTACAGTCGCTTGATATGGTAACGAAAAAGCAGATTTATGCAATGCAGAAATGATATGCGGGCTTTAACAGTAACACACTTATCACAGATTCAGTCTTAAAGGTTATAGCACATGTCTTTGTATCTGAAAATTAAATTTATGTCAGTCTAAAGAATAATCCTCAAACTAAAATCCTAAACTGAATAAGGGTCATTTCAGCATTAGTGTTTATATACATAGGACCTATCTACACATCATGTTAAAGCGCAGGTCGAAAGAGATGTATGACTATCTTAAAATATGAAAAAATGATAAAACATAATCGGGTTCATGTAGTCAAGGGGTCAAAAAATATAAAGCAAGATTCATGCAAATAAGATCCATATTTAAGATAACATATAGCACATCATGTCTAAATAGATACTGCACATAAAAGTAGCCTATGTCATGTTACAGATTTATGTCTTGTGCCAATCAAGCAACAATGGCTTAAAGACTTAGCTTTAGCCTATTTATTGATAACATAAAACTGTTAAGCATCGATATAAGATGATGAAATAATGTCTCATTACTGATTGTGTGAACATGATGCAGGCCTATGAGATACAAAATACAATGTGGTGGTGTTGGGGGGGGGGGGTTACACTGAGTTTCATTCAAGACTACAACGCCAATGCTGCATTCAGGTTCCGGTGGGACAAAACAACCTTTTGGCCAAAACTGATATTATTAGTAGTGCTATTTTTAAGAAACTCCTGTCGTTATACAGCTTCTATTTAGGTCTGTTTTAGTTTGTCTGCCATTTTATTTTGCAATTTAGCGTAATTGATTAGTGGACATGTAGACTATAAGTAGCAGTTGTGTCGAAAGGTAAGTGAATAAAATGGTTTCAGACAAACATCGCTATCATCAAGCATTATAGGCTACTGCATTTTCTGACAGAAAACAGGTCACTTTTTGTGTTGCAGCCCATGGGTTTAAGTTTTTCCAGTTTTATATTTTTTCTTTACAAAACAATGCTTATATTATTATTATGATTACATACAGTATTATTATACCATATCAATCTACACTATTTCTAAACTAATAGTGAAAGAACGAGTGAGGGTTTTGGTTTTAACCTCAGTTTTTAACCATAGACTGTTCAGAAAAAGGTTTTAACACATTTTTTCAGATTACCATAAATACAGCATGAGTTTACGTCTTCTGACGTCATGACGCTTCCAGTGTTTGGTTTCCGCGCCGCTCTGAGCCTGAGCCGACGATGGAAACAGCACGCAGCGATAGAAAGACAGACAAACAGCCCACAGATGAAGGAACGGAAGCGGACAGCTCTATGTCAAGGTGGGGCAGGTGAAAATAAAAGACGGGTTGTCTTTGACCGGAGTCAGAAGACTGTCGCGGAGCGACACAGTGAAAACGACTCGTGTTAGCCGGCTAACGCTGCTAACGCTAGCTTCCACTGTCATAGCCGCGCATTGTGTTCGCGTAACGTTAGCTGCACAAAAGCGAAAGACAAAGAGATGAGGGCAGTTCAGATATCACTAACACGGAGTGGTTGTGGCCAAATCTTTAAAAAAATTGCCAGAAAGTCGTTTGCAGTGTCATACCTAGCTACTGTAATGTTAACACTAGCTGCCTTCCTTTGGATTCACTTGCGCTTAACGTTATAACGGTTCATTTTATTTCTGGCAGGCAGCCACGCGAATCTGGTTGTGTGATTCAGGATATCCCATAGCTGGCTGTGCAAACACCTGTGATTTTACAGCAGTTTATTTCCCACAAACATTGTGCTGTAATGGGGGAGAAAAAAGGAGTGCAACACGACTGGTTATTTGAGTGGGACCAGCTCTGAAAATGTTTTATTTACTGTCATAACCACACCTATTTAAATTAGGTCAGGTTAATATTTGCTTTACTAATAAAAATGTACTATATAAACATTACATTTACTCATTTGGCAGACGCTTTTATCCAAAGCGACTTACATTTGGAGAACAACATACAAGCATCAACAGAACATCAAATACAAGATCAAATCAAGACACTATTCATTAAGTCATGCATATATTTATATATAATTTGATATACATAAATATAATTAGTGTCTGTCTATTTAGGAATCCAAAAGCAGCGTTTTATTTTTAATACAATTAGGGTGAAAAAGCAATACAATATTGACATATAGCGTTTTTATTATTGTAGTGACCTTTTTAATCATCAGAGATATCAAAAATGAGTCAGGCACAAGCTTATATTTACATTAAATTTGGCAGACACTTTGATCACAAGTGACTTTCTCATGTGGACAGAAGGGCTGGGGATTGAACCACCAATCCACAGTTAATGGCCTCTCTGCGCTACCACCTGAGCTACTACAGCTGCACAATCACACTTAATCCTCCATGCGGCACTTTTAGAATAAAATTTATTTCTCTTATTAAACACTAGAAAACTAGACACTGAAGGGAAGAAAGAGTGTATGTTGTTTTAATCTTATCTAAATCTTCTCATGTGTGATAACATTAAACATTTATTTTAGTGAGATGGTTGGATTCTAGTCCCAAAAGCTAAGTGATGACAGCCTTACTCATGTGAATGGTGGCCCCACTCTGTGCCGTGCAGTGTCCAGGGCAGCGGTGTGATTTCCTGGGGAGGGTTGGCAAGTTCCCCCTTCCTCCCCCTCAACCACACCGACAGCAGAGACCTCACTGTGGAGAGAAGAGTTCAGAGAGAGACACTACAGTACATAGACTCCCTCTCATCTCTCTGCAGGACAGTAAAAGTATCTGCAGGTCCACAAAAGCCAACAAAAAAACCGCTTTAAATTATCAAATTTAGGCCAATTTTTAATTGTTTGGTAAAGTCTGTTTTCTGCCCATTTATAGCTTCACAACTTTGATTAGTTACATTTGATCAGGAAAGGGTTACTTATGACTGTAAGACTTGACTTACAATTAGCTTTGTGGAACCTGCAGATACTTTAAGATGACTTCAATGCCTGTATCGGAGCTGCAGCACGGGGCCATCTATGAGCTTACAAGGCATATCTGATGGCAAACAGCATACAGAAGATTAAACTAGTTGAACTTGCAGGCCACAAGTCATAGGGACTAAATCGGCGCCGAATCAGATCAATTCTGCAGTGTATCTTCACTGAACTTGACAAAAAGACCTTTATTGGATTAGAATCAGTTACCCCACGTATAAAGTATTGTCTGAGTTAAGATGGGTGATGGTGATTGAGTATTTATAGAGTTTCATATCTTTCAATTTAAGTAAGGACTGAAAAAGCTCTGGTCCCTTAAATCTAGCCCTGCCTATTACAAACTGGCATCTGTTGTCTTCCTGTCTTGAACTCCAGTGGGAGCGGAGAGGATTCCCTGGATGGCCTCTCAAACCGTGTCCCCCGGTGCCCTTTGACCCCGTCTTTATCGCCGCAAAAACGCACCACGAGCCAGTCTAAGACGGAGCCTCCACTGCTCAGGACGAACAAACGGACCATCTACACCGCTGGCAGACCACCTTGGTACAACGTCACTGGGACCACCTTCAAAGAGGCCTTTGTTATTGGTGAGATCAGGCAGCTGCCATTTACTTCTGTTCTACTGTCTTATTGCTTTGGTATCATCAGGGATTTCAAAAAATAAGAATGATTAATTTGCACCAATTAAAGCCAGTATTAGTTTTTAGCACCTAGGGCTGGGCGATAATAATAATTATCGCGATCTAATCTTTTTCAATAACAATATAACAGATGTTTAATAAATATTCAATAAATGTTTGATTTTATTCACTTGAATCAAACATAAATTAGGACTTTTTATTAAGTTTATTTTCTTGAAGAAAAAGGACTAGAAAAAGCTTTTACGCATGCATATTTGTTGACAAAAATTCATGTTCTACCTCAGATTTATGAAGTGATCCACTGTTTGTTATGAAGTGTTGATTATAAAGAAGAGTTTAAACCACAATTAACCATCAGGTTTCTTGAATTTTCATTCAGGAGCAAAAATCAGCCTTTAAACTCGAAAGAAATAACGATTCGATGCTTATCGTGATAATTATTGACATTGAAGGATATGAAACTTTTTATCGTGATAACATTTTTGGACATATCGTCCAGCCCTATTAGCACCTATAATTATAAAATACTCCCATTGGGTCGGCAAAGTCACACATTTTCACATTCTAAATATATTGTGTCTTTAAGAAACAGCAAAGTCTCAATCTTGCACAAAGTAAACCACTACTAAATCAGTTTAAGGCTTAAACTTAAGTCTACACAATCAAGTCACCTCATACAAAAGATGGCTTCTCTCTATGTAACACCATTGGCCTAATGAAGGTCTAGCACTAAAACTTTTTGTCAATACATATATATTTTTTGCAAGTTAGACAGTGTGCGGGAGTTTTCTTAGAAACTTTTAACCTACCTGTCCCTCTCCAATTAATTTATTGTTCTGATAAGTATGTAGTATGAAATTGCCCAAACTCAGCCCTGAAAAGGATGTGAGTTCAGTTTTAAAGAGGTGCTATTATGCTTTTTAGCTTTTTCTCTCCTTTATTGAGTTATTTATCTTTTTTGTGCATGTAATAGGTTTGCAAAAGCCCAAAGTCCACCCCAAAGGGAGTTCCCAGCTCCCACAGAAAACTCTGCTCTGAACTGCCTGAACAGTTCGTTTGTAGTCCAGCCGCTTAAATGCGCCTCATATAACGCTCGCCAAGCGGCTAGTCCGACACGCCCTCAAAAACACCAGTGGAAAAACACAGGGAGCTGCAGCACACAGCTCTCCTCTCCCTTCCAAACACTAGCTACCCTCCAGGCAGTCAATGGACATAAAGTTGTTACTGTGATGTAGAGACAGAGCTCAGTTAAAACTTATATATTTGTTACAGATTAATGACTCACCACTCTGAAACTCCTGCTCCCGTCCATATCGCTAAGCTGGTAAGGGGACATACAGCTGAACCGAAGCCGTGTTTACCGGCTTCTCAGGGCCCGCCGTACTCTGCTTCTGATTGGCTAGTAGTCCTAAACTAGAAACTGCACATGTGCAACTACCAACACAGGTCTTGGAGAGGCAAGATGTATCACTCCAAAGCTAAAACGAAGCATTTAACACAAAGGGGGGGAAAAGAGAAGATGCAGCAATGAGCAGTATGAAAAAAAGAAATATATGGTGTTTTTTGAAAATGAAACCATGTAAACCTGTTCTGGTACAACCCCTATACAAAATGATGAAAATGAGCATAATATGACCTCTTTAATTTGGGTCACAAATAAATACTGAACAAAGTGATCGCAAACTTTAAATGTAAGAGCAATGCTGTGGTTTGTTGTCTGGTAGTGTGATGTTGTACTGTAAGGGTGAAGGCACACGCTAGAATCATGACATCTACATTTTCAAACACAGTGTCTCAATGTTTAAGTTTAACAAAGGTGTCGGCTGAAGATTTTACTTGAACAACGAATGCCAGAGTTTATGCATCATGCGCTAATGTGAGACAGAGAATATTTCTAGGGAAGAAGTGTAGTGTGATCGTACCTTCCCTCCACCTGCTGTACCAAAGAAACGCAAGCACCTGCGTCAGAAGTAATCCAGCAACACAGTTGTAAACACTTTTAAGAGTTGCAACTAACGATTCCTTTCATAATGACTGAGATGTCCTAGGGCCAACAGTAATGTCTTCAAAATGATAGATATTCAGATATTCAGTTTACAATGATATAAAGCCAGACAAATTCTCACACATGAGAAGCTTGAGCCAGTAAAAGTTTTTGTTGATAAATGCAAAATGTCTGGGTAAAACGCTGTCAGCCTTTGTGTAACTGTTGTGTAAATGTGCCCAGTCAGCAATTTTAAGCGTTCATGATGCTCTGGCTTTACTGTGGGCGTTTTTTTTACAGCAGCCCGCCGTCTTGCTGATCAGCACAATAATATATCTGCCTCAGGACGAGTCCCAGCAGCTGTACAGTGAACCGTGACCGAGACGGTGTGTGTACACATCTGCATGTGTGTGTTTGACATTCGCCGAGTCAATGTTCCGTGGTTAAACGCATCAGATTGGCATGAGTGGGAACACGTGGAGGGAGAGGTGGACATTATCTTTAGTAGGCAATCTGTTATTGTCAGTGGGCCGCAGTGACTGGTTACAATTTCACACTCTGCTGTACTGTAGTCAATGTGGCCCTTGTTAAAAGGACCAGACTGTATAACTGCAGGGAACTGGACAGAGAAGAATAATCAACCTGCATTAAAGATCAATGGAAGATAGAGAAGTGAAACTGATGGATAGAAAACAACGGGGAATGCAAGACTTTAAAGAGAAGGTTGAGGGGCATATAAGAAGCAGGGAAAGAAAGAAGAGATGGATAGAAGAATGAACAAAAAGAGGAGGGACGGAGAGGTGAGGAGTGGAAAAACACTGAAGCACCACAGATACCAGAGAGCGTTTTCTATCTCTTCTCTGGTTTTATTGCTAAAGGAAAAGGTAGTTTTATCTGCTTTAACAGGCTGTCTCACTGTCCAGGCATCACAGCTGGGTGACACTCAAAATCTGTGATGAATCTATAGGAGCACATTAAATAGGGTTACGGGGTTTAACTTCTTAATACATCAATTTGCAAGTCAGAAGCAGTATTTCTATAATCACTCCTAAGCTGTAATCATAAATAGAAACGAGGAGCGCTGCAGTGTTTTCAGCCTCCCAGTCAGCAGTTTTGACCTTGATGGGCCTTATCTGAGCAAAAAAAAAAAAAAAAACCCATTCCAACACTTCACTGAGAGTTGTTTATAACACAGAAGTAGCTCCTTAGGCCATTTCTGTTCCTGCATAAACACACATTGACAAACACACACAGCCGTTTGCAATCAATGCACCCCGTTCTCTACCTCCTTGCCAGGCAGCATGTAGTTCTGGCTCAGTTCCCTGGATTGTTGTCCTGAAGGATTGCTGTTGTGGTCTTTAACCCAGGAGGTGTTGTGAGGTGAAGCAAGCAGGGCAGACTATTTAAAAAAAAAAAAAAAAAAAACTTGTTTCACATTTTTGACTACAGCACAAAATATAGGTGCACCCAGAAATGTTCTGCTGTGCCAAGCAAAAAGAGTTTTACACTGCTATTTTGTTCCTACCACCATACTGGCTGTTAAACACATACAAAGAAATAACTGATAAACAGAGATAATATGTTTAAAAGAAGTTTTATCAGCTGCACTAGAATTGTCTTTAATTTGTCTTGTTTTTGTCTCTAAGTCATTTTGTAAACTTTTCATATTATATATTACCTCTCTGCTTTCTTAGTGCCCATTTATCTTATGGAAAAACTTTTGGATTGTGTTGTTGTTGAAAGCACATAAACTTGCCTTGCCTGCTGCTGAAAGGATTTGTCAATTAGTAAAATCCACAGGAAATTCTCTTTTTTATAATAAAGTAAATTGAATTTGGGTTTTGGACTTTTGAACAGACATTTCAGACTTGTGATCAAATGGACCAAACAAGTGGATCCAAAAAATATTTTACAGATTATAAAAATAATCACTATTTGCAGCTATAGCTGTTTATATATGTTTTTTTTTGACATGAACTACATAATGGTTAGGTAAAAGACAATATATGTATGTGACAGATTTTAATTGTTTATTTTAATAATGACAAATGCTTCATGTAGCATGAAGCAATCCCTAAACTGTAAGTAAGGACTTTTACACAAATACACATATCTCAACAAGAAAATGCATACAAAACACAATGATGGATGATCATGATAAAATTTATTTATTGAGCACAATTCAAAAAACCATGTTAAAGTGCTTTAACAGGTGCATGATAAAAGCAAGAAAACACTTATTTAATTAAAATAAAAGTTAAACAGAAAAAATAACTATAACTTTTATAGGCGATACTTTCCTGATTTTAGTTGATTTATGTTTTAAGAAGGGACTTACTTAAGAAGTCACTTACTCAGCTGACCGGATTTCCTACAATACAATAAAACTCTAGGACAAGCGCCAGATTATTCATAGCTACATGAGTGATTTCCTCTTTCATCTTGAGAAAACCCTTCAGCCTGTGCACAGCTTGTGTGTGTGTGTGTGTGTGTGTGTGTGTGAATTCATTGAGGTGGCAGACTGCAGTGCTGCAGGTATATGGAGCTTATGTAGAAGCCCTTTCTTCTATAAGAGCAGTCAGTGAGGTTGGTACCTGAGCACTACACGGACTCTGTCCGTATCAGCCTACAGCTCGTAATCTGTATCATCAAACCAAATTTATGTGAATGCTGTGAGTGTGTGGAAGGAGAACAAACTCAGTAGCGCACAATAACACACTAAAATCACTACTTGATGGACAAAATCTTATGTAAGTTAAATGGTCACACTATAAATCCTTTTAAAGGGAAATTGGATAACTTGACAACATGAGCAAACGGATACATAGGGAATAAAAACTAGAGAACAAATCGATACAGATATACATGCTATAAGCTAATAAGCTTATACCATGTATATCTTTATCGATTTTACACCAGCTGATAAAGGGGAACGCCACTGATTTCACACGCCAAGATCAGTCTGTAAAACAGTTAACAGAAAATTATTTTATATTCACTCGAGCTGAGAGACTGTACATTTTTAACAGAAAATCTGTGTTAAAAGGGGGTGGGGGTAACTTTGAAAGACAGGTTAACAGGCAAAAATGGTCTGATCAAAAAAAAACACTCAAGTATCAGTAAATCTGTCAATTATTTTCTCAGTTTATCAACTATTATATTTTTAATTTTCTTTGTTTTTCTTTGTTACGTGGGAATGCATTGTCAGGATAGTGTTGAATTTCATTGTACTCAATGACAACTCAGGGACAATAATGTATTCTGAACTAACCGTCTGCTTCCAATATGATCAATATGTATATTAAATCCGAACCTGCAGGTTTTCCTTTATTCAGGTAGTCCTTTCTGTTTCCCTCCTTTAGGTCTGTGTGGAGGAAGTGCTTCTGGTAAAACCACAGTAGCCAATAAGATCATTGAAGCGCTGGATGTTCCCTGGGTGGTTCTGCTCTCCATGGACTCTTTCTACAAGGTACTAAATCCAGTTAAATCCTGCTTTGATAGCAGCTGTTTACATCAGCTATAAGCAGTCTTTTGCTTAATAAATCATTTCTGTAATATTTCAGATTACTTGCTCAGCATTTTGAGACCAGCGTTTGCACAATAGTTAATTATCCTTTGATTTTAAACCAATCGGTATAAATTGAATTTTAACCTGATGTAAAATCAAACACCCTCTCTCTCCTTCTTCATGGACACCAGGCCAGTAGTGCTGATCTCAGCGTAATAAGTAAAACCTCCTGACCGATAACTGATCAACTGATATGAACAATCGTTCATATCAGTTATACCGCTCTTTCCTCTGGGACCAGAGTTTGATTGTTTTTTTCAGTTTGCATTACTCACAGAATCCTACAGAGCCCATTATGTCTGCATGTCTCGATTGGACCTAGTTGTTGTTGTCAGTTAAACACTAGTGAGTAAGATAAGTGAAGAGAAAAACTCCACTTTGATGCTTTACAGTGTTGGATTATGTCCTTTTCTCTTGTTATGTACTTTTAAAAGTCCACCAACAAATAATTTTTGCTTTTAAATATTAACGAATTATGGGAATGGGACAAATATAGAAGAAGAGTGGAGATTAAATGCCTCATAAGGTCTGTGGCTGGATCTGGAGATGTAAACTTTTGGATTTTCTGATACCACAACTGTCACAAAACAGGAATGTGAGTGCTTGACGTAAATGATCTGCAAACTTTCCTTGAATTTTAAACACCCATTAAAATGTCGGTGACCCAGCCATGGGCATGACACAAGACAATTGGGTGTTCTGATACCCCATTGAATCCATCTTTTACAGATATTTTTGTATGTGTGCACTCAACTGAACTTTTCCAATTTTGTCATTTCTTGGATGACATGAATCTCATTCGTGAGCTTTCTCATTATCTCACACACGTTTTTCAGCATCTAAGCATCAGTGTTGGTCAGTGAGCCTCCATGGGAACCTGTGGTTATATGATCACAAACAACAAGTGTCTGCCATCAAATGAAATGTAAATTAAATGAAAAGATTAATATTTTAGTCCCTAACCTTTTCTTAACTTAACTTTTTTTGTGTGTCTATGCTTCGGTGTTTGTGTGGTAGGTGTTGAATAAAGAAGAGCAGGAACTCGCAGCCAAAAATGAGTATAACTTTGACCACCCTGATGCCTTTGACTTTGAGCTTCTGGTCACCGTCCTCAGAAAGCTGAAGAAAGGGAAAAGCATCAAAGTCCCCGTGTACGACTTCAAATCTCACTGCAGACGCAAAGAATGGGTAAGACCTTCGCACTAACTGAACAAACTCCGTGGTAACTTAGGCCTCACTACACACTACTCCATTTTAGATTACAAACGGAGAATTGAAATGAATACGATCTCTGTCCACACCGGCGTTTTAGCTGCGCGTTAAAAAGACTGAAACGCACATCTATTGGCCGTTCAGGCACACTGGTCATGCGCATGCCAGTGTAAACATGAAGCAGATTCTGTAGTTACACAAGATTTGGCGAAAGAATAAATAAATACAGATGAAGAATCAGACCAGTTTTTGTTTGTTTGTTTTTTTGCATGCACCAATATCAATTTTATTTATATAGCACACTTAAAACAACCAAGGTTGACCAAGGTGCATCACAAGTTAATATACAACAGACAATACTTACACAGTAAAAGTACAGCAATAAAACAATATAATATACAGTATACGATAAAATTGCCAGGAATAATAACTGACTTAACTCGAAGGAAATGCCAAAGAAAAGAGATGGTTTTTAACAGTGATGGGACTGTTACTGAATGTAACACGGGAGTGTGGCGGCGGAAAACAGACTGGGAGTTGTCACAAAGTAAACGGCGACATGCACAGTAGAAGTGTAGGCAGATAAGTGTTACTGGCACGGTACAGAATATTTTAATAAAAATACCAAGTCAAAAACCCGGTCAGTAGCATCCTGTTTCTGCTTTGCATGACTAATAAGACCCAATCAGAGAGCAGAGCGAGAGCGGCTGCGTCATCGTTTCTAAAGTCCTCTGTTTTGGCCCGTCTTCTCTAAAACACCCTCCGGAGTTTTGAAACGAAAACGGGGTCGGCAGCAAACTTCTCCGTCTTAGATCTTCGTTTTCACTGTTGTTTTCCCCACAAACTGCAGCATGAGCAACTCTTAGTTGCTTATTGATTGAGAATTTTTTTTATTGTACAGGATTTGGGGGATGCTTTAATTATGCGATAATTGTCTATATCTGTGTGGTCCGCTATTTTTACTTTGTTGTTAAAGAAATTGCACCTTCCAAAAAATCTGTGTGTTGGTGTGGATACGTCAAAATTTAAATGTCTAAATGGAACAACTTATATTTTATGTAAATCTCATTTTAAGGCGTTAAGTATGATGTTTTGTGGCCAATCATGGTCCAATATACAACTAACACAAGTTAAGTATGCGTGTGATGTGGAAACTTGAAGCCTCCAGTGCAACACTGGGACTGGACTAGAATATTTGGACTTTTGAAATTTAAAAATATTTGCACAGTAACAGATTCAGGACTTTTCCAAAGTAATTGAATTTTTTTTTTTTTTTTTTGTAAAAAAATCACAGCAGACAAATTTTTTTTAAAGCAGAGAACTTCTTCATATCTTAAAACATGTCTAAATGGGATCTTTAATCATATAAAAAGTATAATTATAATATTAATAATCCAATCCTTATTAATTAAATATTTTTCGTCATAGTTAAATTTCTTGAACCTAACTTTGAAGTGGTACCACCCACTTATAATCTATCTTTACCAAAATAAAAGCAATAAAAAAATAAATTTGCTCCTCTATTTTTTGCAATTTACAGAATAAAATTACCATTGCTGTTACAAATCATTGAACACCCCTAAGGAGGTATTAGTCGTTTAGGCAGATACCAATTGAAATGCTTGTTAATTAGCTGATTATTAAGGATTTAGTGCACATGACATTAACTGAACGGAAAGAGCACAAATCCCCTCCCAAAAGCATTGTGAAGAATCAATCTGGCTGTGTAGCCCTCTGACAACTCCTCTCTATTTCTTTGCAATGTAATTTCATGGCTGAAAGGCGCAATGCCACACGGGAAATTGCATAACATGACTTCTGACTCTGAAATCATTTAAAAGGCCTTTTGTACCGGGCTGAATGTAATTAAGCCCCAGACCCCAAGGATGCAGAGGACTGCAAGAGCCAGCCAGCTTCATGCGGTACATACTGTGTTTTTCTGTCAGTTATATGGATGAAGGAGAGGGCACAGCTGAGTTTTCTTTCTTCTACTACTTCGTTGGTGAGAATGGAGGTCATCTTCTCTCTCATATGCTAAAGACCAACTAAATCATCTCTTCCCCCCCCTCCAATTCAATTCAGATTAGCTTTATTGGCATGAATGTGTAACAACAATATTGCCAAAGCATCATACAAACTACACAAGAACAATCAGCCCCATACATTTCATTTAACAAGTAATTAAAGCGTAAAGTAATCAAAGCGTCTATGTTTAAAAAAATAATATAAATAAATAAAACTGTGTGTGTTTAAAAAAATAAATATATATTAAAAATAAAATAAATAAATAAAACGGTAAGCGTGTATGTTAAAAAAATAAAAATATATTAAAAATCACTCACATGCACGCGCACAAAATCAATACCAAAGAGTCATGTCCATTGACTTAGCATGGGAGCTGGTAAGAGGAATTTAATAGGATTGTGACATACTCAGCACCATTTTGTCTTTGATTGAGGCGGTAATTAATCTCTCTCACACACGCAATCACTGTATCTGATTTTTAGAAGCTAGACTTTATAAAGCACTTTTATAGAAAAAAAAACATTTGGTAAGATAATAATAGTTTACTTTTCCTTATGAGGCAAAGAAATGAAAATGGGTCTTTGTTTCTAAGCTTTAACATGTTTGTTTTCTATTGCGTCTGTTGTGATTTTCACCTTCTTATTGAGATCATTTTGTTTATCAAGCAAGTGAGCTTTAAGCTAGACTAGAAAACCTATCCTGTAATTTGTTACCCTCGACAGAAAACTGTGTACGGGGCCAATGTTGTCATCTTCGAGGGCATCCTGGCCTTTGCCAACAAGGAGCTGCTGAAGGTAAGAATAATCTATTCTTGTCTCTTATTGCCAGTAAGGCCGGCCTAACCTCAAGTCTGAGATTAAAATACTGTCAACGCTTTATCACACGACACAAGCAGACTTCTCACATCAGGCTGTACGTTTGAATGAATTCGATTTTTCTTGTTTTCTCTGTTCTCTGAGCCAGACCTGATTAATGACTGCCAGCTCAGAGACGACCGTCAGGCTGATTAACGGTGAACTAAATAATCTGGTTTGGAGTAGGGATGTTAAATTTGCTCATTTATCTGTGTGATCAAATATTTTATATGGGTGACAGATGGGATTGTGGCTGATATTAATTTTATTAAAATTCAAATATCAGTCAGTTTTCCTCTCTGACCATGACTATGGAAATGTCTAAATTAACTGACACTGCCTTTGATTATCTTTGGTCAATTTACTTTTTATTTGATATGTTTAATGTTTATTTAACAAAATTCCTAGTTAATGAGGAGGGTCCTCTTACTATTCAATAGGTAATTACATTTTATAGATTTATGGTTAATTACATTTTGTAAGAACCAGCAAACGATTAAAAAATGTGTCTTTCTAACATTTGTGGACATGGGGTAAAAATGGGGTATTTTAAATAAAAATAACATAAACAAATTCAAACAAAATCCTTAATTCAGTCCAAATGATTAAAGCAATCAAACTGCTGTTATTTACACCCATGTTTGTGTGTATTTGAAGAGACCTGGTTTATGAGGAGAAAATTAATTCTGCCGTCTTTATAATGAGGAAGAACATATGAATTAAAGGGGAGTGTTCTTTTTTTATTTTTTATAGCAGTGGTGTGTGTGTGTGTGTGTGTGTGTGTGTGTGTGTGTGTGTGTGAGCGAGCCAGCTGGACCGTGGTGATAAGGGACACTGCCTCCCCTGAGACCCAGCTGCTAGTTGATTACTCTCTGATTCAGTTAATAGCGGCCATTGTCCGGTGTGATTAATTGTGTTTTGGGTCCATTCTTGTAACTGAAGTTAATTATTGAGGCAAATCTGATAAGCTAATGGAGAGTTGTGGTTTGAGCACCTTTACTATCTTAACAGTAAAATTCAGATTCACAGGATTTTTGCATCAGTGTGATGAAGTAGCTTGATTTCTTTATATTAGGTATTTAAAGGGTCAGGGGATGTAGTGTTGTACTTCCATAAAATTGGGAAACTCACAATAGACAGAATTATTTTTTTTAAAGGTCACATCTTACAAAGTCACACCCTCAGTTTGTTTAGAAATTTATAGTCTTGAAGCTCAAGCTGACAAACCCTGGCGACGAAAGAAAGCTCCCTCCAGAGTCACAGAAGACATTATGCATCTGTTTTCACAGCCTGTATGAGAGTTCCCCTTTAATTCACTGGATTAGCCAAAAAGAAGACATTCCCAAATGTTCATGGTGCACACATGAATAACATTAGTTTGCTTTACTTGTTTGCTTTAATGGCATACCAAGAAGAAATGCTCACAGACTGAAAACCCATTTATTCAAATTGTCTCAACTCTGTGCAGTGTTTGCAATTTTGAGTCTGTTGTTGCTTATGTTTAATTGATCGATTCTTCCTGCTGTTCTTATGGTTTTATTTTAAACCATTTTACTCTTGAAGTGCTTTGTGACCTTGCACTGAAAGTTGACCCACATAAACTTGACTTACTTACTTTAAAAACAAGCCACTGCAAGGTGAAAATAGAAGAAGCCAGGCATCAAAGCGGTAACACTTTATTTTATGTGTCTGTAATTTCCTAATAATCTTTTAACTATATAATTTGATGCTAAGGTAAATAGGAATTTCCTCAAAGTTCAATTTAAACTGAAGTTAAGATGAAGTACAAAGTAGAAAAGAGTGCAAATATCAATATACTATTAAGTGCAGTATAACAAAATTAAACCGATTATCAATAGAGCCACGAAATAAACACGCTTAACGATAAATAGCTGACTATATAGCTGTCTATATTTCCCTATAATTTGTACCAAATCAAAGTTGTGAATTAAAAGTGTTACCATAAACTCAAAGACATGTTCTCAGAAACCCACTGGTATGTTTTTGAGACGTATATTGTTCTCCTTAATTACCAGTAAAGGCTGATAAAAAGTAAAGGTACTTTATTTGTCACTTACACATACATGTAGTGAAATTCATTCTCTGCATTTAACCCATCCCTGAAGGGAGCAGTGGGCCACTGTGCTGCACTGTGCCAAGTCCAGATCGAATCTAGTGTCTGGATTACTTAAGATGTTTTGTTAAAAGCCCCTTCAACTATCCTTGTAATAAAGGCAACGTTTTCTAAGTTTTCCTGTCACACCATTGTGGTAAAAAAGAACTGTGTGCTTTTGTATTTGAGCAGGTTAGAAAATGATCTGCAGCCACAGTCTTGCTCTCTAACCTTTGGGGCCACTCCACTCCTCATTCACCTCCTCCTATAGGCCGACAGCTGTGCTTATCCAGCAACACGCCGTCTTTTGGTTGGTCGACTTGCCAGATTTACAGCAGACAAAGTACATTGGCTTGTTTTTCTAATGAGTTATACCTGTTCACCCCCCACTGTCATCCTCATCTAAATCACTCACAAACTTATTTTTCTTTCAGGAGTCATCAATAGGTCTTTTGGTGAGCGAGGCCGTTGCCTCTTTGTTGTTCCACTCCTGTTGTGTTGCTGGCTCATTGATTTTTTTTTCAGTTTTTTGCTGAGTTGAGGTTCAGTTTAATGGAGCTTACTGGACAGATAGACTGTGACTTACTCTTTAAAGTAACAATGATAACTGATGTCTCCTTGATCTGCGCTTTTGATTCTTAAACATGTCCTGACCCCTAACGTCACGTTTTAGCTGTAAAAAAAAGCCAAATAATGGAAGCAGCTGAAAATGTTTTTTCAGCAGAGCAACACAGGACAATACTAAAAGATGAATCCTGCGGTTTTTGTTTGTGTTGGTCATTTGTTCCTCCCTCCTTATATACATTTATGCAGTTTGTACATACCATATTGTTAATCTACTAGGGTTCAGTGCTGATGCAGTTAGTCAATTAATCAGTTTGATCTGAAAATTAATTGCTAACAAATTTATCTGATTCAGCTTCTCAAATCAGAAAATGTGCTGGCTTTCTTTGTTTTATATAATCGTATAACTTTGGACAGTTGGAGAAAATAAATGATAAATAATACTTTTATTGTATTGGCTTAATAATTAATCAAGAAAATAATCTGCCGTTTCATTGGTAATAAAATAATAATTAAATGCTTTCTTGAAGCCCTAGAACTAGCATTAAACTGCCATTAAAGTTTGCAGCTTGCAAGACAGGTTGTGGGTGTATGAGGTTGTTTTAGACACTGATGAAAGTCAATGAGCACGGCTTCTTTACAGCAATTTGGATTTTTATATGAAGTTTGCATTAGTGTGATTAAGCACCTTGATATATCAAGTATTTAATATGTCGACATGCTGTGTAAACCCATTGGCATTCTGGGAAACAGGATCTCAGTGTAATTGTGTAGGACATGTAGAAATGCAGTAAAGGGGAACAAAAAGAGCAAGAAATCACAGATTAATTAATCTGATTTGTCCCCTTCCCTTGTTGTTTGCCAGCTGCTGGACATGAAGGTGTTTGTGGACACAGATTCTGACATCCGCCTAATACGGAGGCTGAAGAGGGACATTTCACAGCGCGGACGGGACATCAGTGGCATCATCAAGCAATACAACAAGTTTGTAAAGCCAGCATTCGAGCAGTACATTGAGCCCACGGTGCAGTCCGCTGACATCGTGGTGCCCAGAGGTCAGTGAACATTTGGTTTATTAAATAGAATTATGTCACTATAATTTACATGTTTCACTAGTTTTGATAATTTGTTCTTGTCTTATTTACAGGTGGAGAAAATTTTGTAGCACTAGATTTGATAGTTCAGCACGTTCACAGTCAGCTGGAGAAGGTAAGGGTTCCTCAACTTATTTCTGTGTGGGAGTTGGAACATTAAAAGGATTTTACTGATTCAGCTAAACTTTTGGTTTAACTTTAGTTATTTCTACCCGTATAAATTTCTTTATAAGGGTAGAATGATAAAAAGTCTTTGTACATTCTGAGGTTTTTTTTAGTAGAAAAGGGCTGCCTCAGCTGCATGTTGTGCTGATAGGAGCATCACTGTTTACTTTCTATAATCTGCAGTTGAAACACAGCAGCCGTAACCTCCATTACATAGCTAGTGGGCTCCGTAATAATCAAAATAATAATTTCTGCTACACGTTTGGCTCCTACATTTTTTTTTACTCATAGTAAGAAAGGGCACTCGATGTTCTAAGGATGCATGGGGGTGTGAGATGGGTGCGAACATGGCCTGTGGTTCTTTGTAGGCAAACGTCTTCTCAGGGTCAGTCTGTTGCATGTGTTGCCTGTACACACAAATGTGACGTAGGAATATTTAATATGAACCCACTAATCTGCTCTAACATCCATCAGAATACCTTTTTGTGTTTCAATGACATACTTTTATGTCTTGCTCACATCATACCATTAAAAGTGGGACTCATAAGGCCAATTTATACTTCTCCCTTAAATCTACACCGTAGCCTGACGCGCACCTCCCCAAAAAGTTTACCACACTGTACGGCAACGCAGACCGCAAGAACTGTGATTGGTCTGTCTCAACCGGTTCATCTACTACTCTAAGGCCTTTTCTATTTACTGCACTTGTAATTTTACTAAAAGTAATTGCTGTTTAACATCAATCAGCTCCACCTCCCAACATGATCTGCTCAGTTTCAGTCGCCATTGTTTGTAGTAGCCTACATCAACAGTCTAAACTCAAAACATGAGAAGAAACACAGCGGAATTTAGAAACCCAACCGCCAACTAGAGTTTTGGCGGTGTAGTTGCAGGGTGACACGGACACCAACGCACGCAAGTGTAAATGCTGTAGGCATGGTGGTTTTACCACCATGCAGCCTCAGGTCAGATCTCAGTGGTCTGTACACGTTGTTAAATCTCATGTTGTCACAGAGGCACCCGAGATTAATGACCATCAAGGAGAGGTGTCCTCCATCTTTCCTCACCTCACTGTACTGTCAGACACATTATGACCTGTAACAAACTATGATCTGTTCCATCCTCGTATTTATTCATGGCCACTAGTAGAACACATAGAACATCTTTCACACTCACATTCACAACACTCGCAGTAAGAAACATGGATGAGTAGAAGCGCACTCACAGGCTAACATGATACCGTCCTGTTTTAGCTTTACGGACCTCATTCACCTTTTTCTCTCCTTCACACACATGAATGATTTGTGCATTCATGTGTGCAGTAATGGGGTCTTTCATGATCTGCACATTCCTATCAGAGCTTCTTCTTGGATTACAGAGCTTATTTACCTTAATTACATGATTGACATGCAAGGTTGTTTCTTTACATAGCAATCTGCCTGTGTTTCCGTGACAAAATACAGATTTTAACAGCACCTTTCTTGCTATAAAAAGTGTTTAACAGAGTATAGACAGGTGGGGTTAAATTCATCATTACTGCAATAATTAATGTTGTTGAGTATTTTAAAGTATTGCCACATCCCAGTGTTTACTTTCATTCAGTTCAGATCTTTCCTCTCAAATAAGAGAAAAAATAAACAAAAACACAGTAAGTAAGACAATAAAACAATTGATGGCAATAAAAGTGATATTACTAGGGATGCGACGGATCACAGAACTCATGGTTTGGATCATATCACGATTTTGAGTCATGGATCGGCTCAACTACGATCTGTTATACCATTAGCTTTACCATACAATACAGAATACAATAAAAATCCTTTTGTAATGAAAGCAAGGAAAACATCAACAGTAAGCGTTGGGTTAATGTAAATAATGGTAATGTGAACAAAGAGCCAGGTCATGGTTTATTGGAATGAGGAGCGTTTATGCACCTGGGATAAAGGAAAACTTTAACCTAAAGGGGAGAGTGTCAAATTCCTCAAGGACAGGAAGGCCCAGATTTGCCAAGATAGAAAGCAGAAACCATCTCATCCTGCACGCTGAAGGGATGCTTTTAAATGTTTGCGGAGTACAGCTACGACATTTCAGGTATACCTGATGGCGTTATGACAAAATATTGGCACATCTTAGCTGTACCCAGAGCATCAAGTCAGTGTTGAGGATTTTATATAGTTTTTTTTTAAAAATTACCTTTTTCATTAACTTAGGGCTAGCCCCAATAACTCATTTTACGTACATAGTAAACATCAGCATGTTGGCATTATCTTATAAGTATAGCCTCACAGAGCTGCCAGCATGACCGAAGACTCTTGAAATCCTTAACAAAACAGGACATGGTTGTTTCATACAATTCCACTCAAGATTATATGTTAGTATTGCTCAGTCCTATATTAATATTTAAGCCTAAGCAAGGGTGGGATGTCATTAATACTACATTTTAAAAACTTTTATTTTGCTGTTTTATGCTGCAGATTGGTTTATCTCATGTTTTTTTTCCCCTTGTGTCTCACTGTTTGTGTGTGTGACTCCCCTTGCCTGGCTGAATGCTGTGTAACCATTCCAGCGTGAGATCACTGTGAGGTATGACTGTTGCTTTTTTTTATTATCTTCTCCTTCTTCCTCCTATTCCTTTCCTGCTTTCACTCTATTTTCAACCACACTAAAACCCAAATCAAAGACAAATTTACAAAAGTGTCTTTTTTTTTTTTGTTTTGTTTTTTTTTACTGATGAACAATCCAGTCAAACGGTTTGCCTGGTTATCCTCTGCGAGTACTTTACAGCTGGCAGTTTAACACAGGATGACTGAATGTCTTCAAAGGTCACACATGCCATGTTCACATGACCGCTCAGACCTGCAGCCATGCCAGCAAAGCTCACGCTAATTCAATATTGTTTTGTCCTTAAGTCAAGAGGATATTTTTATACATATATAGTTGTTCTTTGACCTCCTCCTTCAAGAGGTGGTGGACTATAGTTGTAATTTTTAAAAGGCAAATGACAACTATTGAGGTATAGTGTCGTTCTGCACTCCACTGGGAACAAGCACTTGAATAAAACACTCACAGGTCTAACAGGCTGTTGGTGAAATGTACAATATGGGACCAGCTAGTGCTCTGAAACCACTAACAATAAAAGAAAAATGTACCTAGTGTAGTAAAAGACGACTGATGTGAATTTCAGCTCCCAAAGTATCCTGCCTGGAGGTTGAATGAATTGAGTGACCTAAAATGAACCCAACTTACAAGACAAATTGAATTGAGCTGCTCCTCAGCCCTGAACTAGAGTGTATTTGTTCAGTGTTGCACAGCAGTGATGTAGTGGAGCTGTTTCACTGCACTAATACGGTTCTTTCTCTTCTTTTCTCCTTTATATTTTTGTCTCCTTGTCCTTTGTATGCATTTTTCTTCTGTATCTTTCTTCACCCCACTCTTTATCACTTAATCTCAACAAATGAATATTTCACCTTCTGCAGAGGAAGCTCCGCTGGGATATGTGAGGTTCCCCTTGTGCATCCCCTTTTAGTGTTGTAGATTTGAAAGCACAGTTTTGTAGTACTAAAGCACTCCAGCCTTTTCAACTTAACAAAATTTGATGACTGCAGGAAAGCATTAAACTAATTTGCTACTCTGAGTGTTAAAGCAGAAGCGTGCTTTATTTTGTTCAGGGTAGGGACAGAGCATGCAACAAATTGTTTCATTGCTCTTTTATTTCTTGCTAATTTTCAGAAGTGCATTTCTTGTTTTGCAATTTGTTTGCTTAAGGTGATGGTACACAATGTGTTGGTCTTTATTCCAAGATGTTTGCCCACCAATAACACAGAAGGCCCAGCTACTTGTGCAGTAATATGATGGCAACAACTTCTGCAGACTACAGCTCATTTTGTGTCATACAAAAAAAGTTAAATTAAGCAATAGATTCTTTAAGGGCAAACGTTACCTGAGGTAAATTATTCAATATAGAAATCTTGCAGGTGAAGTACCAACACCTTGGGTTGCTTGTGTTGGAAGTTCAGCATTTCTTGGCAACAATGGCTTCCCTTTTTTGTTTTTCTAACCTTTTATGGAAGAATTAAACCGTTTTTTAAACTTAATTTTGCTTTTAGTTCACAGCTGCTTGTCTAACCCTAGCATCTGGGGCCTGTTGCACAAAGATACATTACAATATGTTTGATTGGTCTACACACAAAAAGCCAGTCTCAGTCTCAACAAAGCATGACTGAATTTGTAGTTTTATAACAATACTCTTGAACGAGCAGAGAGTAAAGAAACCATTTCCTGAGGGGATGTTAGCTCAAGTACTCCGGCCTAAGATGCTGAAGAGCTTTTATCTTTGTGAAACCAGCCCCTGTGCAGTTAACAACATAATTCAAACATCTGCTTTGTATTACAAGTACCCAGCATGTGTATTAGAAGGAACATCTACTGTATGTAATGGTAGTTATAGTGGGTAATTTAAACGCATGCAGATGTAGCAAATGAGCCTGGTGGCCAGATAACAAACTGATTTTGTACTTTTTTGGAGTAGAAACTGTTTACATTCATAGGTACCTGATTCTTTTCAGTGCAGGTTCCTAAACATCAAAGACACCAAATTCAGTTCACACAGTCTTCCTCCTCATGTGTATTTAAAGTCTTTGCATGTATGTAAAAATAAATGTACACATCAGTACATCAGAACAGAGTGGCTGACTCCAGGAGGTGGTTTATTTATTGATGTTGGCTTTTATATTTTTTCTAAATCAGTTTTTCTTGAAAGGCAGAAGGTTATCCCTGCCCTTTGAATTGTTACGGAGCCTAAAACATTTTCATTATCGGCAGTTTCAGTTTTGTTAGTGTCTCATGTTTATCTAAATGCTTTTTCAACTGCTGTCCCCCCTCCCTTGTTATAAATGATTCTAAGGGTAAGTCAGCATTGGATTTTAGGATGCTACATATTGGCAGGCAATAATATCAACTAGCAGCTTCAGTGATCAAAATATTAAATACTTTATTCATTTAGCTGACTCTTTTATCCAAAGCGACTTACAATTTCTATACATGTCAGAGGTTGCACGCCTCTGGAGCAACGAGGGGTTAAGTGTCTTGCTCAGGGACACAATGGTGGATGTCTCACAGTAGGAATCGAACCCAGGTCTCCCACACCAAAGGCAAGCATCTTATCTATGCACCATCACCACCCCTTTTATGTCAGTACTTGCCCTCAAAAACTCTTATTAGTTTAGTTTTACAGTGAAAACCTTTCACAGAAAAGACAACAAATTGACTGATTATTCAAAACACACCACCAGGATAATATTTGGTTAAGAACATCTTTGGTTGGTGGGAAGCCTTAGTCTTCTGCTACAGTAGATTACATTATCATTCCTGCATGTCTGTCACTCTGTATTTATGCATTTATTTTCTGTTTTTACAGATCGGCTCTGGCTTCGGCTCATCAGGGTCAGCCTTTACCCCAAACCCTCAGTGTGATGGAGAGCACTCCGCAGGTCCGCGGCATGCACACCATCATCAGGTCAGAATACACACTCATACACATCAGACACATTTCTTAAAATAGCTTAAAACAGAATTTTTGCTTATATTCCCTAGTAAGTGTCAAATTCTTACCACTTTCTTACCAGAGACACAATCTTTGTGTGTTTGTGTAGGAACAAGGAGACCAACAGAGATGAGTTTATCTTCTACTCCAAGAGATTAATGAGGCTTCTGATAGAACATGCCCTCTCCTTCCTGCCTCTCAAGGTGAGGTGTGTGTGGGTGTGTGTCTGCCCTAAACATCCAGTTGACTGGTCTAATTGTTAAAGGGGAATTCTGTCACAATGGCAAGGTCACAAAATGGGTTTTAATTTTAAATTTTTGTATCCACATGGTCCATCTGTCCCCCCTCCAGCCAGTATCTGTGGAGACACCTCAGGGCGGCGTCTATGACGGCAAGAGGCTGAGCGGTAAAAGAGTAAGTCTGCTTTTAATGCTTCTGTTCACCTGGTTGTTAATAAGGTAACATTAAATTATCTTTGGTCATGTGATGGGAATTCCATGAGTACAATCTCCAAACACAGTCTTGTAATTAATGTTACTGGCTACTCTGGTTTATATATCTTTCATTGTTTTACAACATGTACCTGGCTGTGCCAGGGCATGATTGCCTTTACAATAGATTGTATGTCCTCCAGAGGACCTCTTTAAAAACATGTTCCACTGGTGACCCTGAGATTAGGATAAAGGCTGCATGTGCTGAGACACTGCAGCTCACTCGGATGATACTCTAATGCGTGTGTGTCCCAGTGAGTTCCTTCTGCAGATCACTTGAATAAAATTCACAGAAAGACAAGTGTTTGCCTGAGCTATTTAGTTGAAAACTTGAATTGACCCTTCGCTAAGCTACACCAGGAATACACAGCTGGCCAATCACAGCGCAGTATAGGTCTCACTCTAACTGAGGTCCGACACTTTCATGGATGCGCTTACAGTCTATGATGTGCTCTATTGCTGTATTTATCTAAGATATGGTCAAACGCTGTTCCTGGGGAACTTGTAATAGTTACAGTCGCTACCCAGAGAGGTTGAAAGGAGAAGTACGATTTATTCTCATTCCAAAAAAATAAATAAATCCAGAAATGTCGGCTGTGGATTGTTCCTAATGTTAGTTAGCTAACGCTAGCCAGCTTCCTACTGAATGTAACGTAATAAAGCCCTACTGTTCTGCTTTTTAATGATTGTAATAATGCTTCACAAGAACACTTGTTTCACTTGTACTATGTGATCGGTAGGCTTTAGCTTCTGTCTTAAATCTTTTTCATGTCTGTTTGAGTCAATTTGACAGCCTGAATACAACCTTCAAATGTATAATGCAACTGCAAAACTGTGTGCTTCTTTCTGAGATCGCTTTTTCCAACATATTTGACAATATTTCTACAGTAGTAATAAACAGTGGCGGCGCTGATAGTTTGTCGGACTTAGCAACAGTAACTAAGAAGGGTGGGGCTTAGTGAAGGGTCAATTGCCATCACAGTAACAAAGAATAAGTCCATGTTTAGCTTCTCAGCGCCTCTCTGTGGCATCTTTTTTACCAAACGTTCATCTTAGTGACAAAAACAGACAGAGGGAGAACAAGAAGTCTTTGAGAAAACTAAAGTGTGGATGCAAGTGGAGCAGGTTTTAGGTGTTAAGTGGAAATTTCTCACCTTTACGTTTACTATACAACTGATGCAGGGAAAACTTGGCAGGATTTAGTGTTTAATGTATTTAACGAATGAGCAGAAGTTTTCATTCAGATAAGCGGCACGCCACCAAAACGTTAAATTCCTTGTGTGGTTTTTGTAGATCACAGGGGTTTCCATCCTGAGAGCAGGCGAGACCATGGAGCAGGCTCTGATGGCTGTGTGTAAAGACATCAGACTGGGAAAGATCCTCATCCAGACAAACCATGACACAGGTGAACCAGAGGTATGCGAGTCTCAAACATTGCAGCCTGTGTTCCTGTCACTTGTAGCCTGAAGTAAAATACTATATACTATAAATGATGTCACAGTTACGTCATGGATTTAGAGGTTATTCACATCGGTTTCTTTACACGTGCAATAAGGAAATGACAAAATGTAGCTATTCAAGATTTGTCACTAATCAATCATTTGTATCTCATTCTTATTTAGATTTATTTGATTAAATGATGTCAGCTAGTCACAGATACAGGTATAGTTGTAGTTGTGAAGTTGTTCGTCTCCTTCCTCTCTAGCTTCACTACCTTCGTCTGCCAAAAGACATCAGTGAAGACTACGTTATCCTCATGGACAGCACCGTATCCACCGGAGCTGCTGCGCTCATGGCCGTCAGAGTGCTGCTTGTAGGTCCACACAACGTTACACTGATTTATTTATAAAAATGATCATCATTTTATTAGTCAGAAGGTTTTATTCAGTGGTACAGTATGTTGAGAAACTTCATGTTGCCATAGAGAAATTTGATTCAAGATTTGAAAAGCCTTCAATTTATTCATTAAAAAGAAAATGGTGAATGCATTCGGTCTTTAATGAGCATTCTTTCTCTCTCTTTTTTCCAATTTTCCTCTGAAGGACCATGATGTAGCAGAGGATAAGATCTTCCTGCTGTCCCTGCTAATGGCAGAGATGGGCGTCCACTCAGTGGCCTATGCTTTCCCTAAAGTCCGCATCATCACCACCGCTGTGGACAAAGAGGTCAACGACCAGTTCCACATCATACCAGGCATCGGTGAGGAGCTTTCTTTGTCCACCCACCTGAATTTGTAGTATGCAAGAAGCAGTTTCACAAAGTTTATCTTGCCTCCATTCATCGTACGGAAGGATTAAGTAGCACTTTTTTCAACAAACTATATAAATTATAAAATGTAGAGTTTTAAATGTAAGTCACATACAACAAAACATACAACTTTATTAGAGCTGCAGCTGCTGATAATGTTAGTAATCGAGTATTCTCCAGATTATTCCATCCATCCATCGACTTATCAGATAAGAAATACTCTTGCTTGTTGACCCCAGTTCAGGGATCTGCTGTGTAACGCGTGTTACTGTACAACCCAAACGGATGGACTAACGAGCCGGAGAAAAATAATAACGTTTATACATTCACAACTAATTAGAATTGTGCCTTACCTTGTTTTGGGTCTGATCCATGGACTTCCTGCTCAGATGCTGAAGCGTTGTCGTTGTGGTGGTGTTGTAGGCTAGTTCTCTTTTACAGTAGAAATACTGTGCAGAGCTGCTGTTTTGAAATGATCTTAACTTCGGACACTTTGTCTTTTTCTCTGGCCTGTCTCTCCTCTTTGTCCTTCACTATTTTCTCTCTCTTCCTTCATTTTGCCTTTTAAGAAGGGAACGGGGTAATTAGAGAACCTAACTGACCTTGCAGTGCTTAACAACTTTATGCTAAACTTTATGAATTATCTTTAACCTTTTTATTGGCAGGCAGTGGAAGATAATTAGAGATTGTGATTTATGGATCAATCAGTTGGAGGTAATGAATAGTAAACCGCCACAATCACATTGGGCAGAAAACGGCTGCAGCACTGCTGTCTGTCGGTTTCAACTGTTTAACATGCTGCACTTCTGGCAAAAATCTGGTGATGCTATAACATATGCTTTTCCTTTTAACAAATGAAAATACCGGCTTTGATGTAAGTGTTTTAAAATGTAGCCACAGGTGCCCTATCTAATAAAGGTAGCAAACTTAACACAGCCTCCACTATAGACTCAACAAGCTGGTACAACGGTCAATTCGTAATACTTCTGGATTGCAGTAATATCAATAAGACTCACAACAGCAATAGCAACAAACCATAAAGTTAGCAGCAGAAGCTCTCAACATGGTGGCATAGATGGTAACGTGGTCCAGGTCTGTGCCGTAGTGAGGAAAGACTCATTAAACGCAGTGATGGTGCAATCAAAAAGCCAGCCGCTTCTGGTTTAAAATCTTAGTAAGTAATTGGGGTTATAAACACTAGTCCACCAGTCCATGGCTAAGAATCTGAGATCCTGGATGAGAGATGAGGCTAACGCCGGGTAGACTGCTGTGCAGAGGTTGTGTAACTGTTGCATGCCTCGCTTGCATCCCACTTTGTTTCCTAAAGGAGTGAACGCATTACAAGACTAAAACCCTTCTTTTTGTTTCCAAAGGTAATTTTGGAGATCGATACTTTGGCACCGATGCTCCGTCAGACTGGTGTGAAAGCGATGAAGGGATGGACTTCTAAAGAGAGAACTTATCAGGGGAAAGATTGTTACAAAAGCACTTACAGCCATGAAACAGTGAAAAGGACCTCACTCATCCCGTGCTGCTCTGATCTGCTCCATCGACATCCTCCTGACCAGGGAGGTGATGCTGTAGAAACTACTTCCTGTTTAAATCAGTGGAACAGAGGTCACTGTTAGGTCAGCGCAATTACTGAGTGCTGCGAGCTAAGTGCAGATTTCCATTTTGCCAGGACAGAATTCAGTCTGTTCACAATTAAAGTTTACAGCAAAGTTCAAAGGGCTTGTTGGCGTTAACATCTTTCACCCAGTTGTAATTATTCCCACTGCAATCTCAAAAGGCTGCCAGCCTAAGCTACCTGTTGAAGACAAATGCTTGATTAAGATGTAAATAACGTTTTGTTGCTGAAGCTGCATGCTGTGAAGCCTCAGAGCTGATTGATTTTGTGTACTGTCAGTTCCTTTCAGGATTTTGCACTGTAAGTTTCTTTGTCATCATAAACTAGATATTGTAGCTAAATCACTGTTGGGAAAAGAAAACCCAGATGGGAAGATTTGGCTAGAGCTATGCTCTTTTTAAATCCTCAGCAGTTATATAAAAAAGAATAAAAAAAAAAAAGATTTACTTCATAGTATTCAGTCGATACCTTCCTAATCAGCAACCATTGAATCATTTGTTTTGCACAATGACATGAACACCTCGTCTTTTAAGACAAATCATCATAAGTATTTTGTGTGTATGGAAGGAAATTTCCATTATAAATCATGTCCAGCAGTGTACTGTGATTTTTTTTTTTTTTTTTAAGCTTAAAGCTTTTTGTAGAAATTATTAATGCATTACAGCTTTGCTCTGCTGACGAAGCTCCAGCTGTCTCTACTATAAGATTATATTATATCAGCCAACTTTTACTGAAAGGAGCAACAACACTTGAACAACAAGACTGACTGATGATTGAGAGAAACGGTCAAATATTGCTTTTTATATTTGTTTTATTTGTTGAATTGTTATCTCATTGCTGAATTTGTCTCTGACTGTACGGCAGTAGGCTACTACACCAGTAACAGCCCTTTCTTTCCTCCGTGCTTGGTAAAGTAATTAAGTTAAGCACATTTTTAAGTTAAAACATTGTCATCGTTACATTACTAAACTATTTTCTCTTAGCTTTAGCTGCTAATGAAGACAGTGCATAGCTAGCAAATGCTTTGTATTTTATTTTTGCTTGTTTGTGTAGAAACTGCTGCTGTATATTCACATCTGAGCTTTGTGACTGGCCAAAAGAGAGAAACTGAAAAAAATGTTTGTGATTTATAACAAAACTTAAAGCACTTGTCATGGGCTTTAAGTTTCAGAAGCACTCGATGTCTGAACGGCTCATACTTTTAGTTTTTCTGGGATGTAACAGAAACCTACCTACCATATGGGGACGCTTACTTGTTGTGGTGACCTTGTTTGTGGCCTGTTTTTATTTATTTGTATTGTTCGCTGGGGTTCTTCATTTTTACATTTGTTTTACATCACATCCAAAGTTACTTAACCAGTATGTTATTGTTTTAATGTTGTTGTATTGAAGTTCTGCTGACTCATAGTGTAACGCCAGGTTTATTTTAACAGTATGCCATTGGTTTAACTAACATTTATGAACGTCTGTGTTCCTGTCAGGTGCTTGCTAGTGTGCATGTTCTCTTTACTGATACACCTAAATGGTCTCCATCTATTATCAAAGTTATTTGTTACACCTGTGTTCTAGTCAAATGTCCACGAGAAAACACATTAATTCTGTTTACATCCAGCTGTCTAGGTAACTTAATGCACATATTGACAGCACATTACTACAACGATAACTCTGTACTGTATAACACAACAGTTGGAAGCTGGTTACCTCACATTTATATGAAACTGTTTGTGATGCTAAGTCGGCGTGCTTTTGTGAGAAAGATCTGTTTTTGTAAATCCCATTTAATATGTACAGAATTAAAAACAAAACAAAAAACTTGTTTGTTGGATGAAAGCATTAAATGTTTAGATTGTGTGGTTTTATCCATACTGGCGTTGCCCGCAGGAGGGCAGCAGACTCTTGTTTACAGCGGAAGTGACGCACATTGCAGTTCTTATGCTGCCTTCCATGGTTGTGGGAAACCTTTTGTGCTGTTCACTCAACATTGTAGCTTCATGCACTTAACATTATTACAAGACTATTATCAAGCGAGGACACAAAACTGACAAACTGTTTTTCTTTCTTTCTTACTGTTATGTGTAAACGAAAGATGCCAAATTATCTGCAAATTTACTCCGTTAAGGTTGTGCTTGTCAGTAATTGTGTTGAACTAAATCAATAAATTACTGTAGTGACATTTCCAAATAGACCGGACCATGCAGTAATTTGTTATTGACATTTATTGTTGAGGGAAAGTAGTTTGACATGGTTTAGATCTTGGGAGTTATTTTGTTTTTGATTGGGTTTTTTTTTTTTTTTAGATTGTTTACATCTCATTAATGTTGAAAGTGCTCCAGAAAAAGGTTTATATTTGGCTTCAACGCAAGCATTCATCTTCCTCCCTAATCTGTTAAATTAATAATGCTTTAATTTGTCATATTTAACAAAGATAATGTGCCTGGATGAAATGTGAATTTTTGAAGGCAAAATCCGACCCGGTGCGGATACTTGAAGGCATCACCGACAGCTCGCTCTGTGGAGCCGGGCACCTTAAACAGGTATGAACGTGTTAATTCACATTGAATTGAACTATAGTGAGTATTGATAGACGTTAAAGTTGAGGTGCATGCATTGATGGTTATGTTTGTGAGTTTGCAGCAGCTCATTTGTCTTTCGGTCATATTTCTGAACAGTTAGGAAACGTGACAACATAGAATAACAACGTTAGAAGTTTTGTGTTTGCTAAGTTGTCACAGACTTGCAGCTAGCATAGCTTGAAACCTCCTGTCTTAACCATGGGCTTAACGCTGGTAACGTCGGCTAAGACGCAACATGCATTTGCTGCGAGGATTTACTGTCACCGTTAGCTTAGCCACGTTGCGACGAACTGCGTTTAAAAACGTGACAATTTAAAATGTGTTTGGATGTGTGTTACTCTACGTATCTGTTAGAACCTGATTCTTGTATTTGGGTTAATTAATTGAAGTAACCCTTCAATTCGGCGTTGATATAATTCACAGATGAATAACATTTAACTTTATATCACACGGGTAACATTTTGCCATTTCATCCAGTAACTGGCAGTTGATGTCTGTAAATGTTATAAAAAGCACTCAAAGTGTTGCTTAATTGGACAAAAACATGTGCACTGTAAAAAGTTAACTTATGTTTTATAGGTTAAATGGGCATATCTCTGTACGGAAGTATATTCTACTGCTGCCTCCAACTCGGCCTAAAAGAAGCAGACTAGTTTAATTAAATTAGTCAACAATCCATAATAGACAATTTAACGGAACTTATTAGCAGGGTCGCTTGATTTGAGTCACATTGCCTGCCGCTAGACTGGCTAGGTTAATGGAAAATCACGTTTTTGCAATGTCCCTTTGTGATGATCACTATGTGCTTTTATTTTTTCCAGCAGGGGAGAATGGCAGGCCTGTGGAAATCCTACCAAATGTTGATGACCAAATACCCGTGGTCAGTGCAGATAGTGACTGCTGGTAGGTATAACTTTTTCATACCCACTGCATTTCGTCAACAACTGAATGTGTTCACTGAAGATGCAAAAGTAATTCTCAAAAGACAGACAAACTAGCCTGTCTTAACTAGACAACTAAGAGGTAGAGATTATTTATTACACTTTTAAATGCAACAAAACAAAGACTAAGCTTAAAATGTTTATCTGCTGGTCACATTTCATGAGCCTTGCTCCAGTTTACAGGGTAGGTAGTTTCAGAATCAATAAAGAGGAAAGGTCTTTGAACCCAGTGACCAAGATTTTTTTTTTTTTTTTTTTGTCTAATCACTGTCTGTTTTGAGAATGATAAAGACTAAGCATGAAGCCCTTGCTGATTACAATTTATCAAATTTCAGGACTTCCTAGCTTTTCTTTTCCTTCATGTGGTAAATGTAAAACTTCTTTTAGACTGTTTGTCAGTCAAAATGAGTAAATATAAGATGGTAACTTGTGAACTTTTTGTCAATAAAGTCACTATGTGTAGGATGTCTTCTCTAAAAACAATGAAACGGATGCCATCTGAATCATAAAACAATCATACAGAGTAACTTTTAGTTTTAAACAAATAATCCGTCAATGTATCAATAATGAAAATAACAAATTAGCCTTTATGATAATATGACAAGCTGGAGCCTTTAGTTCAGGCAATTTCTCAAACAAACTGAGGGGAAACCTTTGACCTTTTTGACCATAAATACCCAGAAATTCTTGAAGTTACTTCCTTCTTAAAGTCAGTGACAGTAGAGCGGGCCTGTTAGAGCTGTTCTGTATCTATGAATCTTACTACATCTGAACATGTTGTTACTGCAAGATATAACTCTTCCTATGTCCAAATATCAATTGAGCAATTGTTTAGTATTTGATGTTGTAAAATATGAAGTACTTTCTTCCAATGCATTACCATTTAATCACCACTTGATGGAGCCAATGCTCACCAGTTGTCTGATAGAGGCTCCTTTTTCTGAAGACTTTGCTGTTATTAGCCGTGCTGAAATGTAACAAGTACATTTTACTCAAGTATTAGACTTAAATGCAGTTTTGACATACTTGAGTATTTCCACTTGCTACTTTTTACTGCACTTTAGAGGGAAATGTTTACTCCACTGCATTAATCTGACACGGTTAGTTTTTACATAAAAAATTTGTGTGTGTATTATAATCTTAAATTGGCTCCACATTGATGAACCACAACATGATATGATATTCTATAATAAACACTGTCAAAGGAGCCACTCTACTTAATCAGTACTTTCTACTTTTGATACTTGAAGTACATTTTGCTGATAATTCTTCAGTATAATTCACAATTAAAACATATTTAGATGCAATTTTATTTTAGTGGTCAGTATTCAGCCACTTAAAATACTTTTCTGCAACTGGTTTTCCAACCAACTCGGCTGCATTTTAAAATAATTTTTAAAATTGGCTAGTTTTGAGGATTGGGCAGGTTAGAGGCTCTGATTGGGTGACTTAATTAAAATCTTACAACTCTGCGTGAGATTCAACCTTTGTGGGAGGAGTAACGTATTCGTTATGATGCATGTGTGATTTGAGGTGTTAAGTTTGATGTTAGAATATTTCTTTGCACAAGTCCACCCCTCGATTCTTCCCTCCATCGTTCCCCTGAGACCTTTGAGTCTGTGTTTGTGGGGGTGGGGCAAGGGGGGGGTTAATAGAAGTGGTTCTTTTATCATCATAAAGTGAAGTGTTGAGCAACAGACTGAAGCTCATGAGCTTTAACTCCACTCAGTCCCTTCTCTTAGTGCTTTACTGCTCATCAAGGTGTCTTTGAGTAAAAGTGCGCAAAGGAAATGTTCGCGTTTGTTCTTCTGAAGGTGTACAGTTGACATTTTCTGTTCGACGAGTGTGTGTGCATGCTTGTGTGTGTCCACCTTGTCACCTAACTACCCTTATTAGTTCTCCCCTGACATTTTAAGGAAAGGTTACCTCTTGTTCAGCTGGGTCTGTTATTAGTGTGCTGTCAATTTTAACTATGGTATGTGAGCAGCAGTGGGTGACATTATGTTAGTGGGGTTTACAGCTGCTTTTTCCACCTGCTGAACGTGTTTTTATGTGTCTTTTTATGAGTTAAGGGGGAAAAAACTACACAAATAAACCAAATATCATCCTGACAGGAGTTAAATTGACAGCTGTGATTTTGTTTAGTGCAACATGTAGACATGATTCTGGAGATTTGGTACATTGACTGACTGTTTGGATTCCTCTCACCAACCCCCACTGTATGCTACCTGCTCAGCACCAAACAGCAGACCTGCACAGTTAGAAACGAGCTGGTGGACATTGTGGAGTATTTAGCAGCTAAAGAGACAGACATTTCCCACAGGAGTTTGGTGGAGACCAAAAAAAATCTAATAGGAGAATGAAAACTGGACTTATATTCACCAGGTGGACAGAAAAACTACTCCAAATAAATGCTTGTTTTGCTGGACGGTGATGGAAATATTCAGATCCTTTACTTAAGTAAAAGTAACAATACCACACACGACAAGTCCCGCAATGAAAATATGGCTTAAGTAGATGTATGTAAGTGTTATGTGTAATTAACATTTTACTGTTGTAGTTGGTTGAAGTGGAGCTAAGTGAGCTATTTTATATACTGCTGTGTGTCAAATATGTCATACGTACAAAACATATGAAGATGCATAAAAGCTCTTCATATGTTTTGTAAGTAAAATCTTAGTCAGCAAAGTAACTAGTCAGATATATATTCAAGCAAAAAATTAAATATTTCTCTCCGAATTGCAGTATAGTACAAGTAGAAAGTAGCATAAAATCTAAATACAAGTATGTACTACAGCTGGATTCGTAAATGGATGTTTGCGAACAACTTTGCTGTGTGTCTGACAAAGTTGTTGCAGAGTTGTTTTTTTTTTGCCTTCTAGTAGCCAAAAAAAACAATTATTGCGGATAATTGTGTTCTCAGTAAAATTAAAACTTTAGGAAACTCTATCAACAAAAGACAGTGGCTGGTCTCCACAAGAGTGCCTCCTTTTTGCAGCATGTTATACGCTGAGGTGGCACATTAAATGTGAACGAGCTGAAACTGTATATGCCACTGGAATAGATCTTTATTCTGAGCAGACAGTTTGACTTAATTTTTTTCAAACGATGGCTCAGTTCCATCAAGCGTCCCAGTAAGGCAGTGTGACTGTATTGTACACTACCAGGAACCTGGAACAAGCAAAGTGGAATGCAGCTGTTTTTTTCAGTGAATTAGACCTGTGCTTTTTCTGCCTTGAGAAGACAAAATGATATAATGTGAGCATCATAATCCGTCATCAGACCTTTAATCCCCCTCCGCTTTTTCTGGCTGCATTTCTCTTCATCAGAACATGAAATGTCTTTTGTCTCTTGATGCTAATGTTACATTCATGCTGGGTCAGAAGAAAGGAAAAATAAATGTCCCAATGTTGACTTAAAAAAACATTCAGCATTATGTCAATTCTAAACATCGTTACTATTGTTGCTAGCACCATAGTCAAGTCAAATAAATGGTCATTTAGCCTAAATTAGCCTTTTTTATCATGTTATGTGTTTGTGGTGACTTGTCAAAGTTAAAGCAGAAGTGTAGGCTTTATATATCCTTTTTATTAGCAGCATTGATTGCGTTGGATAACTGCACTACTATAACACGCATGATGGTGGCTTTTGCAGCTATTTTGGCAACAGTTTGTGGACACCTGACTAGGAAATATCATAGCTGCCATAATTATTGCACAGTAACAGACATGAGCAGTTTTTCACACTTGGCTGCTTGGATTTATGGTCTACATATAATGTAAATACAGAATCTCTTGTAGCTGCTGTGTAAATATCATCCACATGAATAAAATAGTACATGGAATATGCTTTTGTGACGAGGTGCATACTAATAGACATAAACCTTTAAAAAAATATATGAAATTGTTGAAAAATACAAATTCTAAAAGAATATTAAAGAATAAAAGCAGTGGCTGTATGATCATGCTCAGTGGTGTGATAAACAGTATCTGTCTCCCGTTTGCCCTCCAGGGTCTTTAGTGGGTGTCGGTGATGTCATCTCCCAACAGCTGTTTGAGAGAAGAGGATTGGCGAATCACAACATGCGGCGGACGGCCAAGATGATGAGTATTGGTTTCTTCTTCGTGGTAAGTTGTCCTTTTGACTAATTGGTTTTTTTTTTTTATGCTAAAATGATAAACATACATGTAACACGCTTTTCCAAATATTCACAAAACATGAAGAAAAGTTAACTCTTTAATTACAGGTGCTGGTCAGGATATTATTCATTCATTACACACAGACTGATATATTTCAAATGTTTATTTCATTTAATTGTGGTGATTAAAACTGACAACTAATGAAAATCCCAAATTCAGTATCTCCGAAAATTAGAATATTACTTAAGACCAGTACAAAAAAAGGATTTTTAGAAATGTTGGCCAACTGAAAAGTATGAACATGAAAAGTTTGAGCATGTACAGCACTCAATAGTTAGTTGGGGCTCCTTTTGCCTGAATTACTGCAGCAATGCGGCGTGGCGTGGAGTCGATCAGTCTGTGGCACTGCTCAGGTGTTATGAGAGCCCAGGTTGCTCTGATAGTGGCCTTCAGCTCTTCTGCATTGTTGGGTCTGGCGTATCGCATCTTCCTCTTCACAATACCCCATAGATTTACTATAGGGTTAAGGTCAGGCGAGTTTGCTGGCCAATTAAGAACAGGGATACCATGGTCCTTAAACCAGGTACTGGTAGCTTTGGCACTGTGTGCAGGTGCCAAGTCCTGTTGGAAAATGAAATCTGCATCTCCATAAAGTTGGTCAGCAGCAGGAAGCATGAAGTGCCCTAAAACTTCCTGGTAGACGGCTGCGTTGACCTTGGACCTCAGAAAACACAGTGGACCAACACCAGCAGATGACATGGCACCCCAAACCATCACTGACTGTGGAAAATTTACACTGGACTTCAAGCAACATGGATTCTGTGCCTCTCCTCTCTTCCTCCAGACTCTGGGACCTTGATTTCCAAAGGAAATGCTAAATTTACTTTCATCAGAGAACATAACTTTGGACCACTCAGCAGCAGTCCAGTCCTTTTTGTCTTTAGCCCAGGCGAGACGCTTCTGACGCTGTGTCTTGTTCAAGAGTGGCTTGACACAAGGAATGCGACAGCTGAAACCCATGTCTTGCATACGTCTGTGCGTGGTGGTTCTTGAAGCACTGACTCCAGCTGCAGTCCACTCTTTGTGAATCTCCCCCACATTTTTGAATGGGTTTTGTTTCACAATCCTCTCCAGGGTGCGGTTATCCCTATTGCTTGTACACTTTCTTCTACCACATCTTTTCCTTTCCTTCGCCTCTCTATTAATGTGCTTGGACACCGAGCTCTGTGAACAGCCAGCCTCTTTAGCAATGACCTTTTGTGTCTCGCCCTCCTTGTGCAAGGTGTCAATGGTCGTCTTTTGGACAGCTGTCAAGTCAGCAGTCTTCCCCATGATTGTGTAGCCTACAGAACTAGACTGAGACCATTTAAAGGCCTTTGCAGGTGTTTTGAGTTAATTAGCTGATCAGAGTGTGGCACCAGGTGTCTTCAATATTGAACCTTTTCACAATATTCAAATTTTCTGAGATACTGATTTTGGGGTTTTCATTAGTTGTCAGTTATCATCAAAATTAAAAGGAATGAAAACTTGAAATATATCAGTCTGTGTGGAATGAATGTATACATTATACAAGTTTCACTTTTTGAATGGAATTAATGAAATAAATCAACTTTTTGATGATATTCTAATTATATGACCTGTATATGGGGTGAATTCAAAGTACTCCCCGCTCACAGCTGCAATACCACATGAAAATGACACAATTGACAAATAATAATTCAATTTATTCTTGGCTGATTTATCGGATGTCTAAAACAAGGTTGTAGTTTTAGTCCGTGGATTTCAATTGTGCGCTGAACACTGAAATGAAAAGATGCGGCAGCTATAGTATAACCTGGAAGCCTGAGATGAAGGTGTAAATGGGACATTTGATTTTTTTTAAAATGTGTTTTTTATGGTGTCTGTTTGACTATTTAAATTAAGAAAGAAAATTTAAATATTCATGGGAAAGTTCCATTCAATAGCATCAAAAATCATACTTCTATAATCTATAAGTCTGTGCATGAGCGTGCATGTGGATGCTTGTGGCATACTGGCATTTCTGTGTTCTCGTGTGCATGTGGATACTTATCCATGTTGCATAGTGTTTCTGTGAATGTTTGTGAATTCACTTCTCTCACCAATCAAGTCATGTGACAGCTGCACAATTCACCTTTCAAGTAGCACATTGCTTTTCTGACATCACCACGACGTAGGCAAAGTTTATTTATGTCCATAATCGTTTTATGTTCTGCCACTAGGCTACCTCGTCATTTTAAATTGGAGAGAGAAGATGTAAAGATGTTTGCCTTGAAAATAGCTCTAAAAACACACGTGTGCTCATTCATTCAGAAAGACACTGTTTCATGACTCATCATGTATTGTTCTCCCTCACATTAATATCATATTAAGTTTGGTAGTTTAATTAATCTCCAATCAGCATGCAGATACTTAATGTTCAAGGAGTGAAGTTGTGAGTTATTTTTCTTAAGCGTTATGTGTGCTTAACTTTTTCAGAAGTTTGATTGTTTCGTGTTCGTGCTCTCCAAGTTCATCAAATTTTTGATTTGTTTTTCAAATAACAATGCATTAAATAAATCATATTTATAAGAAAATAATCATGATTGTTTTTGTTTGTTTTACATCGAAGGGTCCAGTGATCGGCAGCTGGTACAAAGTGTTGGACAGGCTGGTAGTCGGAGGAACTAAAAGTGCTGCCATGAAGAAAATGCTGTTTGACCAGGTGAGCTCTGTGGTACCACAATAAACAAAGTGGGAACAAGCTCAATGATACACCCAGATACTACTGTGTTGGGGTGGGTGTTAGTCTTGAGCTCATCCACATTTAATGAACTGAGCCTAACCGGATGAATGTGGTACAATTTCCTCATATGAGGCTGGCAGACGACTCTTTGTCGTGCTGACAGGAAGAAACGCTGTCAAATTCTGTCAAGAGTTTGGAACGAAGCGGTCTGACCGATTTTGTCATATTCTGTGATTCTCCCTTCCTCCCTCTCTATACAGCTGTTGAGCTGCGGAGATGAGTCACCAACCAGAGCCTAACACTTTTTTTTTATTAAAGACCTTCATTGCATCTGTTGTCCTATTATTTTTAGTAGCAACGTAAATGTGAGATGTGAATAAAAATCTAATTTGGCAATGTGTTCGATATTAAAAATAAGAATATAGGGGTCATTGCAACATCTGATGTCCAAAATCGATATCTTACAGTCAGACACAGACTGCAAACTTTATTAGACTCATCTCTCACAGTGTGACATTGAATGAACTTGTAAAATAGTTGTGAATGCACAAGTTATAGGTACCTTTAAACAATCGGTGGATTATCAAAATTAGTTCTGATAACCTGAATAATCATTTACCTCCTCTAAGAAAAGTCACTTAAAAGCCATTTATCAAAACCGGATGTTTCAAAGTGCTGTAAAAGGAACATAAAACCCTCCCTCTACTAAAATATTTACAAATACAAAGGTGGTGTACTCCTACGCTTGAATAGCTATGTGGTCACAGTGTGCGCTGCTCCCTCTGCTTCAGTATATGTAATTACTAAAATGCCACTTGGTGACTTGAAAGATTTAAGGTGATGCAGCTGCAGCGTTGATCTGTGTCAGACCTGAATGACAGATGAAAGTCAAGTGGATGTTTTTTATTTATTTATTTTTTTCACTCACTTAACAGGAAACAATTGAAGAGAGAACAGGGTCTCTTAAAGTAATTTAAGATTTTCTTTGACCATCCTTTGTGTGTAAAATGCAGAAAATCCACTGTACAGTAAATATTCATTCTGCTTCAGTTCAGGCATCAAATCTTCTTCTTCTTTAGCCTCTATTAGAACCTTGATTACACTGAGGGTGGAGTCACAAAAAGGATCGTTTTCTTTCACCTGATCCTTAAGACACTTTTTGTTTGCATTTGGTTTGTTAAGATCACAACAAAGGTCTCATGTCGCTAACGTTACACATTTATTGCTCTGTTTTCATCAACAATCACACTGCCAGGTCACACACATTGACAGGAGGTAAAACAAAATCTATTGCCACAGATTATTTTTCCCTTACCAGACATTTAAAAAATTAATAAAATGTTCTTAAAGGTAAGTTTTTCAATGAAATTAATCAAATTTTCATTGCCTTATTGTCAATGGGCTCAAAACTCACTTAGAAATGACGCACACGCCTGTTTTCTCTGTTGCTTGCGTCAGCCACTATTCTGCTATAAATGTGAGGTCTCTGGGTCGGATTCAGCCCTGTGCGCGCTCCCAAGCCTCTCTCAGACTACTGCGATAACACTGCAGCTTGCGACATGCAGTCCACTAACACCATAAAGCAACCTGCTACCAGCAAAACACAGGCTCCACGTAAGGATACAAAACAACAATAAAGGTTTATGTGCTGAAGCCCATCAGACCAAACAGGTTCAGATAATGTCAAGTAAAAATCAGTAAAGCTGGAGAAACACAGAGAAGGTCACGTTAGCTTAACACCAAAATCTGTGACCTATCAGATTCTGTGACTATATCCAAACGACGATGTTTTCCTAACCATAACCAAGTACTTTTGGTGCCTAAACCTAACCAAACTGCTTCACAGCGTCAAAGCCTCTGACGCTTAACCTCCCATTTAGGTCACAGAATCTGAAAGGTCACACATTTTCATGAAGTAACAGAGCCTGAACGTGTCTGAGTGAAAAGCCACAGCCTGCATGCTGGTGTTTCTGCGTTTATTGCAGGATTTCTGTATGAAAGTGGTTGTTTTGGATTATTCTCGCTCATGAGTTCAAGCGAAGACGCGTACGAGCACACACGTGGTTGCAATATTAAAACCTTACTTTAAAATGCTTATATACAATGACAAAGTGTAGCTTCACTTATGAATAGTGAGTGTTAACAGTCCTTAAACCCAGGTAGAAAATATTTAACTACCACTAAGGTGATTTTAATGATGTTTTTCTTGATCCCATTATAGTTTTTCAGATTAAAAATTCCTCCCCAGTTGAAGTTGATTTTTGTCTCTGTGTGTCTTTGTAGATCTGTTTTGCTCCGTGTTTCTTGGGAGCTTTTCTCTGTATCTCCGGTGCTCTGAATGGACTGACGGTGGAGGAGAACGTCAACAAGCTCAAGAGGGTGAGTCCGCTTTATTTCACTGCCGCATCACGGTGTGTCACCGACTGCGTTACACCCTCTGTGTCAACGGTTTTAGCTATCGGTCCTCACAGCAGACAGGTTGTGGATATGATCCCTCTTTCTTTCTTTGTTGGGGGAAATAGAATTTTTCCCTGAAGTTTCTCCAGCAGTTAGGTGGACTTGGGGCTGGACGATATGGCCAAAAGTGTTATCACGATAAACATTTCATATCTTTCAATATCGATAATTATCACGATAAGTCTTAAATCTTTATTTCTTTCGAGTTTAAAGGCTGATTTTTGCTCCTGAATGAAAGTCGAAGAAACCTGATGGTTAATTGTGGTTTTAAACTTTTCTTTATGGGCAACACTTGATGCCAAACAGGGGATCGCTTCACTAATCTGAGGCAGAACATTCAAAACAGTTATGATAAAATATTTGTCAACCAATATGCACGAGTAAAAGTAAGTAAAAGCTTTTCTTCAACAAAATAAACATCATAATAAAAAAATTCTTAAGTCCTAATTCGTGTGTGATTCTAGTGAATAAAGTCAAATATTTACTGAACATTGGTATTGAAAATTATATTGAGATAATTATTAGGTGGACTGGACACTCTTAATTAGGTATAGTATGTGTTCGCCTGTCTCCCTGCCTCCCACCAGTGCATGCTGGGAAAGGTTCCAGTCCCCCTGCATCCTGAAATAAGCAGTAGAAAATATGCTGGGTGATGTGATTAGTTGAACCTGGAAAAACCCGTTGGACTGTGGGTCAAAATGATCTCCACTTGAGGTGAAAGTTCAGTGTTTGTCCTGATCTGTCCTCCAGCTCATTTTTTATTTATGAATGTTGCAATAAAGGCAAAATGAGGACTCTGCTAGAGTCTGATGGAGGTATGGGTTTGGACAGTAAATGTCACTGAAAACAGATTTTTAAAAGCAAATATTGAATTAACAAAGAAAAAAAGTGGATTTTATTTAAATTCCAGATCAGTGTTTTTGTCTGTATGAACAGAGCCCAGGTAAATGAGAGCACACGTAGAGGAAGTTTGGTTTTCATTGGAGGTACAGTATCTGACCTTCAACACTCACCTCTCATTATTATTAGAAACTATTTCCTGCGATGGTGGAAGAGACAAGTGGGGAGGCTGGGAAATAGCTGGAGTGACTCATACCTTCATACATATGCGTGTTTGTATTTGTATGGCAGGTCAAAGCTAACTGTCATCTTGTGCCAGCTGCTCAAACGTCCGCCACTGCCTTGCTTACCCAACGTGCGCCTGGTCACCATTAATTATTTACCAAAGGAGGCGCGTGGACCTGAAAGGCCAGCCTGGTAAATGTCAGAAAGGACAGAAAACAAATGACAAATGTGCTCGTTACAACCAGGCCTGGCACTGAGGAAATGTGAGAGGAAAATGAATGGAGCCACTGACCAAACAGCCGCTCTGATTGTTGAAGCCACACACAGGTCTAATCATGACTTTGCCAATTATGGTTTACCTGTTTCGTACCTGTACTCTGTCTTTTTTTACCTGCAACAGAAAAAAAAACCTAAACTCCATCAGCTGATTCTTGCACTGTCTCAGTTCAATTGTTGTGCACTCACATGCACCAATCAGCCATAACCTTATGACCACTGTTAGGTGAAGTGAACAACACTGATTATCTCATTATCATGGCACCTGCCAGTGGGTGTGATATATTGAGCAGCTAGTGAACATTTTGTCCTCAAAGTTGATTTGTTAGAAGCAGGAAAGACGGACAAGCGTAAAGATTTGAGCAACTTTGACAAGGGCCAGATTGTGATGGCTAGACATCTGGGTCAGAGCATCTCCAAAACTGCAGCTCTTGTAAGGTGGCGTGAGGCTCCTTGATGGGCGTGGGGAGCAAAGGCTGGCCCGTGTGGTCTGATCCAACAGATGAGCTACTGTAGGTCAAACTGCTGAAAAAGTTGATGCTTGTTCTGATGGAAAGGTGTCAGAACACACAGTGCATTTATGTCATATTTGATAAAACTGTGACTATTCTGACAGTAGCACACAGTACAGATAATCTGTAACAAAAATAACCCGTCAGGTTCCTCTGGCACATGTGTGAACAGGTTCCAGCTCCACACAGAGCTTCGGGCTCATTAGGTTCGATGCCACGGTAAGAGGAATGATTACAAACAGTGGGGAATAACTTTTCAGAGGGTACTAGCCTCTCATCCTGCTGTTACCGCAGCTGCCTCTCAAACCTGGGGTGCTCTACCATGTGCTGCGAAGCTTTGAAGGGGTCGTCTTTGAGAAGACGTGTCAAAGCGAGAGGGACAGGGGTCTTGGTGAGACTCTGATGCAATCATGAGGTGAGCCCTATCTTGGCGGGTTGAGGTTTTGGAAGGCAACCAGCTCCTCCTGCTGCTGGACGAGCTTGTCAGTTTGGTGGGAGGGGCTTAGCAGAGTGATACGAGCAGCAGAGAGACACACTGGAGGTTTTACATAGTGTGTGTGCAGTTGTTACTGACTACTGCTTTAATGAGGGGGGTTGGTAGTAGTCCAATGTTTTTCCACAGGTTAGTGCTTTTTTGTTTTATTTGGTGTTCTTGAAGCTGTCACCACCATTTTAATAAAAAATTTTGCAGCCTTTTGCAGCTCCTCTATTTTTTTTTTTTTATGCATTGCAATATGGGACAACAGTTTACATCAACAGGGCTGGGCGATGTGGCCAAAAATGTTATCACGATAAAAACATTTCACATTATTCGAACTCGATAATTTAAAATCCTTATTTCTTACAAGTATTAGGCTGATTTTTTGCTCCTGAGTGAAAATTGGAGAAACCAGATGGATAATTATGTGGTTAGATTTTTCTTTATGGTCAGAATGTGACAAATACTCTTAACAAATCACTTAAAAAATCTGAGGTAGAACAGTCAAAACTATTATGATAAAATCTCTGGTAAATCTAGTCTCCTGTCCTGAACAAAATGAATATTTTAATAGAAATACTATTTGCTAATTTGTTGTTCAAATGAATTTAATCAAAAATTCATTGAAGATATATTGAGCATTTATTATATTGAGGAAAATTATTTTGCGATAATCATCATTGTTTTATTGTCCAGCCCTACATCAACAGCACATTCAAAAATCAGGTATGTTTTGTATCCATACTGATACATTTGAGTTTACTTCCTTTGGTCAGTTTTCCATTGAGAACCCATATAAGTTGTTTGATTAAAAAAACATCATAGGCAGCGATTAATTAATGATAATTAATTGTTAAAATAGATTTATTTAAGCAAAATCTAATTTCCTGCTAAGTAGAAGACACTGAAGTGTGTTAATTTCTTGTATACTTACTGTGTAAACCTACAACCATCTTAGAAACCCCTGGAAGAGCGAGAAAGGTCCCAACTTCTGCAGAGTGTGGGAGCAAAGATTTTGCCGTGTCTCTGATGCAGTGACAGCGGCAGTAATTTCACCTCAGGTGGCAAAGTAGCTTGTTTGACCATAATTAGAAAACAGTTTCACCGTTAAAACCAGAAAAAAAGATTGTAACTGGAACATTGGCTCGTTGTTTTTATGTCGAGACATATAGAGGTGACCTTTAAGTAGATGACATAGGGAGTTTTTGTTTGTGTGTTTGTGTTTTCACGTTTCATATTTTGCTGTGGAGTCCAAAGCCCACATCCATCACCTTTTGTTTGATCATTTAGCAAAAACAATCGTACATTTTTACATTTTAAAAACTTCATGCTTCACATGAGTAATACGATTATTGTAATGTGTGATTTTTTTTGAAAGGGAAGTTGGACAGGATGATGGCCGCCTCTGTACAACTCTTGCCTTTAGATTAGATTCAACTTTAAATTAACTGAGACAAGTGCAGAGTAATGTGTGTGTGTGTGTGTGTATATGAGAGCAAGAAATGGCAATAGTAAGACAATACAGAATAAGCAGTATGATGTGAATATGGTGTATACACTATAGATTATACTGCAAATATACAATTTATAGTATACAGAATACAATTGCTATACTTGTTATTAAGGGCAGCATAAATTTCATTCAGAATTCACACACTTGAATAAAATGGTGAACAGAAACTATATAGTAAATAGGCTGTTATTTCGCACTCGGGGAAAGAAATGTTTGAGCACAATGGACAGAGACGTGTAGTTGAGTTGATTGTTTCAACACCATGGAGAGAGGGAGAGACCGACAACCATCCAGAACACCACAGCAACCACGTAGCACAAACACCAAGACGCTAGGAAATGCCTAATCAACCACCAAGCATTTTGCCAATAAATGACTAGAATATAGTGTATCTATAGGGGGTTGATAGAGATGTTGATTACCAATTCCTCAACAATTACTTGGCCATCTGCTACACAACTTCCATCCGGCATTGTTTTGGAATGAAACTCCCCACCAACTGGAGTTTCAACACATCACCATCTCTCACTTCAACCACCACTGCCAGTTTCAACTGTTCAGTGCTGGAGGCCAGACGTTTCTTTACAGACGCTTAATATCAAAACAAACTCAATTAACAGCAACTCATGAACAAAAAGTTTTTGTATCATTCTTCAAATACTCATTTCAGTCTAAAATCAGAGCCAGTATTTTATTTTTTTTATCCTACGAGGCACTTGACATTGAAATGTTCCCAAGTTAATGTTAACGTTAACATTTATATGGAACAAAGAAATCTCTTCCAAGTTAACAGAGATGCATTTTGCAGCTTCAGCTTTTTAATTTGTTTTTAGTTTTTTTTACAGTGTCTCAAATGTCCAGAAGACCTGCAGCCCTTAGACTGTATTCCTCTTAAATGGTGGTAAAAGAAGACCTTTTCACTGAGCTGCTACTGTTTTTTATTTATTATTATTGAAGAACTGAGAGAACTGACACCATTTGAAATGAAATAATTTACCCACTACTACTACTATTAACCCATCTATTTTTTGATTGGTTGACAGGAGATAGGTAGGTAGATGATAGATTTGCAGTTTATGGTAGATTATTGAGTTGTTTAATGTAACTTAATGAAATGTTGAAAAAATGTCTGAACAATTACCTTTTTGTATTGATGAATAATTGTGAGAGATGTCCGTTTTAGAGTTGGATTGTTTTGATTTGATGGCGAGCTGGTTGAATCCAGTCCACTCTCCATTCAAATATGCTTTTAAGTGTTCATTATTGCCTGGTTCATTTCCTGCTGCAGCTGAATGATTGTGAGCAAGTGTTAAATTTAGGAGTCCTCTGGACTTCCTCTAACTTCTTTCAGACTTAGGAACCAGTTTTTGTGCTAAAATACTTTTGTGAATCACTCTTAGACCAAGCACTTGGCACTTGTTTTTTTGAATACAGCCCCTGATTAAAAGTGACTCGGCACTCATGATGACTTTTTAAAACTTTGTTCACAGGACTACACAGATGCCCTGATCTCAAATTACTATGTGAGTTTTTCCTATATGGTTTACCATTTTATTGACTATGCATATAAAGTAAATATCTGTTTTGTTAAAATAAATGTTAAAATTGCATGTGCATCAAATGAGTAAATGTCATCTGTTTGTGTTTCAGCTATGGCCCCCAGTCCAGATTGCCAATTTCTACTTCATTCCACTACACCACAGGTAAGGGTTCGTGGCTTTATTGACAACAAACAATCAGCTGCATTGATGACATGTGAAGTTTATGTGAAGTTCAAAGAAGGAAAGGCCAAGTTAGGTATATCAGGTCTATCTGTCTGGCCTGTAGATATCCTGAAAAGTATGAAATTATTATTAGGGGGGTCTTGATGCACTGAAAATTATTTTATCCATCTTGTTTGTTCCAAATCTTAAAGAATTTTGTCCTTGCAAAACAACACTTCTTATTGCGTTAATTAACTTTATTTTTGCACTTTGCACATATTCATTTTCTTTATACTGTGAACTTTTGCACATTCTTTAATAAGAAGTTTGCACATTAGATCCTCTTCATTTTAAGCACTACACAGCTCTTCATTTTACAGTATATAGTTTACATATTTAAATTATACATTTTACAGCAATTGGTTTCTTTTCTCTTATCTTTGGCAGTAAACCTCTTTCTGAATCTAAAAAGCTATAAAATCATGCATTATAATTGTCTTTAAAAGCCTTACATTTCTCTTGATTAAATATCAGACACTCTCTTGAATTGCATCCAAATTAAACATGAACATTTTCCTCCGGCTTGTAGGTTGGCTGTCGTCCAGATTGTCGCCGTTGGTTGGAATTCCTACTTGACCTGGAAGGCCAATAAAATGTGAATGATGATCAGAAGTCCGGCTTGTCTTAATGATGATTTTATACTAATTTGTAGTGTGTATGATCTAACTTACTTTATGCTACTTAGTCTTCTGATACTTCCAATGAGTAAAACTGCGACTGAGTCACTTATAAAGGTCGGGAGAAAGTGCTTGTCTACTCTGAATGACAAATTCACACTTGAAAGTCAAATTCACACTTGAAAGTCAAACTTGCATTTGCAGAAATGTCTGTGAAAGTTTGTTATTTATGGAAATGGATTTTTGGCAGTGGTGGCGCAGTGTAGCCACACATACGCACGCACACACACACACTCAACACCAACCGGTTTGTAATACATTTAATGTATTGTTAATCATTTCAAATAACTGTTAAAGGATGATTTGTTACAGGTTAATAGTACTGTGTTTTTTCTTATCATGAAGGAAATGTTTCTTGCAGATTTTCATCATATTGTTCGATTGAATCTAATCTTTCATTACTTAGTTTCAATATGTTCCAGAATTTGTAGTAATGTAATTTACACATTTGGTTTGTTCATTTTCTCTTCACCTGCTTCATCTATATTCTTCTACTAGTAACTATACGCCCTAATACCAAGTCTTATCAGTTGCAGGATGCAATGCATTCTGGTCAGCAAATGATATGGGCTTCTAAAAAGAAGATAATGAAACAATGAAGGGTTACCTTGATAATATAACCTCTAAACCTGCAAATTAAAGCAAACATCGCAGAAACCGTGTATTTCCCAAAATGTGAAACTAGTCATCATTCATGCAATTATTTGTCATTTAATTATTTTCTGTCAAGCTATTGTACAGCAGTTGCTGGAAATGCACCACTAAACAACAAAATAGACTGAGGAATCCATTGGTGCATCGATTATCACTGTTAAGTTTTGATTTTTCCTTGATATTATTTTTATGTACACGCAATCTTTATACTCAAAATGTGCATATTTGTAATAACAAAGACCACATCTGGTATATAAGCTAATAAAGTCTTAAACAAGGTAATGTTGATGGTACATTTGACCTTGCTAACTTTTGTGGCCAACTTAGCTTTGGCTGGGTGGGGTTTGTTCGGAGAGAGAAATGGAGGCTGCTGAGCTGGGCTGTCAACCAAATTAGCTGCACACATTTCTTCCACACAACACTATTGGGGCTATATCAGGGAAAAGCAAGTGGAAAACGTCTGACGAATCCATTGAAAATCCGCCAAATAGCCTCTTCCCCCGAGGCATACGAGCCTCTCCCTAGAAAGCTGGAATCCATTTTTGATTCTGCACCAAAGCTTGCTGTCTTTTTACATGTGAACCAAGGTAATTAAATGAAGATACAGTGCATAGTGTTGTTAGCACTCTAACCTGTACATGATGCATGATAGAGCTGACATCTGTGTCTGAAATGTTCAAGTTATTGCAGGCTTACGGTTTAAATGGCTTTTTCAGCACCAGCTGAAATGCTACTAGTGGTCTTAATGAAAAGTTACTGATAGCCAGTTATTTGTGCTGATGTACAAATATAACTATATTTAATAATTATAATATAACAACTGTCGCCAAATTATGTAAACACTCTGTTGATGGGAAGTACGTGACATTCCCTTTTTCCCCAAACTGAGCTCTGCCAACTTCAAACTAGTGAGAGGAACAAAAATACACAAAACTCTTATGTGAAATAAATAAAAAGGCAGAAAATGTAGCAATCGTGTCAGATCCCATGGTTCATAATAAGAAGGTTATTGAGAAAATTGTTTTTTAATGCATTCAAATAAAATTGTTACTCAAATAGTTCATATATTAGTGGATAGGTATGTTTACCAAGACCACGAGGATGTTGTAAACTCTGGTCTAATCAACAAACAATAATATAACTTCTCATTATGTGTGTAATGTCCCTTACTGTTAGAGCTGCAGGCTTTCTAGCAGCAACTTCAGCACCATGGACAGCATGCACGGTAGGTTTAAAGGGATTTTTGTTCACAGCAAAAACGCCAGTGGTAAATTAATTGGATAGTGTCGGGGTGGCGATGGTGCAGTGGATATGCCTTTGGTGTGAGAGACCTGGGTTCAATCCCCCCACTTTAACATCTAGCTGCTCCAAAGGCGTGCGACCTCTGACATGTATAGCAATTGTAAGTCGCTTTGGATAAAAAACGTCAGCTAAATGTTTAAAGGGTTGCTTCAATGATTAGATCTAACTCTGCAGTATGGGTCAGGTGGTCAAAAATAAAGTGTTAAATAAACTCATATTGATGTGAAAAGAAAATGAACACTGATTTATTGTGATTACCTCTTGTCAAATCACATTGGCCTTAAATGCTCTATGGCATTGCCTGTAATCCTTAATTGTCCCCTTCAAATATACCTTAAACCTTATGTTGACTGTAAGGTAGAGTAGTTATCTTCAAATATCCACAGGATACAGTTTGATCACATGTGCCAAAGGAGATTCCGTTCAAATTCAGAATACCTTAGTAGTCCTTCAATGATGCAGGCATGTTTGCAAACACAAATCACATACCCAGTTAATTGACATTCATAAAATAAACTAAAACTTTGATAATGTAAAAAAAAAAATGGATAAAATACAGATGTTTGGCCAATCCATAGCTGGCCAAAGATGTGCAACACCAAGGATGCACATCTAGTAATATTTTATTTATGATCACTTCAAACCTAAAGAATCCTTTTCAACTTTTTCAAGGAATCCCCAACCTCAGAGACTCCCCTCAAGGCCCCCTGGAGCCCCTTCAAGGGTCCCTGTATCCTCCTCTTGTACCCCTGGGAGGTCTGTCATCCCACCCTCATAAATAAACCTGGGGGGGGGGAATACACCCCTTATGTTCTGTAGATCACAGCATCCTCAGCTGTCCCTCAGGACTATAGTGCATTGTCATCTCGATAGTTTCCAAACCGGTCTCTGTGCTCGCATTGACGTCAAAGGAGCAGGCTGGATGTATAAAACCCCTCCGTCCTCTCCAGTCGCCGCTCAAAGGGACTTCTCAGACTCTGCTCCGACCTGCGATCTCACCAGCCGACCGCAAAGTTCAGTTGCAGCATCTGGAGAGAATAAAGTAAGTACCGCAGCTTTCTTTTACTCTCTTTTGTTTTTAAGTTAAAGTTTTAGTGAATTGGACATTTTTGTGCAAGATCGACATCTTTTGACCTTTTTAGATATGGCTTATTTTTTATTTTAAAGCTGATATCTTTTGTCATTTTTGTTTTTTGGTTCACAATGTTGGAATTTTTTTTTGTTGCAGGAAAGTGATCTCAAATTTAAGATGCCTGATTGAAACAAAGATATCATTCAAATCCGGTCATCATTACCCAAGGCCAAAATATAAAATGATTACTTCTTTCCAAAGGATCTTGGCTTTATTAATTATCAAACATGCATGGCAGGAAAACTCTAAATGTAGCACAAAGATTTAAATCCGTCAGAAAAACTGCGCAACAAAAAAGAGATTAATGTGAGTTTGATTAACTGAACTGTTTGTCTGTCATCTTAATATATATCTCTCTTGGCAGGACATGAAGCCAGTCCCTCTGCTCCTGCTTCTCTCCTCGGTCCTCCTCACACAGCACCTCCGTCCCGCCGCCGGCAGACCGCGCATCCTCCCCGGCTGGCTGGATGGCAGCGGCCGCCTCCAGACGCAGCAACTGGATGAAGTGCTCCTCAGAGCGGCGGCCGCCGGGGACAGCACCGCTTCAAATCTACTGGGCGACAACATCCTGAGGTTTCTCCAAAGGAGGAACCTGGACCCTCTGCACCTGCTCCCACCAGAGGACGAGAGCGAGGATGAGGCAGTGAGGACGGCAGTGCAGCTGTTGAAACGGAGCGAAGAGCCGCCGCTGTCCATCGACCTGACCTTCCACCTGCTGAGGAATATGATCCAGATGGCCAAGATGGAGAGCCAGAAGGAGCAGGCTCAGCTCAACCGCAAAGTCCTCGACGAGGTCGGGAAGTAAATCTCTATTTATTTTTTTTAAATGCCTCATTAAAAACAGCCAAACCGCTGTCTAAGTATTCAAGACCTCTGACATTAGTTGTTGTTTGTGCACCTGCCTTCTTCTCCACATCGTTTTACGCACAGATGGTGCCAATTTACGCGTCACAGCATCCGCGAGTAAAATGTAAATTCTTAAGTGTTATTTAAGGACTTTGTTGGAAAATATGGAAACGGACTTCTCACATCCCTCACCCTGCACATACTCCTCTCCGCACTGGACTTCTGGACACTTCTGTCGAGTACTGGATTTCACACTTTTATCATTTGGACATAGTTTAACCGGATATGAGCAGTGCTGTTTTTATTGTCTCTTTCATCAAATGTTTTAATGCTTGAAGTGAAAATGACAGATTACACCTTACTAAAATAAACGAATCAAAGGTGCATGATGGGTGTTTAGCTTGTAACACACCACACAACTGAATTGGTGCTGTTGTGGTAAATAAGAGTAAACTTTGACCTCCAGTTTATGATCACAAGAAGGTGAACATACACACAAAAACTCCAGGGTTTTCCTTTATTACATTACAAAGAATACAATCTAGACCTGCTCTATATGAAAAGTGCAATGAGAGAACTTCTGTTATCAAGTGGCATTATATAAATAAAACTAAATTGACAAATGTATGTTAATCTTCATATAACCCCTCTTTAGGTTGATCCTTCAAGTAAACATGACCCTTATGATTTAAGTCAGACTGCAAACATGGTAAGCTGATTAGTTCATGTAAACTAGTTTCATATGCAAAGGAGTAATTGAAGCACCAAGGTTCTGTGCTGCAGAAAACATATTCTGGTACTATACATAAGTGGCCAAATTAAGGTGGCATTCCTCCAGTTAAAGTAATGACTTGAGGGACAATTAGCTCATAATGAACCTTATTCAAAGAAAACTGTCTTTTCATTGCTTTGATTGAAATTGTTGTAATGGGATTTGTTTGAAAGTGTAGCTGAAAGACATAGTTTATGTTGATTTGTTTTCAATTCACAACTGTCATATCAGCTCTAACCTTCCTTTCGTCCTCTTGTCTGTCCTTTGGTTTGAGCGGGAGCACTATCACCTGTACTGTATCAACTGTAGCATGCTAATCTACAAAAAAGAACCTTGATTTTACCGTAAACATAAATGTCTGACACTGATCACATTCTTTGTTTTAGCAAAAGAAGAAAAAGCTTTTTGGCCATTTATATTTTGTAATAAAAAAGTTTGAAGCGGAAATCATTGCTTTTGATTCTGTTATTGTGCTGATTTATAATTGTGTATTGATCTTTTCGTGACTGCTATATGGTTTAAATGTCAGCCGATAAAGAGCCTTCACAAAGATGATAATGAAAATAAAAATACTGGAAGCTGTAGCAAAGGGAAAGAGCAGCACTTGACTGGTCAAGCTGCATGTTTGATACCCTTGCATGTTTGAATCCAGGTGGGGGGACTGCTCTCTCTCCTCTTTATAGTACCAAAATCTCAACATCTACAGATTTGATTGAAAGTTAATTTGCATATATTATGTCATGTCCTCCAGGGATGACTCCTAATGATGATGGTGAACCCCCTGACCTTTTTTCTAGGGTGACCATCAGATTAAAATTTCTCAAATCTCAAATCAAAATCTGATTTAATTTCCAATGTTTCTGACCTTGTGATTCTCCTCTAGCGCCACCATCAGGCAAAATATTCCCAATGTACCCAAGAAATAATAAAATGTCAGAATTCTTCTAAATTCACTAAACAGATTAATGCCCCTCAAATAACAAAATTTTTTTAATTTTAGACACTCTCCTCTTGCAGCACCATCAAGACAAGCTATTCATTTTGCTTGAACCATTGACGACATATCATTGGTCAGTGTCTTAAACCCGTTGGCCTCCTGAACGCCTCAACCCTTTTTGATTTTTAATGACCTCCATGGACTTCCATATAGCAGACACTAACAGGATGAACTTTATATTTACCTATTTGTATTTACTTTACATTAATAATTTATTATTGCCAGTTTAAGAACAAATGCATGGAAGCAATGTTTGGCAATCTTGTTTTCTGCATCACTAGACCTGAAACTAAACTGAACCCACAAATTTACCCAGCGGAACAGGTTGATGTTGATGATGTAGCTTCTTATACATATAATGACTTATTGTGGCTTGTTAGTTAGTGTGTGATACAGAATAGAATATTAAATTGAACTCAACTGCTTAGATTGCTGAACTGTAGAAGATTGATAAAAATGTATTAACTGCTCAGCTATGATGGAAGTGACAGTTTACGGTGTTCAAGTTGTTGAAACAGATAAGAGAGAAGAAACAAACACAGAAGTCAAAATGGCCTCTGGGTCCTTTGTTTCTATGACTCAGTCTAAACTGTGGGTGTGTTGGTGATTCTTCTGCCTTATCACCCTCTTCTCTATGTAGATCAGAGCAATGACAAACTTGTGTGTTAGCATTCTTTAAACACAGAAACAAGAGCAGAGAGATTCTCAGTGCAACAAACGCTTTACTTTAAAGGCTTTAACCTGATACAAAATCAAGTACAGTAATATATATATATATCTGTGCTTCAGTAACATTATATAGAAGAGTACAAATCATATTTTGTATTTACAAAACCCCAAACTACATGATCAAAGTGCACAATAAAACAAACACCTGTGCAGTTAATAGTGATTATTATCAAAGTAGAAAAAAAGTTATTTCACAGGAAGAAGACATGCAATCAGAAAGAATAAAAACAATTGGGGAAAAGTTTAAATGTGTATTAAAAGAAGAATAAAAACATCACATGCATAGGAATTAAACACATATCTTGACTATATCTGACTGAGACATTTTTATGAAAATGTTTTTAAAATGTTATAAATATATACGTGTTCCTTAGATGGGAAAGTGTTCAAAAGCCAAACCCCAAAATCCCTTTTTGACCTAGAAACAACTATCAGAGCCCAACCCATGACAGGTAAACAGATCAATAATAAATTTTTGAGCTAAGCTTAAAAGTAAATTTTGAAAAAAATCAATGCCATGGCTAGCAAAGGAGAAACACGATCAATTATCTGTGTCACTCATGATTCACTATGAACCGGCTGACAGAGCCCTGACTGATCCCAGCGTCAGATATAGTGTCCAGGTGAGAGATTAACTTCTCTTTGTAAATCAGCACCTGTTCATCACAGCCAATGCCCTAACATCCCCCATCACGGATATCTCATGGATGAGACTGTCCTCTCCATAAATATAACATTAGCTCCTTATTCAAATGTTTACACCTGCTTATGTTAATGTTGGTTCTCCTACTAACAGTCAATCTTGGTTTATTTTAATCCTTAACCTGAAAGGATAAGTCTGGCATTATTCTATATTTCCTTATCGTCAACAAATCTTATGGAAAGACTAAAAACAACAATGCGTTCAATATCCTCAGTACTTTCTGACTTCCCTAGCACTTGTCCCACTTAGTCCCAAGCCTACGGATTCCTCCTGAAGACATACATCTTTTTATTTTATTTTAACGGGGTCAAAACTATATAGTGTCATTTTTAGACAGACTATAACAGCATAGCAGTTAGCATGGTTGGAGCATAGCATGCCAATGTTATCATTTAGCTCAAAGAACCGACTTTGAGCTAAGTGCTCATATCAGCATGCTGACATGCTCACAATGACAAATATGAGCAGGTGTAATGTTTACCACACTGTCTTATTTTGGCATGTTAGCATGCTAACATTTGGTACATGGATTAATGCACATTTGGTGTTCTAGTGAGTATTTATGGCAGCATTGCTCATTGGTGTGTTTTTAATAGTTTTTGGACAACAATAGAGCTCTGACACAAATAATATCAGGCTGTGGATACACAGATAACAGAAGGATCAATTAATTGTAGCATTATTTTTTAATAGGATTGGTTGACAATAAGATGATGCACAAAATCCCCAGACTTATCCTTTAACCAAGTAGTGGCAGGTGTTTAAACCTTCACCACAGACGTGGCAGAAAATGTTCATATGGGTTGTTTTGGTCATACACAACAACCCAAAATCTATCCAGCAGTCTTCATCATTTGCAATACTACAGTAATGAGCTTATCTGCCCACTATTTCAGTTTTACATCCTGTTCACTGGTATTGTCATTCTTCCGTATTTTTTAGCACTTTAATTTATTAGTTTGAAATATGAAGAGGAAAATCTACAGTGTGTCCCAGGAATTGTACAAAATTTAACACCTGTTCTGAGTTGCAAAATTGTCCTGTTTAAAAATGACTCTACTTGCAAATAAACCATTTCCATCTCACTGACTTTAATCCCCACACTGTCTTTTTTTTTTTTTTTACATCTGAAAAGAATTATAAAACTGACAAAATGCCTAAAACTGTAGTCTTTACTGAAGCCTTTAGAAAACATTGTGACAGAAAGCTATATAAGGGCTTTATATCCTGAAGAAAAATACATGTGAACAAAATCTTTTTACTTTCCCTCCCACAACATAGAATACATTGCTAAATCCACTGTATAGGTTTCCTGTAAGATATACATAGAGAGATCTATTTATACACAATACACTGGCTTTTTTTAGTGAACAAAAAGCAACAATGTGGGAGGCTAAAATCTGGCAACGTCAATCTTCCCGCATCTGGACTGCTGCAGGAGGAAACTGACTGATCGTGCATATGGTATGATTTAAATCATATGGATTGTTGTTGTTTTTCCTGTTGTCTTTGTTGTTTCATGTCCGCTGTGGCTAAATTCACTTTTGGACACTGTGTGGATTTCTTCAGGAGGATTATGCTAAACCTCTACGTCCGTCTCTGTTTTACATTTCCTCAGGACTACAGTAAGGACCTTGAGTAAAGAACAAAAGATGAAATATCATGAGATCAGTGTCATCATCCCACGTCTAAACAATCACCAGTGACTCTCCAGCTGCTCTGCCTAATGTACCCACGCCACACAAATACAGCACGGAGGAGGATGCTGTTGTTGTTGCCGCCTTTGACTGAGTCAGCATGAATGCACTGATGCTGTCTCCTTCCTGAGTGGATGAGGGGAATCCTTCACTCTTTACGTAAGTGGTCTCGTTAGATATGATTTCACACATCCCCTCTGTACGAACTGCTGCTGACTTCAGACTGTGCACATTTCCAAATATTATAATTAATCAGCAGAGCAACAAGAACATCTATAAACAGGCTCTGACACATTTGCACTGCTTCAGTTTGAGAGCCGTCGGTAAAGAGCTTTCTTTTTCATTTTTCCAAACTTGTGTCTGCAGGATGTTCATTGAAACACTGACAATATGTATCAATGTAGTTCACGCTTATAAGACATCACAAGTAAAGCTGTAATGTGCCATATACAGTCCAAATGCCTTTGTTTTTGTTGTTCACTGAAGACATTTTAAGATCAAAAGTATGAGTACGAGAGTTCAGAATTTCAGCTCTCATTTTGTGGTATTCACATCTAGATGTGTTAAACAACTCAGGATATACCACCCTCTGTTTGAACCCACACATTTTTCAAGTGAGCAAAATTATTGGAACATGTGACTGACAGTTGTTTCTTGTTGCCCAGGTGTTGCCTTTTAGCTTAATTGTCCAAACATTAAATAGCTCTGCATGACTAGTCTAAGTTTTCATCCTTGGTTCAAACCTATAAAGACTGCATTTCCTGTTAAAGAGGATAAACCAACATGAAGACCAGAGAGCTGTTTATGGGAGAAAAGCAAGCCATGTACTGATAAGAATGATAATGTTGTTATTTGTCTCATCCTAACAGTAAAGCACAGTCTGCACATGGCCACGCAGTCCTGGGAAGAGGTCCTATTGGCCAACGTAAGTGAAGTCACCTGTGTCGGTGAACCAAGGATGTTGCAGGGTCTTCAGGCTCCTTATGTCGCTTAAATGATTGATGATTTAAAACCCTTGTTTAAAAAACTATGTATCACTCCTTTAAAGAGCAGATTAATAGTTTCATTCAAAGAATCATAGTCATTGACCAGCTTAGGAAATAAATGACTTACAAATAATTACAGACCATAGACAATTATTTGATGTGAAATTAACAAAGTAAAACATTTACATATGATTGTTATATACGCCGAACAAAATTATA